GGGTTCGACCACGTTCACCAAGATCGCGAACAAGTGGAACACGGCTTTGATCGCGCTCTTCACCTACTACCGTGAGGCCGCCGTCTCGACCGTCAACCTCCTGGACACGATCGTCAAGTGCGAGACCAAGATCCAGACCCGTGTCAAGATCGGTCTGAACTCCAAGATGCCTTCCCGTTTCCCTCCTGCCGTCTTCTACACACCCAAGGAGCTGGGAGGTCTCGGTATGATCTCCGGATCCCACATCCTCATCCCCGCCAGCGACAAGCGATGGTCGAAGCAGACCGACACCGGCATCACCCACTTCCGCGCCGGTATGTCGCATGACGAAGAGACCCTGATCCCCAACATCTTCCGTTACATCATTCCCTGGGAGGCGGAATTCATCGACTCGCAGCGCGTGTGGATGGAGTACTCGCAGAAGCGACAGGAGGCTCAGCAGCAGAACCGCCGCCTGACGCTCGAGGATCTGGAGGACAGCTGGGACCGCGGTCTTCCGCGTATCAACACACTCTTCCAGAAGGACCGCAGCACGCTCAGTTTCGACAAGGGATTCCGTCTGCGTGCGGAATTCAAGCAGTACCAGCTGATGAAGAGCAACCCCTTCTGGTGGACTAGTCAGCGCCATGATGGTAAACTGTGGAACTTAAACGCCTACCGCACTGACGTCATTCAGGCGCTGGGCGGTGTCGAAACCATTCTCGAGCACACCCTCTTCAAGGCCACGGCTTTTCCGTCGTGGGAGGGTCTCTTCTGGGAACGTGCCTGTCTTGCCAAGGGCACACAGCTGTTGCGCCATGACGGCTCCAAGATCAACGTCGAAGATGTCCAAGAAGGTGACCTGCTGCTTGGTCCTGACGGCGGGCCCCGTCGTGCCTTCAACATCGTCAGTGGTCGCGATCGTCTGTATCGCCTCCGTCTCGGCGCCGGCGAAGAAGATCTTGTCGTCACGCCCAACCATATCCTGGTTCTTCACCGGGAGAAGACGTCTGGAGAAGCGAGCTACGAAACCGTGGAGATGACTGCCGCCGATTTCGCTGCCCTTGAACTCAAGGAAAGACAACAGCACCGCGTCCCTAAATCCTCCACCTCCGAGCAGACCATGCAGGTGGACCCGACGCTTAGTCTCACTATCGAAGATATTTCTCTTGAGTCTGAAGCGACGGAGTGGGCTGGTTTCCGAGTCGACCAGGACCAACTTTATCTGCGACACGACTACGTCGTGCTGCATAACAGTGGTTTCGAAGAGAGTATGAAGTTCAAGAAGCTTACCAACGCCCAGCGGTCCGGTTTGAACCAGATTCCGAACCGTCGATTCACTCTCTGGTGGTCGCCCACCATCAACCGTGCCAACGTCTACGTTGGTTTCCAGGTCCAGCTGGATCTTACGGGTATTTTCTTGCACGGAAAGATCCCGACCCTGAAGATCTCTTTGATTCAGATCTTCCGTGCTCACTTGTGGCAGAAGATCCACGAGTCCGTGGTCATGGATCTGTGTCAGGTGTTCGACCAGGAACTCGAGCAGCTGGGCATCGAGGCCGTCCAGAAGGAAACCATTCACCCGCGTAAGTCTTACAAGATGAACAGCTCGTGTGCGGATATCCTTCTGTTCGCGACGAACAAGTGGAACGTGACCCGACCTTCGCTCCTGTTCGACACCAAGGATGTCTACGAGCCTACCACGACCAACAAGTTCTGGCTCGACGTGCAGCTGAGATACGGTGACTACGACTCTCACGATATCGAGCGATATGTTCGCGCCAAGTACCTGGACTACACCACCGACAGCATGAGTATCTATCCCTCCGCGACCGGTCTGATGATCGGTGTCGATCTTGCGTACAACCTCTACTCGTCGTACGGACAGTACTTCCCCGGATTGAAGACCCTGGTCCAGCAGGCCATGGCGAAGATCATGAAGGCCAACCCTGCCCTGTATGTGCTGAGAGAACGTATCCGCAAGGGTCTGCAGCTGTACGCCTCGGAGAGCAACCAGGAGTTCCTCAACTCGCAGAACTACTCGGAGCTTTTCAGTCCGCAGATCCAGCTGTTCATTGACGACACCAACGTCTACCGTGTCACCATCCACAAGACCTTCGAAGGTAACTTGACGACCAAGCCCATCAACGGAGCCATCTTCATCTTCAACCCGCGAACCGGCCAGCTGTTCTTGAAGATCATCCACACCAGCGTCTGGGCCGGCCAGAAGCGTCTGGGCCAGTTGGCGAAGTGGAAGACGGCGGAAGAAGTGGCGGCGCTGATCCGTTCGCTGCCGGTGGAAGAACAGCCCAAGCAGCTGATCGTCACCCGAAAGGGTCTTCTGGATCCTCTCGAGGTCCACCTTCTGGACTTCCCCAACATCTCGATCCGTGCTTCCGAACTCCAGCTGCCCTTCCAGGCTGCGATGAAGGTCGAGAAGCTCGCCGATATGATCCTCCGGGCGACCGAGCCGCAGATGGTTCTGTTCAACCTGTACGACGAATGGCTGAAGTCTATCTCGCCCTACACGGCGTTTTCGCGACTGGTGCTCATTCTGCGAGCGCTCCACGTGAACATCGACAAGGCCAAGATCATTCTCCGACCCGACAAGACGGTCATCACCCAGGAGCACCACATCTGGCCCTCGCTTTCGGACGAGGACTGGATCAAGGTCGAAGTGCAGCTGCGTGATCTGATCCTGAACGACTACGGCAAGAAGAACAACGTCAACGTGCAGAGTCTGACCAGCAGCGAAGTGCGCGACATCATCCTGGGTATGGAGATCAGCGCGCCGTCCCTGCAGCGACAGCAGGCGGCGGAGATCGAGAAGCAGCAGGAGGAGCAGAAGCAGCTCACGGCGGTGACGACGAAGACGCAGAACGTGCGCGGCGAGGACATCATCGTGACGACCACGTCGCAGTACGAGCAGCAGTCGTTCGCGTCGAAGACGGAATGGCGCACGCGAGCCATCGCCACGTCGAACCTGCGGACGCGCGCCAACAACATCTACATCTCGTCGGACGAGATCCGCGACGAGGGTTACACGTACATCATGCCGAAGAACATCCTCAAGCGGTTCATCACGATCGCGGATCTGCGGGTGCAGGTGGCAGGATACCTGTACGGCAGCTCGCCGCCGGACAACGAGCAGGTGAAGGAGGTGCGGACGATCGTGATGATCCCGCAGGTGGGCAACACGCGGGAGGTGCAGCTGTCGCAGCAACTGCCGCAACACGACTACCTCAAGAACCTGGAGCCGCTGGGAGTGATCCACACGATCTCGGGCAACGAGCCGCCGTACATGACGGCGGCGGACGTGACGCACCACGCGCGGCTGATGAACGAGCACCCGACGTGGGACAAGAAGACGGTGACGATGACGGTGTCGTTCACACCGGGATCGGTGTCGCTGGCGGCCTGGGGCTTGACGCCGCAAGGGTACAAGTGGGGAGCGGAGAACAAGGATACGACGTCGGACCAGCCGCAGGGATTCTCGACCAGCATGGGGGAGAAGTGCCAGCTGCTGCTGAGTGACAAGATCCGCGGGTACTTCCTGGTGCCGGAGGATAACGTGTGGAACTATAGTTTCATGGGCAGCTCCTTTGGCAGCGTCGAGAAGCGGCCGGTGTACGTCAAGATCGACACGCCCCTGAGATTCTACGACGATCAGCACCGACCGCTGCACTTCCAGAACTTCGCGGAGCTGGAGGATATCTGGGTGGATCGGACGGACAACTTTGCCTAGTTTTAGGCCCGCGAGCGAGAGAAAAGATGAAAAGGATTATTCTTACGGGCGTTGCAATGGTGGTTCTTGATTTTGTGCCCCTTCTACGATGTATTTTTGCCTCCTGTTGTCCACGATCATGTTAAATTAGTTATTTTATTTTCCCCTCTGTTTCATTACGCATTAATTGGATCGATTGATCTTCGAGTATACCCTAACATAACACCCTACTGCTACCACCGAATCTCCTGAAATTGCAGCGGTGGAGCCCAGGGGTCCGTCACGTCATGAGTGGCACCACCGGCTCCACTCGCATCGGTCCAGAGCGATTGAAGGCGATATCGCGATACTCGACAGACTGTCACCGAGTACTCCGTAAACACTCTGCCTTCTGGCAAGATTTCTTAAATTTCTGGCGGATTTCTGGCAGCCCTGGAGAGTTCCGGTCCCTTCCGCTCGCGTCTTTTGTCTCTGCGTCCAGCCAACCAGCGAGGCTCCCGGGCAGGTTAATCTGTTTCACCAGTGCCTCGTCATTTTAGTTCTCGCCCAGGAAGCCCAAGTCGCTGGGAAATAATGGGAAGTGGGAAATGGGGATAGTCGGTGGTGTCGGCGCCACCTCCTTAGCACGACTCGGTCCGGCGAGATTGGGCTGCAACCATACGGACTCGATCTAGTCCAGAACGTCTTACGTATCACCGGCCGGCTAACCCTCAATGGATATAAACTATAAGCTCCTCACGTCCCGCGTGGCCGTGGGGTTTAGTGAGCATCCGTAAAGATGAGGCTTCTAGCTCACGACTAGACTCCGAACTAGCGACGTCTCTGCGGGCTGTGCTCTCTGGCTGTGGACTTCGGGCGCTAAGGGGGAGAGACCTGTGCGACCGTTGGTGATCATTATTAAGTACTATGTAGCAAGAGGAGAGGACCAGAGGACGGAGTAAATGCAATATCCGGAAGACGCTGGAAGAAATGAGGAAAGAATTAAGGTTGGCCCGCAGCGCCTTCAGCTGATAAAAAAGGGTCGTCAGGCACTTTCTGTCGCACGGTCTCTCCGTCGCTGCTCCATCAATCAGGGGACTTCCTGGTCTCCTCGGCCCCTCTTGTTAGACCCTCGGATGAGATGTCTCCGTATCAGAGATTGGAATGATTATATTATCTTTTATTTTAATGGAGCACAAAGATTTGGAATCAGAGAGTACTGAGATTACAGCGAAGGGGGGAATCCAATCCCCCCAGACACCAGAGAAGGGGGGGCAGAACAGCATCATCAAACAACCCAAATCAAACCCAACAATCACATCAAATCAAATGACATCCGTCCAAAGACATGGGGGATCTGCTGGATATAGTGAACAGCCGGTGAACTCTAGCTGAGGGCGCCACCAAACCTGCATGCCTCTCGGTCTCTCGCCAAAGGGAAGGGATCGAGTCAGCGTCTCAGCACTCAGCAAGCAGGAGAGACCGTTAGCACCTGGCACGGTCCCGCTCGAGAAATTCCATCGCATCCCTCGTGGATTGTCTTACCCTCCTCCCCTCCGGCCATTGGCGTGGCTTCCGAAGTGGAGTTGCTGCGACGACAAGGTCCCGTTGACAGGGGACTCCGTTAGTCTCCTCTGCCTGAGTCTAGTGCTGTCTCTTTCTATCCCGGTTGGGACGGAGAACGGACTGCTTCGGATTGGATCGTTTTTTTGGCTCTGTTTTTCTGCTGACGGACGGACTGATTGATTCCTAAGCCAGAGAGAAGAAAATTTTTTAAAAAAAAGGTATGGTCATCAAGTGCACCGACGATGGTTAGGCTGGCCTGCCCACCAGGTTGGATGGACAAGTTTCCCTTGATCCGACCAGACAATAATGGCATGAATCCACCGGCCACTGGTTCGTATCCAATAAGTGAATTGGGCTTGGGATCTCTCCCCGCTTTTATTTGGTTTGTGTCCAGAGCGTGAGTGCGTGCGTCCAGTCCATGTTGATCATGGATGGTGTCAAAGGGAATGCTGGCAAATGATGCCCCGTCCGCTTGCTCCCTTCTCTTTGTCCTCTGCCTGCTAGTCTGCTTAGTGTTTGTTTCATGCTGCCCTATCTGTCTTTCCCATGCTCCACGACGGTTGCCATGCCTTGGCAAGCTGGCCATATGCCCTGCCAGACGGGCTGAACCCTTGGTGGTGTTGGTCTGGATGACCGTTGGTGCTTGTGCTGTGCTGTGCTGTGTGCTTCTGCTGCTTCTGCTGCTGCTTTCTCGCTCATTCTTCTTCTTCTTCTTCTTCTCTTCCCTCCCTCCGCTGCAAGCTAAGCTTGACAGGAACGCAGATCCGTCAAATGGGGGATTTTCTTTTATTTTATTTTTAAAATTACCCTTCTCGGTCTCTGCTCACACTGTCCCTTTTTTGATTATTCTGCGTCTTATTTTATTTGATCCTCTGCGATTTTCCTTTTTTTTGAATTTACCCACATGCAACGTCCTGAATCTGCCTCTAATCCTATACCTCCGAACTGATCTCGCCCGTTTGACCCCAAACTCAATCATATCTCTATTTGCACTTCCTGAACCCTTCCCTCCGTCATCCGGTCCTATATATCCTGCAGCGGATGACCGTCACGGTTGGATTCCTGCATGAAAACGGTGCCCTGTCCAGTTTACCTCCACTCGACCTCTTGACCCGGTGAATTTCGATTTTTCACGCATCTGGGAGCCTGTGGATTTATAATCCTCTTTTTTCCACCGTCTGGGTGTTCCAGTTCTCTTGGGTTTTTAGTGGGGGCATAAGCGGCATCTATCGAGGCTTTGCTGCTCTGATCTGCCTAAAGTTCGTCTTTTTATTTTTTTTATTTCTATTTTTTCCTGTCGAGCCCATGTCAATCCCTCTGATACTCCGCGTACACATTGGATTTAATTTTAGTTCCTGGCGAAGAACGGTATTTTTGGAAGTGCCAAAGCCCGTCTCCCTCCCCTTTCACCTCAAGCCCAATGCCTCGCCTTTTCAATCTCCTGCTCTGCCCTCGAATCCAATTTCTTTTGCCCCCTCCCCTCCCCGCCCATCTCATGTTCATTTCAACTCTGCGAGATTGTACGATCGTCCTCATTTCGGTTCTCTAGCGCTGTCGCCACCGGCTGACAGGACATCTCGTGATTTGCTGACGGTGGAAACAGCTCTTTTCCTCCCTTGGGATTAAATTCTTGTCTATTATATCACTCGGATATTATATGAGCATAAGTCTGAGCCCTCGCGAACGATTCGATCGCGCATGAGGGTTGCATTCGGTACATGGCGACAGATTTTGATGCCCTTTCACCCACATAAACCACACCGGATTCGCCATTTGTTTGATCTGATCAACTAGGTTCCTGTTTAGGCGACTGTCATTGCAGGAGTTTCCTCGGGGTACTCATCTTTCCCCCCTCCTTTCTTTCGAATTACTTCAAAAATTCTAGCCGTTGGGTAGCCTGCCAGGGCTTTCAGGCTCTAGCAGCGCCGATGTATGTCCGCGACGCTGGCGGATCCGTATAGAGACTATGCCATTGACTACGCTCAACATGCCCACTGCAAACCGGAGGAGCAGGAAAGCCCCCTCGTCTACCAGACGCACCCGCCACATCTTCAACATCCCAAGCAGGCAGAGTCTCCCTTCCAGCAGAGGAGCTCGCACAACTCGGCATTTGAGCAACATCATGCAAATGCGACCGTCCTTCCCGCCGTCAGTCACCAGCCCTCCGTGCATGATATCCCGCAGAACGTCGTCCTCACGCCGACGCAAATGCTGCCTCCGCGGCAGTTGCCCGTCCACTACACGACCCCTTCGTCTAATTTTGAACTGTCTTCCGTCCAGCAACAGCAGCACCAGCAGCATCAACACCAGCGAGGCAAAAAGCGACTTCATTCCGAAACGGAGGATGGCAGTGGCGGTAGCGGAGGGGACGGAGAAGCCGAGCATCATGCGATCAGACCACAGATGTCCGTTCTCGCCCCCGATTCCACCCCGGTCGACAATCCACATTCGCCGGAGATGCTGTTTTCCGTACACGGCGCCGAATCCGCCCACCATCATCACCAACGCCAGATGGCCGCAGCTGCGGCGGCGGCGGCGGTTAGCGGACACGACTTCGTCGGACCCCCGGACTCGGTGGCCTTGCCACAACAACACCATCACCACCGACTGCCGCCGCATGCCTCGCTGCGCGACCCGCAGCGTCACGGAATGAACGTGGAGTCGTCGCCAATGCCGACGGGGCCGCCCAGCGTGGTGGGACAACCCGGCATGCCCGACCCGGCTCCGCGGCCGCGCGGGCCGAAGTTGAAATTCACACCCGAGGAAGATGCCCTGCTGGTGGAGCTGAAGGAGAACAAGAACCTGACGTGGAAGCAAATCGCGGATTTCTTTCCCGGTCGAACGAGCGGCACGTTGCAGGTGCGGTACTGTACGAAGTTGAAGGCGAAGGATGTAGCGTGGAGCGATGAGATGGTATTGCACCTTTGGGGATATATCCCTATACTTTATTATATGTTTAAAAGCTAACGGATTGCTGCCAGGTTCAACGACTCCATCGGGCCATGCACGAATATGAGAACGACCGATGGCGCATCATCGCGGGAAAAGTGGGCAACGGGTTCACGCCGGCAGCGTGTCGAGAAAAGGCGACTCAAATCGACTAAACAGGAGTATTGTTATGGTTTGGATAACCATGAACGTGATGGGGACCTGGACAAGGTCTGAGTTGGAGAAAAGAAAACTTTCTTTATTTGGTTTACATACTATTCCCCCTTCGTTTATTTACTCTTTTTTTTCTTGCTCTCTTTCTTTTTTTTACACCTTCTTATTCCCTCATTCTACTCATTCTTCCTACCTTTTATCTCTTATTCTATAATTCTATCAAGGACAGGTCTGGCAGGCAGGAAAGGCAAGCATTGCGAAGTCAATAGAGCGTCTCGATACCACTTCAATCAATCTTTCTACTCCGGCGGAGTACTTATTCCATTTTACTTCACGCGAGGCTGTGTTTATTGCATTTCTTTGTCTGCTTGTCCAGCCTAATGTCCGTACTTCACCTCTTTACGGCGAATTCATCCCTCCGGCAAACGGCCCGAGCACAAACAAATCCAACGGTGGCTGAGTCGGAGGTATTGATCACACCTCCCGCGTGTCAACTTTCGGAGGAGTCGGTTTGATTAGGACGGATCTGTAGAACCTTGCATTCAGCCCTGTTCGGGCGGGCGAATCAGAGAGGAAGAGCGCTCGCTTAGGGGAGGTGGTTTTTTTTTTGGCACTTTGGCTGGGCTAGGGCTTTTTGGCGCTTTGGGGTGGGAGATGTGAGGCTGGGAATTGAGATTGGAATAGGAACAGGAATAGAAAGTGGTATGATATCGATTGGTAGATGAGATGAGATGTATCAACTGGGAGAATATACATGTTCAGTCCCTATCTATCTATCTACCTTGCGGAATCCTAGCACGGTGTAGTATTTGACATGAGTCTAGAACCTCCCCTACCTGCCTATCCATCTGTATGTACTTTTTCCTATCCTGCAACATACCCAGATAGGCTAGTCCTTTCTGCCTGTCTGTCTGTAGGTACTTTCTGCGCAAACAAGCAAGCAAGCAAGCAGGACTGAAAAAAGATGATGCGATGGCATCTGATCCTTTAATTTCCCGCTCGACCCTGGTCTCGTATTGGCGGGGCTTTTGAACAGCCGCTCTAGACGCGGGGATTTATTTCTTCTTTTTAACTTTCTTTCTTTCTTTGTTTGTTTCTTTTAGTTTTTTGGTTCTTTGTAGGGAGGTTTAGGACTATGGTTTCGTGTCCTTTTCAAAGGTTAAGTAAGGGGGATAGTGAAGTTTATTTGAAGTAGTGATAACTAGCTATTGCGCGCGAATCGCATCAGCTCTTCCAGAAATAGAGTTATGCTATGCTGTTTGAAGAAAACCCCATTCTTTGTCTTTGCAACTTCGGTTTCTGATATGCAGTTGCTCCTTTGTTTTGGATGCCGAGTTATCGAATCGAATCGCTTGATTCCGGATCCACTCGTCCTTCTCATTTCTTTCTCGTATAGAGATTGACAGATAAAACACGACTGTGCAGCTAAGGTGCCGTGATCATCGTAATCATAATCGTCAAAGTCATCCGAGTTGCCATTGTCAGGGACGTCTTCCTGGGCCGCGTATGCAGCCGGTGCGAATCCTTCGAGTCAAATTCATCCACTTCGTAAACTCGGCCATAAGGCGGTCGTGGATCACGGTTCCACGACTGACGATTGTCACGCCTGTCATAGCGCCGATTCTGCGGTCCGAAACTGCGTTAAAAGGCTTATCATCTATTGCTAATTGCTCGCTGACACCTCTTCACTGCACTGTTCAAGGTAGCATTCAAGCTGTCCATGGTAGCTTTCATGACCTCCATTTCTCTTGTCAAGAAGTGGGGTTGCGGCCCTGCTTTGGGTATCCGTTCGCGTCGAAATCGTGCTTCCAGACTGTACCGCGTGTTTTGGCAGTGAATGTGTTGTTTAAGAGGAGAGCCACCACCTAAGCATCCGTTAAACGGACATTGCCGGGGGGGCATGTCGTCATATCGATTGCAGTCACATCGACAGTGTACACTAGCCAGTATGCTGCTCAAGTCGGTCGACAAGTCCCCACACACGACGTAGAAGTCTTTGATCACTGCGAAAGAAAGGCGGCCATTATGGGCCAGAACGACGACAGGAAAGACATATGACACCGTTGCATACCGATTTGACAACCCCGAAGGGCTAGACACGAATCATACTCAAGCTCTGCCAGGCCGCGCGCAAGACTTGCCATTATTTAACCGGACATTACCGGCTGCATGCTTTGTAGATGTGAGATCAGCGAGCCATTTAATGACCGAACACCGGTGGTTTCAATAGCGATGGGGTTTCTTCTGTGCTGCCATATCTTGCGAGGTTCGTCATTAGGGCGAAATTGAATGAATTTCCAATCCACCAGGCCGCAGGCATAGATTCTGATACACCCGTTTCGATTACTGGGACGACCATCCTCTTGATCTCACGAGGTCGTTAACCCAGGCCCGTCACATTCTTTGCGGAAGCTGTCGCTCCTGTCCAATGATTATACTTGATAGCACCGGGGGTTTTATTTTCGAGATGGTCTATGTCCATGCAGCCGAAACGACCTTGCCGCCTAGGACTAGAGGCTCTCTTCAGAATGTTGGGATCTCCTCAGTCGGTAAACATCGTAACCCTTGTACTTTGGGAGCATTGTTTAAGTCGTGGTGTGTATCTTGTGTCCTACAGTCTTCAGGGCACGAAAGCATATAACGAGCTTCTTCGACCTCACAACATCGTCGTTCAGATCTTATAATCCTGGATGCTTGGTAGCAATTCGGTTGCTCTTGCTTTTTTCCCTGTAGCAGGATGGTTAGAAATTTCTTTTCCCCGATGAAGCGAATTATCATGGGGTTTAGCTGGAGGCGGGGAACATAGGCGTACATTCAACGGCCTTAGCGATGAGATTATCCACTTCACTTTCATTCTTGCAATTTTCGGCAAGCGCCAAGGCAATGTAATTGATCGGCTTGGTGAATTGTGATGAGATAGGAGGACTGACCCGAGCGATCAAATCTGACTCGATGTGCAGCGGTAAGCTCTCTGTCTCAACGGCGCTTTCGCAGTGTCTTGTTATACCCTGGTGGTATGGTGTATTGGCTGCATTTTGCGAGTCAATCTCATATCATATCGTGGAGCACATATACAGTCGCTGTCATGAAAGTGGATCTTCAAAGTCGACCGAAAGTTTGGCATGATGATTCCGATTTTCTGGGAAGTTCTCAATGCCGTTGGAATCAGTCGACTCGATGTCCCTGTCCTTGAAGGGTTTGCCGAACGACTAAGGCTTGGGTCTAACCTTAGTTTCGGCGGCGATGGGCTTGTTGTACGATTTCATTGTTTATGCTCTTGAGCGCATTTTCTTTGATAGATAATAGTTCGAATGCGCGTAGTATTATCTGTCGACGTGGCAGCTTTTCTGGCACTTTTTCTTATACTGCCTAGTGCTCTGTTCCTGCCGACAAAGAGGAACAATCATGTAATGAACCAAAGACTCGATAGAATCTATCAGTCCCATGGCTGCGACGTACTCGTCTGCGTCAGCGATCATGTTGAGTCTCCAGACCACTTTGTTCAGCAAGTTTCATAGTTGTCCGTCTGTTAAATTCAAATCTGCTTTTTTCGCCCACTGACATTCCGAATGCAGCTGTGGATAGCTATGTTTGAAGCAAGATTATTTGGACCTGGGTGAGAATTCATGTATGCTCTTCCTAAACATATCAGGTCTTCTTTAGGTTCTGGTTCGACGACTAGATGAAGGATATCTGTCCTGTCTGGATGCCACTCGGTGGAATCTCACGAAGTGAAAACCATTGTTCTTTAAAGTGGGTCAATGATGTTTTGATAGAACATATCAAGACAGTACAGTAGAAAGAGTACTGAAAGTATGAGGGGACGACTGGAAAAGACAGCTTAGAGATATTGGCCTGAATATATATAGTAGAGGTAGCGTTGAAGAAGAAGGAAAGGTAGAAAGGGGGAAGAGAAGAAAGAAGTATACAAATACTCAAGGAAAAGAAGTCGTGGTGAATCTAAGGCAGATGGGTGAATATAGGGTGAATATAGGGTCTTTGTTATAGCTTCACCTACTATAGTGGACGAAGCAATGAATTTTTATTCCAAATAATTAGGATGTCTGTTATACCTACTTAACGAATGATCAGAACGGAGAGGTAGCCAAGTATAAGATAGATCTAGAGCTTATATAATTGAGTCAGCATTGATATCAATAACATGTATAAGGACAGGATACGAGCATAAGAGTATAAAATCCTCCGCAATATACAGCAGTAACAGCACTTTAAGTTCCATCGGAAGTAAATATGGGGAACCCCGACCAATCAGCCCTCCCCATCCGACATCCGACGGAGTTGCGGGGAAATCGGAAGAGGCGATCGGATCGCCGAGTGCATGACGGCATGAGGGGAGCTTCCGACTGCAGGACGGCTCCTTTTTGCGGGGACGAAGACCAGCGCCTCCCGGAAGCCTCGCATTTCCAATCATTCCAGGTCGTACGACTGGAATATAAAGAACGGGCTCCCCTGGGTTGATCGCTGTGATCTAGACTACGGCTTGAGTTGCTACATCTTACATACGTTACCAGCGTTCTCTTCTATCCTCGGAACTTACCTTAATACTTAACCTTCAAGTTCAACCCCTCCTGCTATACCTATAGTTCTGGGGAATTTCCGACACAATGGCCACCCATCGCTTCGATCCCAATTTCACCGACAACGTCGTCAACGCCATCGGTCCCAATTCCAACCCCCGGTTCCGCGACCTCATGGCCAGTCTCATCCGGCACGTGCACGACTTCGCGCGCGAGAACGAGCTGACGGTCGACGAGTGGATGGCCGGCGTGCAGCTGATGAACTGGGCCGGACAGATGAGCAACGACAAGCGCAACGAGGGACAGCTAGTTTGCGACGTGATCGGGTTGGAATCGTGCGTCCCCACCCTTTCCTCCCCTTTCCCACCTCCCCGTGCAAAAGCTAACAAGAGAGAAAAGACTAGTCGATGAAATCACCTTCAAGCTCGCCTCCGAAGCGACCGACACGCCCACCGCGACAGCGATCCTGGGCCCGTTCTTCCGCGCCGACACGCCGTACCGCGACAACGGGGCGAACATCGTCACGACGGGCGTCTCGGACGGCGAGATGGTCTTCATGCACGGCCGCGTCGTCGACTTCGAGACCAAGACGCCGCTGGTCGGCGCTACCGTCGAGGTGTGGCAGGCGTCGACGAACGGGCTGTATGAGCAGCAGGACCCGGAGCAGCAGGAGTTCAACCTGCGGGGCAAGTTCCGCACGGATGAGAACGGCCGGTATTGGTTTTATTGTCTGAGGCCGACGCCGTATCCGGTTCCGGATGATGGTGAGCTTTTTTCCCTTCCATTTGGTCAAGCGTGTTTGCCGGGGGGGGGGAGAGGGGAGTAAGGAAGGAATGCTTGCTAATGAATGCATTGAACAGGACCCGCCGGAAAGCTACTCAAACTGATGGACAGACACCCCTTCAGACCGGCTCATATCCACATCATTGTGCGTCCCCTTCTTTCTCTCCACCAATGCAAAGCAATACTAATGATAAAAGGCAACATACGACAACTACAAGCCCCTCACGACGCAGATCTTCGACCGCAAAGACCCCTACCTGACCAACGACTCCGTGTTCGCGGTCAAGGACTCCCTCGTGGTGGACTTTGTGCCGCGCAAGGACGACCCTCAAGCTGGCCTTGAGCTGAATTACGACGTGAAGCTGGTTCCGAGCGAGGAGAAGGCGAAGGGGGCTTAAGTGGTGGGATTTAGGTGTATGTGTATATAAGTAGAGGTACTTTTTTGTTTATTTTAGGGTTTAATTTGATAGCGGGATCTTTTCTTTTTTCGAATTTGATTGAACATTTTATTGGTTGGTTTGGTTGCTCAACAGAAGGCATCAGTATGGTTGTGACCATGTGAATTGGGCCTTAGTCCTTATACACATCGTAAACATGTCCTATTCCGCAGTCCCTTATTAACCCAAGACCACTATGAACAGAATATTCAGTTACAGTCTGAGCAAATCAAGCCCAATGTCCAAATTCAATTCAATCCTGCATTACTGTTCCAATCACAGACCTCCTACAAACGACGCAATCGTCTTGCCCACCTGATCCGGCGCCTCAAGACAATGCCAATGCCCCACGCCTTGCAACACCTCCATCTTCTTGTTCGCGCTGGACACGCGATCAAAGATATGCTGACATCCCTCCATCGAGGCTGACTTGTCTTCCTCGCCGGCAATCAGCAGGAACGGAGCCTTGACGGCGGAATAGTCAATTGTCGGTGCCGTGGCGATGGCCTGGCAGAGTGCCGCATACCCCTTAGGGTTCTGGCCGAGGAGGAGCTCGCGGATGAACGATCTAGTGAGAGCCGAGCACTGTGTGCCTGTGGCTGCTGCAGGAATCGAGTTGGCCATGGGTTCCATTCCGGCTGTGTGGACGGTTAGTAAGCATCCTGCGATTAGGTGCATCAGAACATACAAGCTGAGACGGTGTCATATCGCTTGCGCATTCCGGTAGCCAGGGCCTCGGACGGGTGGGTTGGTCCGATGGCCACCACGCCTTTCACGCGATCCGCATATTGGGCGCCTAGTAGAGTCACAACGAGGCCGCCCATGGAGTGCCCCACCACCACGGCTTGTGGGATGTGCAATGCGTCCAAAACGCCGATGACGTCCGAAGCGATGGATGAAATAGACACTGGTTGGCTAGTGTAGGGAGAGCGAGCGGCGCCATACGTGTCTAACGTGACACAGCGATGGTTGGTCAGGTGAGGGACGACGGGGAAATAATAGTTCTGCGACGAGCCTAGGCCGTGGATAAAGATAAAGGTGTGGCCGTTCTCAGGAGCACCGTCGGGGTGCGAGTCAGCATAGTGAAGCTGGTGGTCGTTGACGGTGAGGATGGGCATTTTGAATTAGTCCGGTCGAGAGGGAGTTGTAGTCAACGGAGTGCCGAAGTGGAGGATTGGGAGTATAAGAGCTAAAGATCGGATCTCCGAGACCTCAGATCGACGTCATTGCCCGCACTCCAAACCATCCCGACAAACCAGCGGAGTCCTCTTGGACCTGAACCCAAGTCTCTTGCCATTTGCCGACCCTCCCAATTGCGACCATCATGCCATGTCTCGTTCATGGTCGCACCGTCGGAACACAAAGGTTGTACCATCAAGGCGGAGATCCAGCTTATCATCGCCCGAGCCGACGAGGGGCAGCGCCATCCGACCCGACGGAGGACCCGCGTTCGGATGGCGTCTTCCATACGGTGAAGATTGCGGATATACGGCTTATCCACAACGCCAAATCCGTCAAACGACATCCAGCTGCACCAATTCCCGCTCGAACTCTTCGTCCGTGTCGAATTCATAGCCAAATTCCTCCAGCAAGTCCGCCGTGTCGTCCTGGAACGAGTCCCCCACGGGCAACCCGATGGGAGCCCGTGTATCCGACTTCTCAGGCTGCGGTTCCTTGGAGTCCCGCGCAGTTATGATGCTATCCGCTTCTTTGATGATATCCTCGTCGTAGAAAATTGAACAGTCGGAGAACTCGTCGTCGTCTTTCTCGCGCGGTGCCGCTGCGCCCACGCCTCGAGAGGCCTTCGTAGACCCTTGTCCTTGTCCCTCCTGCAGCAGACCATTCTCCAGCCCCGCGATGATCGTATCATCCGATAGCTCATCCAGATCTGACAGAAAGCTCTCCTCCTCAAGACTCCCCAAACTCCCCAGCTCCAGCTCTCCCTCCAGATCTCCCTCTGCATCCTCCTCCCCCACCAACTCCGTCTGCTCCGGAACCTCCTTCTCCACCTCCGCATCCTTCCTCCTCAAAAACCGCGACAGCAGCGGCTGACTCGACGGCACGGGCAGCGCATGCTGATCGACCCCAGGCGGCAGGCCCTGTCTCCTGCGCTCCTCGCGCTCCTTGGCCTCCTTCTCGGCCTTCTTCTTCTTATTGGCGATGCGTTTCTTCTCGCGCTCGCGCAGCTTCTTGGCGCGTTTCTCGCGCTCCTCGTCCCGCTCGATGCGCGCGATCTGAGACGCGGAGAACTCCAGCCGTTTGTTGCTGCGCTGGTATCGCCGGCGGACGGTTCGGGATTTTTCGAGCACGATGCGTTTCGGTTGCGGGGAGGGCATTTGGACGGTTTGGCCGGTTTGTTAGTCGGGATTTCCTTTTTGTTTTTATTGATTGATGGAGGGATAGCTAGATTGGAGGGTTGCTTTGACTCCGATAGTTCACCGGATGAAACGCGACGGACATTGGCGTTTGGTGGGAAGGGCGCGTGGTAGCGAACATGACACTGTCCTGGATTCACATCAGGTAAGAATAAATAAGAACAGGTGCAGGCGTTAGGCAGATGAGGTTTGTTTGGAAAATCCCGGTTGGACAGGGAAGGGAAGGCTCCAGTGGTCTACGGCGATACGTTCTACCGAGGCGGGTGGTCCTCGTGCTGCAAACAAGCCGTCCGGCACTTTTCCTGAGGACCTGCGTGCACGGCTGTCAGGGTATTCTATTGTTTCTATTCTATGGTTGGGGATTTATATGGTCGCTGAGAGATCCCACACGCTCGCTGCTGCCTACGCCTGTCGTCCTTTTCTCTACAAACGGGAATCGCGGGCCGGATCCCAACAGACAGGCGCGTAGGCGCTCGTCTTCAATGTGTCCATGTCTTCCTGGGTCAGTTCGAAATCGAACACCTGCGAGTTCTCGATGATGCGGGAGTCGGTCACCGACTTGGGGAGGGGGACGTAGCCCTGCGTCTGGGTCAGTACGGCTATCCGACAGGCACCTGTTCGGAAAGGAAACATGACAGACCTTTTGCAAACTCCAGCGGATCAAGATCTGCGCGCCGGATTTGTTGTGCTTCCGGACCAGGCGCTGCAGAATTGACTCCTTCATGCGCGTGGCCTGCACCAGAGGCGAGTAAGCCTCGACCACCACGTTGCGCTTCTTCAGCCAGGCGACGATGTCCTCTCTTGTGCACCACGGGTGGATCTCGTATTGGCCGACGGAGATCTGTCCACCCACGCCGCTGTTGATGTACTCTTCCAGCTCATCCAGGTGGTGAACGCCGTAGTTCGAGACTCCGATGGAGCGGATCTTGCCGGTCTTCTGAGCCTCCACGAGAGCGCGCCACGCGCCCAGTCGACCTTCCTTGCCGCCGTAGGGGGCGTGGAGTAGCACGCTGCAGCCACCGTTAACTTTCTCTCCCCATCCCTCTTCTCGCGGGGGTTTCCGAGATCAAACATACAGATCAATGTATTCGATGCCCTCGGCGTCCGCAAGACTCGCCTCGATCGCCTCCTTGGCCTTCTCATACGACATGTGGGTGGCGGGGACTTTAGTCGTGTAGAATATCTGGGACCGGTCGACGCCGGATTTCCGGACGGCGTCGACACATTGGGCTTCGTTCTCGTAGTACTTAGCGCTGTCGACCTGATGACGAACGTTAACGGGAAGTTCGGACCAAGCTTTAGAGGGTCACACTAACGTGGCGGTATCCGGTCTCCAGGGCCTTCAGTGTCACATTCTCCGTGACATCCGGGGGACTGCGCGTGGTCAGATCAGATCTACGCTATGCGCGCATTAGGAGGCGAGACGCACGTTTGATACACCTAAAGGAAAGCGTCAGCGCGAAAGCAATTCAATATTAGCCGGATCTATCGTCAGCGAAGGCATAACTCACACCGAACCCAACCACCGGGATCTCATATCCCGAGACCATCTTCTGAGTGGCCTGCAGCGTGAGCGGGGCCATGATGTCGACAAGAGGACGTTCCACCTTGATGAGATAGGAAGATCAGATAAGGGATAAAGCGAGGGGGAGAAAAGAATGAGAATGACAACCGGAGAGAAACGTAACGGCAATGGCGTAACCCTTCCGGATTATATCATCCCCAATTTTTCCTCTCCCCCTTCACCCAAACCGAATTGTCTGGGTCAATCATTTCTTCAGTTCCGCAGTTCGCTTCCTCGGCCGCCATCCTGACGAGTGACAAAAGTCGCGGTGGAGTTGATCAACGTGGGGCTCTTCCTAGATGGTTTCTGCTGGGAACTGAAGGCCGACCGTCGGACTCTGCGAGTGCCGGCCGGCGTGATGTCCTGGCCTTCATGTATGGCCGATATCAAGGATGGAGTATAACATCGGAGCAGATCAGAACGGATGAGATGAGAAGTATAACATGCGATGAAGCCTACGTCTGCAGACCAGTCTAGCGCTGACCTTACATAATCCTTATCGATAATGCAGCCAACGACGCTAGGCCTGTTCGGGACTATCCCGCTTCTGCCTGAGGCCACAAGGCGACGATGCAGAAATGCTGACTCTGACGTCGGTCGCCAACTTGGTTTCGCTTGATGTTTGCGCTCAATCCTCTTTCACCCTTTTTTCTTGATTGAACTATCCTTGATCAGTCGAGGCCTAGGTCAGCTTGAGTCCGCACACTCTACGCTCAGAAGCTCAGAGTGAGAATTGAACACAAGACCTACGAAAAAGACCCCGCATCGACGATTCCTCCGAGTCTGCGTGAACTCCAGCTCTACATCGGTCTCATATACTCTGCCCAATCAATCCGCGCAGCATGCGCTTGGTCAAGAACAAAATCGAGCTCAATGGCTCCGGCACGGTGACCCTGTGCCCCGAGGAGCCAGAAGACATGGTACTACCTACCTACCCCCCGGCACACATCTCAGGTCCGCCAGCAGAAGATCCTAACGAAAACAGTGGCACGCCTACAACCTCATCCGACCCGGCGATCTCCTCCGCGCCAGCGCCATCCGCCGCGTGACGACCACACAAGAGACGGGGTCGACGAGCTCCGCGCGCGTGCACCTGACGCTCGAGATCCGCGTCAAGGGACTGGACTTCGACCCGCAGAGCTCGCAGCTGCATGTGAGCGGGCAGATCGTCAACGAGACGCAGCACACGAAGATCGGGCAGCACCACACGCTGGACCTCGAGCTGAACCGCAACTTCACGCTGGAGAAGGAGATCGGGGCCGACGGCGAGGGCGTCGGGTGGGACAGTATCGCCGTGCAGATGCTCAAGGAGGCGGTGGATGAGGGCGGGAATCGCAGAGCCGAGGCCATCGCCGTCGTCATGCAGGAGGGGGTCGCGCATATCTGCTTCATCGGGCAGTTCCAGACGGTGATGAAGCAGAAAGTGGAGATGTCGGTGCCGAGGAAGCGTTATGGAGGAGGGGATCATGATAAGGTTAGTCGTCTTGAGTCCTTGACATGGTTTTAAATGGGTGAGATTGCTGACAACGATCTACAGGGAATGTCGAAATTCTTCCAAGTCACGCTCGACACGCTCCTCCGACAAATGGAGTTCAACACGAGCGCCACATCGCTCACCAGCAACGAGACCGTCCGACCCGTTCTCCTCGCATCACCGGGGTTCGTGGCATCCGGGTTCCAAAAATACATCCAATCGATCGCGGCGACGACCACGCCGGCCCTCAAACGGCTGCTCCCCAGCGTGGTGGTGGTGCACTCCGCGTCGGGATACTTGCACTCGCTCTCGGAGGTGCTGCAGTCCCCCGCCGTGAAGACGATCCTCGCGGACACGAAATACGCGCGGGAAACCAAGCTCATGGACGACTTCCTCGACCAGCTGCGCAAGGAAACGAACAAGGCGACGTACGGGCCGCGGGAAGTCGAGTCGGCGGTCGATCAGGGCGCCGTGGGCCGTGGGGGAGGCACCCTGATCATTTCGAACCGGCTGTTCCGGTCGCAGGATGTGGCAGAGCGGAAGAGATGGGTGTCGTTGGTGGATCGGGTGCGAGATGTCGAGGGTGGTGAGGTCCGGGTTCTCAGCTCGGATCACGAGAGTGGGAGGCGGTTGGACGGGCTGGGAGGAATTGCAGCGTTGTGCACGTTTCCTATCATTGAGGAGGATATGGAATCGGATTGAGAGGGAAAGTAGAAAATAGAGCTGCGGTGTGATGTTTATGATGACGAATTTAACGATTAGAGTTGTATAAGCGGATGCTATATCATAAGCTTCATGTATAAATTTTAACCTATAAAGCATAACAGCTCTACGTCGTACAAAAAACTAAAGACCCCAATCCACCATCTCTTCTCCGTACAACAACAAGAACGAAGCAACCAAAAACGAAACAAAAAAGCTGGTCCCAGAGAGGCTCGAACTCTCGACTTCAGAGTTATTAGCTCTGCACTCTAACCGACTGAGTTATGGGACCTTCTTCGATGAAAACACCCACCAAATAATGCACCATAAACCTAGACCCCACCAACCCAGCCACATCGCCAACTCCGACGCTCATCGCTAAAATTAAATTCCCGCCCCCCGTGCAAACTCCGAATAATCTGCAAATCAAGCTCGGAGGGCGAACGATAGCGCCGGCACTAAGGCGATCTCCGAGGGCACTTGAGCGAAAACTAAAATACACGAATCCACCGTCAGACCAGGTGACGGGAAGACCTCCCCGCCGGAGAACGGCGCTGCCGAAGACCTGCTCTTCGGGGTCTCCGTTCTCCGTGATCGTCTATCATGGAGCATCTAGCTTGCATGGTGCATACGGAGTAGCTATGGGTATGAGTATGGAGTCATCGACAGAACTAAACTAGATAGGTAGGGGGGATAGAGCTGAGTGTGGACATCGGGTGAAAAGCAAAATTAAAAGGTGGAACGTGTGGCATCGCACGGGGTCCTCCGGCATTACGACGTAGCGAATGAATCGCATCGAATCTTGGATCTTTCACTTTCAGTCTCCTCCGTACCTAGTCCGGGCTCATTCGTAGGTTCGAGAATGAGACAAACAGCGCGATCAGGGAGGTTGCAATGAGTCGGTGTCCACTCTCCCACGTACGTAGTATCAGCTCACCGTAGTTTACTTACTCCATGGGTCCTCCGCTCCTGCTACTACGTACTGCTTCACTACTGCTACGGAGCATGAAGCGGAAACGGACCACGGAGATCCCCTCCCCGCTCGTGCGCCCTCGAATCTTGATACCTGCTGTGGCTAGCATCTTAATTCATAAGCCGCATCTGCAGCTTAGGTCTGCGTACTCCGTCGGCACTGCGCAGGTCAATACGATACCCAGGCCAGTTCCACCTGTCAGATTCAATCAAGCCACCGAAAGGGACAAAAAAAAAAGTCCCCCATCCTTACGTAAGAGGCTGATTCGCGGTCGATCCTTACGGACATCCCCTAAAACGGAATATGTAGATCATTTCGGTTGGCGTGCAGCTGTCGACTTGTCTGGGGCGAGAGGCTCTTTGTGGTGTACTTAGTCGGTTAGTCTAACTGTCCATGCGTACTCGCGAGTTGCTAACTGGCTGCGGTTAGGTGTCGTTATCTGTCGGTTTCTATAGTTCTACTGGTCGAGGTATAAACTGCCGCGGAGGCCGGAGAAGTGCGGACGTATGCATCAGTAGTACGCAGCGACGCGGTCTAGGACTCTGTACTCCGACCGTGGTGAGTCAAATTAAAATTAAGTAGTAACTAGGCGACTGGGATCTACGTCAAGAAGGACTCAGAGTCATACTGCGTACTGCGTATCAAGGATCAAGGATCAAGGCCAAAGGATGAAAACCAACAACCTAACCATTAGTCCCCGGAGTTTAACCACTGAACCAGCGACTTTAATGAATTACAACACAGCCACTAGGTTCTAGGAATAGTTCTACCCGTTCTAAAATAAAAACAATGAGAAAGAAAAAGAAAAAGAAAAAAAGGCCAGCCGAAGGTTAATTAAGTCCATCCATCGCCTGCAGCTTGAACTCCTTCGTGAATCCAGCAGGACTGTTAGCCCAGAAACAACCTCCTTCGGCAAATGCAGACGACATGCTACCCGGAGCCGTAAAATCTTAGACTTACGTAGTAGGCTCTTGGACTTCTTAGCCCTACTCCATCGTCCATAGTCCATCCGCAGTAGTGCTCGGGGAAGGAAGGGAGGCAATTTGGAGTCGAAACCCACTAAGCAGTAACCTACCTTTGATCTCCATCTCAACGTACTCCGTCCACCAGACTACGTAAATAAGGTGTCTCAGGCTTAGCCTACGCTGCCCGCTAACAGCGTAGTACGTGCACTACTCCTGGTAGGGTGCGAAAAATAGGGTCCTGGTCCATACCCGAATGATTCCGAGATCGATTTCGGCCGGTCGGCTGGCTACTGCGCCTGCGTCCGGCGGAAAACCAGTCACCACTCCGTCCTCGTAGAAACTGGATCCTGTCCGTAAGTGTCTAATGTCTATCCGCCTGGCCCGACCGGCCCCCCTCTTTTCCTTCCCCTCAGTTCCCACGTAGTCGTTCTAGGTCTGGGTCTAGGTCAGCTCGGTAGGTGAAGTCCGCATGATCTCATCCAAGCGATCGCGCCGTACCGAGGAGGGGAGAGACGGCGACACGACGGGATGGGGCCGGCGGGTGTGAGCTGCGTAGTAGTAGGGGACTACCTATTCCGGAGTAGGCATGAGGTTCAGCGCGCTACAGAGAGGGTCCTGTATGGATGGGAGTGGAAGGAAGCGCTGCATGGACGGATATGCCGGAGGATTTTATGCAGCGGTTAGAGTTGGACAGTTGGTAACTACTAACCACTACTAACTACTACCTGCCTTAGTAGGGCCGACGGCAGGTGAGTTCAGTTGGTTAACGGGTCGACAGGTCCAAATGTATATTTCAGCCGCAACGGCAAGGGGCGTCGTTAGTTGCGAACTTTGCTGGCTTGCTTGGGTAGACAGGGTAGGGTGGACTAGACCGGGCTAATGGGCGTACGGCGGTTGTTGACAGTAGTACTGCAGACTCGTTGACTGACAACTCCGTAAGTAGGACAGGATCGATAGGTATACATCATGCCTTTCGTATCTCCGTACTTCGCATAAGCGTTTGGCGTATACTACGAACACTCTACAGTCTACTCCGGAGTACTCCAAGCATACACACTGGAGGACACACTCTCTCCCTAGTCAGTAGCCAAACTCAAGCTCAATCCAAACCACGGTCGCCCAAAAAAAGAGTCAGGAAAGTATAAAGTGGCTCGATCGGGGTTCTGGTCGTGATTCAGGCCTGAGCTCAGCATCCATGGAACGCAGCCCCAGCGCAGGCGACGACAGGGAAGGGATCGGAATCCTCTTTGTTGTGGAGAGCGGCGGCTAAGTTCGTTTGGGGCTGATAGATTTTAGCGCAGCGTCTATCCATGCCCGGCGCGGTTTAGTGGCGCTGGATCGAGAGGGGCGGGGAGGATGGGCTGTCGTCTGGATTGGTGTCTTTTCTGGTATTTATTTTAGCGTTCGGTCATTTCCTTATTCCAAATGATTTTTAATATTCCAGTCGGGTCTAGTCCGCCCTAAGTAGGACGTCGGGTGAAATGAATGGGGGCGCTTGGGTGATCTTTGGCCTTGACTCTGGAGGGAAACGAAAAAAAAAGTGGGCGCGTACGTGTCTGCCTAGCCATGGAGAATGAACAATGAATATAGGGCCGGTATATTATTAATGGATTAATGATTTTTTTTTAAATTTTGTGGAATGCCATTTTTCTCATTGGTTGGCTTCTCGTGGTTTTAGATGCAATGCCACCTACGCCAGACTACTACTCCGTACTCCGTCCGTACGATCGACACGGGTCTATCACGATGAGGTCATCCTGTTCCAATCATGTGCTGCAGTCTTGAATTGATTCGGTGCTCATATGTCCAAAGAAAAGTAAGAAATTCAAAACAAATAGTCTCAAAACGTGACCGGCTTGGTATGCATGCTCCGTACAAAGGGTATATGTCTGTCCATGACAATATCGGAAATAGGAAATAGAAACAAAAGAGCTAACCATGCGAATTCCATCCCATCGCAGTAAGAAATAACACCTTCCCTAGGGTAAATATCAAGAATCGAAGTAGAAGAGTAGGGTTTCGAAGCCGAAGTCGAAAGGGTTGAAAATAGAAGGGGGAAGCCGTAAAACAAAGGAAAAGAAAAAGGAAAAAAACTATTGATTCGTAACGTTGGCTGCCGTTCCTCGAGAAGCTTTCAGCATCGCTCGCCTTCGTGCATGCTGTGGATCGGTCATTCGTGGGAGGGGCACATTCCCGCGATCTCGATTTTGCGTGTCAAGATACCGTAATTGGGCTTCACATTGCTGGGCGCTGTACGACTTTCTGGAGCCAAATTCTCTCATCTAGAACGAAGCTGATTAGCGAGACTTCTTCCGTTTCCGTGGACTTGTGATTGCTCACCTTCTCGGCAATCAACTCGTACTTCTCATGCTCCCAGTACTCTCGAGCCTTTATGAGCAGCTGAATCTAAACCACCAAATGGTTAGTTCGTCTGCCATATATAGGGATAGGATAGGGTGACACGGTACACGTACTCACATCATTCTCATCCCATCGAGCCAAACGCTCCTTGCGTCGGCGCAGCATCCGCATCTGTAGACGTGCTTCCGACGCATCCTTGTTGAACTTCTCCCGGAACATCTCCCGAATGACCTTCCAGGCCAGGTTCTGTTCCCGGAGTCGTTCAACAAAGGCGTCTTCTTCCTCGGCTTGCGGATCTCTCCGGCCGCGGCCGGGAGCCCGAGGCCGCTGATGGGGATGAGGTTCGACGTGTCCTTGACGCCGCTCCTGCTCCAGACGTTGGAGCCCCTCGGGATGAGGGAGTATGGTGACCGGGGTCTCCCGACCCTGCGGCATGTACTTGGGGCTACGCCGTGCCCGCTTGGCAGAAGGTGGTTGAGGGGAGAGCCCCCCCTCGCTGAACCCGTACTCCGAATCGTCCACGGGATGTCCGAAGCCGGCGGTTACGGTCCGGGGGAAATCGCTGGGGAAGGGTGCTGTGATCCCTAACCCGTGGTGGTGAGGGATGGGCTCGGACATGCCGTACTGGTATTCTTGCGAATGGTGACTGAGCACGGGGCTGGGTCGAGCGTGGGCAAAGGAACTGTCGGGGAGACTGATGGGGGTCAAGATGGCCGAGGACTGGAAAGCTGCCGAAGAGGTGTACGGGTGGTTGACGCCACCGTAAGGGGACTGAAGTTGATGAGTGGTTAGTGGGGTGTTGCCTCTCGCAATGTAGTTAGAAGACGTTGCTTTCAAACATACAGTGTCTACACCACTCCACTGAGACTGCATGTCGTAGAAGTTATCCATTCCCTCACCGGGAGTAGAAACACCATGGCCGTACGACATTGGCCCTGTGTATCCACAAGGAGTTTGAGGATACATGAGGTAAGCTGATGAGAGAGGACGTATTCGACTGTTTTGTGACGTATAGAATGGTAATAGACTGTCGAGGCTCAAACACTTGGTGATACAAGAAAGACAAGATAGGAGTAGGTCCAGACGAGCGGAGCAAATGGGACCATATAAAGTTCCGTGTAGGCCAACAGAAGAAGGAAGATCTGGACTGATAGGATATGGGTAGTCTTAAGAATATAAGAAGGTTTCCCACTTGATATAAGAGAAGATATTTAAGGAAAATAATAAAAAAAAATAAATGGAGGAAATGAAAGGATGCCGGGTGTGACGTGTAGTAGGTTGATATATACTCGGTAGGTGGGATCTTTAATAGCGGAGAGTCGGGCTGCCTCGCGAGGCAGGGTTGAATCGTAGTATGAAGTTCTTTCTTTCTTTTTTCTCCTTCGGATCACTGGTCTAGAAAGCTCGAAAAGACTGAGAATCGATAACGCCGACTATCACTGTGCCGCATAAGTTTTGGCTGCTAACCAGAGGTGCGGACTTGACGACGAGCCTGCATTTAAGCGCTTTACGATCCTTAACGATGGGCCCTTTTTAGCTTTTCGAGCGAGAGTCATTTTTTCCATCCTTTGACATGACATGGGGACGGAAATCAGCCCCCAAATCTCTGGGGGCGCAGACTTTGCATTCCTAAGGCCCACACGGTTACTCGAGAGAGGGCGAGGCAGCACCTGCAATCGAGGGTCCCAATGCTCTGGATCTCCAGGGGTGGACACTGGAGGATGAGCATCATGGCAAAGGAATGGAATCGGTGCTTAGCGACCCGCCGAATCCTAGGAAATCAAATGACGGTCGGGGGTTAGCGCTTAAGCTGACAAGAAGCTACTAAACAAGGGACGTAACTAGTGGACGGCTTCGAAAACGAAATCCCCCGAAAGACATAGTTGAGAAATTGAAATTAAAAATTGGAAAAAAATCAGAAAATAAAAAAAAGAAAAAGAAAAAGAAAAAAGGCGCGAGAGAAGGACGGACTAAAACTGGGACGAACGTATCCAGACTTTAGCCGCTACGACAAGAAGTGGAGAGACACTAAAACTAAGAAGCGGAAAGGTTGATTAACGACTAGACGAGTAGAGTAGGAGAGTAGTAGCCCCAATGGACGGCAATCAGAGGCCTTTTCTTTTTATTTTTCTTTTTTATTCGTTTCTGTTTTCTTTTCTTTCTTTTGGCCTGTTCGTCGTCTCCTTTTAGACCCCGTTCGATGATGGTGGAGGCGATGACCGAATGATCATAGAGAGAATAAATAGAAAAACGCCTATAAAGAAGACCCAAAAGAGTAAAGAACGAACAGACCGGACGCTGTACTCCGGACAACAATATCTAGATCCCCTCCAGACCGCCGGCCAGGACGACCAGTAACAGTCACGACGGAAAAGGCGGGTTGCTTAAGCGCTTCGGCGTTGATTGCGGCTGTAAATCCCGGTGGGTTTGCAGCGGACTAGTTCAGCAGTTAGTGGATTGACAGACTGGGGGGGGGGCAGAAGGGGAGATGCTCGGGGATCCAAGACCTGGGAGGTTAGGGCCTTGGGTTAGTCGCCCGAGCTGACCACGTCCCCTCCAGGGGGCCAGAACGGCATGGTCAGGATGGTCTAGCGAGCGATCAGTCCGTCGGCCCTTGCAATCCCTGGTGGATGGTTAATGGCCGGTTGTCTGCATCCAACCCCCGCCACGTGTCCCCGAACGAGATGAGTCCTTACGCGCCAGATGAAATAATAGTCTCGTCGGCCCTTCCTCGATCCCTGACCGTTCGACCCTGCAATTGTCAGTCTTCAAGGCATTTTGGTCCCCCCCTCTTCTTCTCCTCCCACTAACTATCGATTTCCAGACCGTCAGCAACGGCGGTCCCGAGAGGTGGCAGGCGCTTAAAGTTGATCCTGGCAGAGACGATTGAAGCGTGGGAAATTAGGGATTAATCCTGTTACGACTCCGAATTAATGAAAATGCAAGGACCGCAAGGCAGAAAATGATTTTCAATGGAACGTTACGATGATGATGATGATGAACACCGGACGGAGACTGATGATGTCGTCGCCCCCATGAGGACATGGACGCAAGAACCCACACCCATCAGAGTCATAGTCCGTCCATCGTACTCTGGCAGCATAATACGATGTAATAAATCACGATGCATCTTGAAAGTAATAAACCGGCGGAGTGGGGACCACGTGATGTCACTGGGTCCAGGAGTTCGACGGGCGAAATAAAATGCAAAAATGCAAAAATGCAAAAATTCAACGGTGGACTCCAGGGATCTCGCCCTGTGCCTATGAGCATCCCGACTCCGAAGTCCCGAGATACGACGCCAGACTGGCACGCTGGACGGCTGTCGATCAGGCTTTTCTGCCCTTCAAAACGGCCCCCTTTCTTTGTCCCAAAACGGTTCGGTGATTTCCGTTACCCGTCTCCGTTGTCATAATAATAATGACGAGGGCGATGACCTGCTCCGGTGGCTATGTCCTGGCGCAGTCGTCCTCTCATCTTCACATCGCAGCCAGAAACATCCCTTGAAACAACGGGCCTGCGTCTTCTAATTTTATGCCTGTCCTCCTTCTCTCCTTTCTGAGCTTCTGAGTTTCTGATTCTCTCAGAGTCCGTCCTCCAGCGTATCCGTTAACTTCGCCCATCCCCACGACCCGGAATGATCGAACCATCCCGCAAGCTTGTCCGCTTGGGGCTTAGCGGAGCCACGGCAGGGCTGCTTTTCTCGCCCCGAAAAGGGAGCGATCGACTTCCATGGCAGCCTGGCCCGTTGTGTCTGCTCGCCCTCAATTTGAAATCGTGGTTTTAGATGAGTCGCAAAACACGGAAAGGGGAGGATGCGAAAAAAAAAAAAATTAAAAAAATCTCTTCAACTCAATTGAAAACTGTTCAAAACTTAAACCACAAAGAACTCAGGTCCAGACATGCGATCGACAGATATCCCTTCTATATACGGAGAAATTGGCTGAGACTGGACCACGGCTTCACCGGTCTCTGGTTGGAGATTGTGTCCACACGTTCTCGCCATGGTTCCCGGCAGGATCTTCTTCCTCCTCCAAAAACCCATCCACCTCGCTATTGTTCCCTTTGTGTGTTCCCTGGGATCGGGGCTGATGATGTTCCTCTAGGGTGTCGTCCGCGGAGATGGAGATCCCTCGGGCTCCCCAACGGTTGTTCCCCGGACGCTCTCCGTCGGCATCCATCGCGTCGTCGGCCTCTTCATCGCGAAGGTGTTGCTCTTCGTCGGTGCTCCGTCGCTGTCGGAAGGTCAAAACCTTGTTCAGCAACCAGCTGTTTCGGAAGTCCTCGGAGTCGACAACTCCTCCGTTGCGCAACTTGACTCGTTGCCGCGTATAGTACACCCAGGCGAAGTCGATATAGAAGGCCGTCTGGATGATTCCAAACACATCCGCGATTCGGTCCCACGTGTGGTCGGGGCCCAATCCCCGCACCAGCCAATTGAGGATATAAAATGCCCGATAAGACCCCAACGTGAGCAGATAGAAGGAGTTGATTACGGTGGGTACGGTGGTTTGCCGTAGGAGCAAGAGCTGAGGAAGCACGCAGACGGATTCCAAGACAATCGAGAAGTTCCAGCAGATCTACATTTTGCCCATTCGCGTCAGTGAGGTGGTACAGTGGCCGACAGTATCTTCCGACTTACCTCCGTGAAGACATGATTCGCCGGGTACTCGCCGTAGAAGATGAGGTTGAGGATGGGTGCCAAAACCAGGGCCACGGCAATCGATCCTAGCGCCAACTTCCACGCTCGCTCCCGTTCGCGCGTCCGAGGGAAGACCCTCATCATTATATAGATTATATAGAACGAAGAGGCGATGTAAAAGAGCTTGAAAAACACGAGATACGGTTCCTTCCAGTTGTGCGGTCGGATCAAGTCAAGATATCGAAAGACAAAGACCATGGCGTAGAGGATCTGGGTGAGGAGTGAAACGCCTGCCAGTAAAAGGACCGTGTCAATTCTGGCATGTCATCTCTCGTAAGAGAGTGCAACGTACCTTCGGCGCTTTTATTGCGATGGATGGCCCATATCAGGATGCATTTCGAGGAGATATGGGCGAGATCGGCCAGCAGGCGGAAAACATTCAGATTCATGATGACTCGACCGAGTGGTCTATACCACTGATAGCGCTATTTGATATCTCTCGACGTTGAGGGAGGCGCGGTACGGAGTAAGCAGACTGTTGAGCTATCCCTGTCTAGCCCCAGGACCATGGACGACTTTAGGGCCGACGGAAGACTGCCACCGTTTGCGGAAAGCGAGAGAGCCGGTAGGAATGGAACGGTGACAACGTGGTCAATGGAATAAATAGTAGTTGACAAGACAGCAGCAGTGTTGGCACTGTCAACCCACGTACTTGAAGGGCGGTCAAGTTGCAGGGCGAAGCTTGTCGTACAGGTCCAACTCGTTATCAAGGGAGCTCCCGCTCACGGGATCCACTCGACGCTGGGGCCGCGTGTCCAGTCACGTGAGCTGTAGATGACGTCAACACGTGCTTGGATGGGATGCTCGAGTCCATGTAGTGCGATGACTTGGTTTGTTGTTCTGAGAACTCAGCATGGTGTAAATGCTGCTTTGAACAGACTTTCTATAGTCAAAGATGTCGGGCTAAATGTAGAATATGCGGAGTATGATGGAACGAAAAGAGAGACCCGGGGATATGGTGTTGAGCACATGACGGGAATAGTAGTTGCTGTTCGCAATGCTCTAAGAGTATCATTCTCTGGTTGAATTTCCCCACCAGATATACACACGAAAACGAGTCACCTGTGTCCAGAAGAATGTCGTCTGGATCCATGAACGAGTCTTCTACGATCCATGGACCTAATGAAGGATGCCTAATATGCTGCGGTTCTGAGCCATCCTACATTACTCAGAACCCCCAGAGGACTCTCCAATAGGAGGATAACCCTGGGTGTATTTCGACCATTCAATGGTTCATCCCGGGATTGAACTGATTCACCAGATGCTGGCGGAGTAAGATGAGAAGAGATGGCGGGGAAAAGGTGGGCATCACTCCGAGTGTCATTGTCGATCTACGAGCGGGAGATAGATGGGGGATTAACCACCGTCTAGTATCTTCAAGAACCCCCGAAAGCAAGCTCGTCGAGATTGGATTTGAGATCCGATCGGGAGAAAAGATAACAATGCAAAGTCCGAGCCCTGCAGAAGTCTGCGATGGGAGGGCGAGAGGAAGAATGACGACCAGTGATTACCCCGCTTCCCGTCCCGCTTTTTGTTTTGATTTTCTTCGCGTTTTTGCTTTTTCGGCTCTTCCGTTGGGATTTTGGCTTCTTTCGATATCTTTATTATTTCTCTTGTCCATGGAATGAATATGTTATCATCAGTGTCCGTATCGATTGATTGATTGATTTTATTGTACTGATTCATCTTCATTTCGCGTTGAATCCCTATTTTCCCGCCAAGTGTCCCTTCCACTCGGTCCCCCGCGGTCACCGGATTCCACTGGCGTCTCTCGGACCTTGTCAGACTCGTTGGCTGGACTTGGACACTGCATCCTCGCCAGGTTGACGGGCTAGCGGTGTCTAGACCGGATTCGTCACCCGGGAGATCGATATCGATACGATATGCTGAAGATGGGGTGCAGTGCCGTCGTACTCGGACCGTGGAGATAGCAGATTGATGCCAGGGCTGAATAGGCGCGATGGCCTCGAAATCAAATCGATCGTTACGATGCTCTTTCCGTAGCCCACCCAGTAATGAATGGAATGAGAAGTATCTCGGGATGGCTCTGCCCGTGCTTCAAACCCAGAGGCGAAGGAAAAAGCAAGCAAAGACGATACCTTTCGGAGGCAGCGGGATTCCAACCTTTTTTTAGCTGGATCGAATGCTTCCTTCCCCTCATGGCCAGTTTTAGTTTACTAAGGCGAAGGCTCTACGTATCCATCCACCTGTAGACTACGACGGACTTGGGTGACTGACTTACTCTTGGGCTCTTCTCCTCAACTCCCTCTTCCCTCCGTTCCTCGCTCTCCCCATTCGTTTTTATTTATTAAACATTATTCAACCCGCTCCCCCGTTGACTTCGCCCGCTTGACTTCTTCCATGTAACTCCGCCGTCCTCTACTTCGCGTCCGTCTCGTCGAGGAGAGAATCTCGTCATCAGCTTGATCATGAACTTCGACCAGTAAGCCTACTGCTCTCCCTTCTCCACTTGTCCTGACCTGATCGTCTTATCATCGTTCTTCCAGTACTCCTCCTCCTCCCTCTCCTCCTCCTCCTCCATCGTACTATTTCCAGCCTTTGTATCCTAGTACCGCTGCTAATATGCTCGAAAGGTCTTCCTGTGACTGTGCCTAAACCTGTTTATATTCTATACCCCCCTCCTTTTATTTCTTCCTCCAAGCCATCCTGACCCTTTCCCCACTTCCTCCTACCCCGATGTCCACCGCTTTCGCCCATCTACCTACATGCACGTAACATGAGATTTCTCTTCTTGCTCTGATTCTTTGGATGACCACGATCCTGCCTCTTGCCTCCCTTGTCCGTGTTGTTTTTATTTCCCTGTCCTGCGGCGCTACTGCCACGCCGTGGGATGCGCCCGTGTCATCGTCATCGTTTGGTGTAACCAGAATCTCGCTTCCCTCGACTTGACAGGCCAATCTCCACGGCATGTTTCTTGAGAAGCAGATTTGCTAATCTCATAAGCATGTGTATCTACAGATGAATCGGCGCAGCGTGATTGGGAATACTGCGTACCGTCCACCATGTCGTAAGTTCGTCCTCGTCCTCCCCACCTCCTCCTTCGAGGCCCTGGGTGGTGCTTAAGCAACGAAAGGCCTGTTTTTCATTTATTTTATTTTATTTCCTTTTTCCTTTCGGCGACGCCCATACAAATTTATATATAGATACTTGGTGTCATGTGCTTTCCGTGGTTTATTTGATTCACTGGCGGTTCCTCTTTCCTTCACATGTGACTTGCAGAGTGAAGAGATTCTTTCCTCTGTTTTCCTTTCTTTTTCTTTTTACTCTCTCACAATCATTGATATTGTTTACCTTCTATTCACTGGGTCCTTGATTAATTACTAACGCTGGCATCTCTATTCCTATTTCTTCTGGTTCAGGTCCCCTCCTACCAATAAACGTATCAAGACATCCGCACCTGTCAACCCGCCAGCTCAACTGCTAGCTCAGCAACCACTCCATCCTTTTCATCAACAAGTGGCTACATTCGAGGGCATTCCTATGCCCCAACCTCAGATCCCTCCCTCAAATCCACGCAAGCGCCGTGCCTCCCCCCAGTCAACGCCTGCGACGAACATGGCGGCGCCAATGTCCACCACTGCGCCGGGGGACCTGGCGCAGGACCATGGAGGCGCAGCGCCTGAGGCTACCCCTCGAAAGAAGGGCCGGACAAATACGCCGTGGACAGCTGAGGAAGAGCAGCGGCTGAAGACGATGCGCGACGCGGGTCGCAGCTGGAGTGAAATCGCCAAGGCATGCCTGACGCCAAATCCCACCGTTCGACCGTCACATGCTAATTGCTGCATCTTGTAGACGTTCCCCACTCGCACTGAGGGAAGTGTGAAGAAGCACTGGTATAAGGTAAGGCGCATCTCCGCCCAGGGTTGCAAATACGCAGGAACTTTGTCGCTGACCCCCGCATTCAGGATATGCATTATGCCGAGTTTGCAGAAGACGAGGTACACCCATGCAGTCCTCATCCCCCTTGCTCCAACCTAATTCTGAGGATTCTATAGAGAAATGCACTCCGGGACGCGATCAAGGAATACGAGTCCAACAAATGGAAAGTCATCGGGCAGAAGGTTGGCAAGCCGGCAAAGGTCAGGACGTTTTCTCTCTCCCCTCTACGAAATCCCCACTGCTGACTCGGATGGATGCAGGCCTGCGAACAGTATGCGAAAGAGCACTTTAAGGAAACCTAGATTTGACATTTGACGAACCTTGACGAAGTGATGACTACGACTAAATGCATTGTTCATGCGTCTCCGATTCCCCATGACCGTCAGATTCGTGGCGCTGCGTACTGCTCACTTCTTCTTCTTCTTTGTTTTTTATTTGTTATGGAATTGATCTTGGCTGTTATTTTCATCTATCTCCTTTCTTTTCTTCTGCAACAATTCGTGGTTTCGGCAACAATTTGCACAAGATTCGGCGACGAGTTCTGGAGTTGATATTTCGTTTGCTTCTTTCTTGTATCCTTACAGCCTATACCATTTGCGGGTTTGAGCTCTGATTCCAGCGCATGTTGTTAAGATCGGCTCCCAATATGAACAGCTTGCAGGGCGACCAGACGAGCCACGAGTAGCCCGGCGTTCTTCTGACCAGGGGAGTTACCCCACGTACAAACGGATGCTTCCCTGCGACCACTTCAGCCCGGCGTAGGAAATGCTCCCGAACGCGGTGACTGTCATTGGCGCAAATCCCCGAAGTCGGCGGGAGTCTCGATCCGGCTGTCTTCCCCGCCCAAACTTTCGCCCTCCACCTTTTTTTTTTTTTTTTTGCCTCCTTCTCCTCGTCCGATTCTCTGACGTCGCCGACTTCGTATTATTCTGTTCAACTTCTCTTTGCTTTTTGTTTTTCGCTTGGGAAGGGTCCTTGTATGGTCTAAATTGCCATCTCCTCCCTGAATTCGGTCTAGGTGAACTTTGAGACTCCCGTGCTTCCCCTGGGAAATAAGACGAAAACAAACATTTGACTGACGTGACATTTGACTTCATCCAACTAGGTTGCAATTACTGCATTCCAATCGCAATCCGGAAGCAGCATCTCCTCGAGTACACCTCTCCCACCTGCTCACATACTTCCCATGCAAGGGATGGCTATCATGAAGACGAGTAGCGTGGTTTTGTCTGTCGATCAAGGTATCTAGGTAATCTGCCTGCATGAAGACCGGTGTTCGGCAACTGCATGTCGCGCATGGCTTGGGCCAGCTCACTGCTCTACAATCGGTGTGCTGCCCCGACTTTTCTGTGCGACAGAGGTTGTCGTTCTGAGAATATACGGTTGAACTTGATCTGGATAATTCCAGCGAAAGGACTCATGCGCGCTTCTGAATTCTCCTCCCTCCCCTTGCGTGGTAATACTGACTGGGCCGCTCCAGCATGTCCTCGGAAAACCCTGTCCCCGCCTTAGCGATGCCGTCGAAGGAATTCTACTCCGTGGAACACCCGACTCACGACCCGGACCATGAAGATGGCAACGGCCCCGCCGCGGCGAGTGGCCCGCATCGACCTTCGAGCCTGGCGAGATTTGCCAAGAAATTCGAGCAGCGACTGGTCGAATACAATCTCGAAGCTAGAGGAATAGAGCGAGTGCGAGAGGAGGAACGCTTGAAGAAGCTCTCCTGGGTGTCATACCTGCAGGCATTCTTACTGTGGGTGTCAATCAATCTGGCAGCCAACAATATCACGCTTGGAATGCTGGGGCCCGTGGTCTATGGCCTTAGCTTCTTAGATTCGGCTCTTTGTGGGGTCTTTGGCGCCTTTGTTGGCGCCTTGGTCGCTTCTTGGATGGCCACCTGGGGTCCTATTTCTGGAATCCGGACCATGGTATGTGGTTCATACGATATTTGTATGCGTGCTGCGGTGAACCGTCTAATCCCGATATAGGTATTCGGACGATATGCAATGGGCTGGTGGCCGAGTAAAGTGGTTGTCATTCTGAATCTAATTCAGATGATCGGATACAGTCTGATTGACTGTGTGGTCGGCGGGCAAATCTTATCCGCCGTGTCTCCGAATGGAAGCATGTCGGTTGCTGTTGGTAAGTTCTTGGGATTGCAGATACCGTAACCATGCGACTAACAAACTATAGGCATTGTCATCATAGCAGTGATCAGTTGGGCGGTTGCTACATTTGGCATCGAGATTTTCCATGTTTACGAACGGTTGGTCCAGCTTACACCCAAACGAATCCCATCAGCCACTGACACCTTGAAGATTTGCTTTTCTTCCTCAGCTCATTGTGGTTTGCATATTGTTCGGCGTGTCTTCGGTGAAATTCGACTTGTCTACTGCGTCTCAGGGCGACACTCGCACACTTGCCGGGAATCGGTACGTTATCGACAGTTTGGTCCTTGCGCGTTCATTGTTTCGCTAATGCATTTCTTGTGCTCTCAGACTGTCGTTCTTTTCACTATGCTTGAGTGCCGCCATCACTTACGCGCCCCTGGCCGGCGATTTCTTCGTCTATTACCCCGAAAAGACATCTAGAGTAACACTTTTCTCGCTTTCGCTCCTCGGCCTTCTGGTCTCATTCACCATGGCTTTCCTATGCGGAATTGGACTCGCATCCGGCATTTCATCCCATTCGGAGTACGAGGCAGCCTACAACGTCGGAGCCGGAGCGCTCATAGTCGAAGGGTTCGGATCACTCCATGGGTTTGGAAAGTTCTGCTCGGTCATCGTCGCCTTGGGGCTCATCGCCAACACCATTGCCCCGACTTATTCGTCCAGCGTTGATTTCCAAATCCTCGGCCGATACGCCGAGAAGGTCCCGCGAGCCATCTGGAACACCGTCGGAGTTGTTATTTACACCGTCTGCGCACTTGCTGGCCGCAGCAACCTCTCCGAGATATTCACGAACTTCCTCGCCCTCATGGGCTACTGGGTCGCTATTTGGATCGCCATCATCCTGGAAGAGCGTTTCATCTTCCGTCTCCGCAGTGGATACAACTGGCACGCATGGTGCGATCCGTCCAAGCTCCCGGTTGGTATTGCTGCGTTTATCGCGTTCTTGATCGGATGGGCCGGCGCGATTCTCTGCATGGCGCAGGTCTGGTACATAGGGCCTATTGCTCGCTTGGTGGGTGACTATGGCGCAGATGTAAGTTTTAATTCACGATCTATCCTAGCCTCTCATCGGCTCCTATGAAAGAAATACATTTGCTAACTAGGATGATTCTATTTGAAGATGGGTCTCTACATTGGATTCACCTGGGCGGGTCTCGTCTATCCGCCTTTACGGTACTTTGAACTCCGTCGATTCAATCGCTAGTCCAGCCCTGGCGAACGACCCAACCTTCTGAACGTGGACACAGTCTGGGTCAGAGGGTCGGGCAGTACATCTGTCCAATCTCCCCTGGATATGGTGTGCTACAAAGCCTTACGACACCAGACAGAAAGCCTCCTAGCACATATAAGCCACCCAGTCCTGCACCAGAGGGATTCACGAGAACGAGCAGGGTACGATATAAAAGCATGTGATTTTCGCATTCGCATATCCAGCGACAACAGCAAGGAACGAGGCATACGTCATGCGCAGGCTCATCAACGGAGTTATCAAAGAAGATGACAGACAATATCTACTGACACTAGCATTATTCCACAATATGATACTATTACATACAGAGTCCATCCATCCATTCATTTACCCACGCTCTTTCAACCTGACTATTAAACTAAATTAATCCCCCCAGGATCACCTAAATCCTTCAGACAACAATAAGAATTACATCTTACAACTTACCTACTTTCCAGGATCTATTCCAAATACCCCTGCTTGGGGTAATTCTCGGGGAACCAAAGGGCAACAAAAAAGGGCCCCCCTAAATTTCCGAATCGACATGGAATCCATTCCCTCCTGCCTTACGCACGTACCTTCTCGCAATACTTCCTTTTTTACTACCAGCGCCACACTATCGCCGTCATCCGTCATCACAGCCCATTGATAGTATAGACTAACGCCTCCACCGCCCCAAACACAACGTGGCATTAGCACTTCCCCGACGCTAGGTCCGCGGAGCCCGTGGAGATAGCCGATGTAAGCACATTAGTACAGCTAGGCATATGTTCAGATGTCGATTGCATTCTCATGGATTGCGATGCGATGTAACCGGGCCAGGCGCTGTCAGACCTTCATCCAGGTACGTACTTCTTTCAACTACTGCCTAGTGAGTATAGACTACGGCATGGATTATAGCAGCACCTAAATTCTACTGTACAGGGACCATCCTGACACATTATCCATGTAATTCATTTAATTTCCCTCAACGCCACGATGTAGGGACTGCAAGCTGGACGCGCGTACCTACTACCTAAGGTACTAACTAGGTTCTATGCAATCCTGTCCGATCTACTCCGTACGGAACATCGGAGACGTTCGGGTGATGTACTTATTTCAGCAATTAATTTAATGAATGATTTCAGAATCAAACTAATCCATATGTTGAAGGTAAGTCGGCCATGCCACGTGACGCGATCAGGAAGCGGATGGTTCCGGGATCCGGAAGGATTGTGTCATGCCACCACTACCACGGTTGTCCTATCGGCGGAGAGGCAAAGGTCATGCCATATCTAATATCACTGATCACTGCGATCATGGTAGACCTAGCTGGAGTAGATAGTTAGTAAATACGAAAAGAGGAAAAAGTGACAATCAGAACAAAACATCACACTCCCATTTCAACTCGACTATTCTACAAGACAAGACAAGAAATGCCCGGATTCAATCAACACAGCACAGCAGAAGATACAGCCACACATAACGAGGTCCAAGGAAATCAAGACGAACTGAGGGGGTAAAAAACAAAAAGACACATCCATATGTAAGGCCGGCGATTAAGAAAGGTAGGTAGGTAGGTAACGGCTGTTGCTTTTTTTTACATGTCCCTTCCGATTCCTTTGTTTTTTGGCTCTTCAATTGTCTTGAATTCTCTATCCCCCTTCTTTCAAATACAAGCCCCGCGTCCCCGATTATAATTCGTCGCGACGTCAGATAGATAATTTACCGGTACCAGTACTCGGGCTTGACGAAGTCGGCGAAGGTCTTGGGCTCCTCGTGAGGGGGGTGGCCGTGGCCGTGACCGTGGTCGTCTATTAAGAAGCGGGTTAGCAAGGGCGAGGATACCGTAGGAGGGATCAAACTCACGGGCATGGGGATCCTCGTCAGGGCCGACGTAGTTCAGCTTGACGACGTTGCCGCACTCGCCGCAGCGCTCGAGAGGGCGGTCACGGGACACCTAGAAGAGAATAAGCAGCCGCTTCTCGGAAGTTGAATCACGCCATGCGACGTACCGTCAGCCAGTTGACCTGGTGAGAGTCGGCAGGGTAACCGGTGCAACCGGCGTACTGCTCGTCACCGGCACCGTTGACAATGATGGGGTTGTCAAGGGTTCCTGGAAAATCGCGCGGTCAGCTATCGCATTCAATTCGTAGACAGCGGAACTCCGAATGTAGCCAATAACCACTGGAGATGCCGTGTATCAGGTTCGGAAAAGAGGGATATATGTACCCTTGCGGGAGGCATCCAGGGGCCTCATGTCGAAGATGTCAATGCCCTGCATCTTTCCGATAAGTTCCAGACGCTCGAGACCGGTGGCGTGCTCAACGTCGCTGGGGATGGTTCCGGCCTTGGCACCAGGGGGAACGAGGTCCTCCTCGGTCTTGATCTCTATTGCAGGTAAAAAAGACAATCAGCGTTATTCTTGACGGTGGTCGGGACATCCACTGAGGCCGGTCGGCCTGGGAAGCTGGAACCCCCGCGCGACCGGAACCTCTTCTCAATTGCGAAATCCAAAGCAATAGCCACAAATGGGTTCAGCGGACAGCTGCAGAGAAGCAATTGATTGTGGAGCCACTGGAGGTGAACTACCGACCTTCGAAAGGAAGGATCTTGCCATCCTTCTCAACTCCGTACTTGGCCTTGTTGCCTGCAGACAAAAACACAGATTAGCCGTGAGCCTTCCAGACGAGCAGTGTATTCGAGGTGATTGGCATTGGGTCCCAATTGGGTCGTGGGAGGGAGGGTGGCCGCGTCTTGTTGTCATAGGAAGAAGCGGTCGTGGGTTGGCACGGTTTGGGATCACGTACAGCGGACGACGGAGGAGGAGAACGGGCGAGCAGCGAAGGCCCGGGCAGGAGTGCGCCTCGCAAGGGCGAAGGCTGTGCGTTGAAGGAACATTGTCCAGGTGGTTGATGTAATGACGGCGGTCGAGAGGGGGGGATGAGGACTTGGAGAGGGAGTTTGGAGTTGAGGTGAGTTTGAAGCCGCTTCGGCCCGTGGTCGGTCGAATAGTCAGCACCGCCGGGTGATTGGCTGCGCCCGGGCTACGGCAGACCAATCAGACCACTATGGCACCGCCGCCCAATCCGGAGACGGCCTAGGGCTTAGGGTTGGTGATGCCATCGTCAGTCGACTCGGCATTTGTCGGCGACATGTCAGGCAATGATGGTCTGGGGTTGGGCATTGGTCTTGTCATTGCCAAGGATTGATGCGGTTAGTTCCTCAACTGAATCACGATGGTTCTGGAAATTGGTGGGGTTCTGCAGGGCCCATGAAATGACGACCGAGGAGCTGCTATTTAGATATCTAAAGATCTATAGTAGCGTCTATACAGCTCATCCTCAGTTCTTCTTATTCCCCTGATTTCCCTTGGGATTCCTCTTGGTCAAATCAGCCGGCAGCTCTTGGAGTACTTGTCCATTCTCCCAGATCTTCCCCATGCCCCGTTTGCGCTCTACTACAACGTCGACAAACTCCAAAGGAACGAGCTTGTCATCTCCATTGCCACTTGCAATCCCTCCACTGAGAATGACGTCGTTCTCACTGCGCCAGAATGGACATCCCGCAGCCAGTGCTTTCTCGATGTTGATGTAAATCAGAATCTGTGCATCTCGTCGCATCCCCGATATCACCTGCGGCTCGTTTGATTGTGCCTGACCCTCGGGTTGCGCAGAAAGTACGGTATCCAACGTCGGCCCTGTCGCAAAGTGCACCTGATTCCTGTTCATAGATCGCAACCCGCCTGATTTCAGGATTGCCGGCCAAGCGCCATGGAACGTTCCATGCACCACAGTCTTCGGTAATTTCGACTTGTCCTCCAAAGAAATCTTCTCAAGAAGGGACTCCGCCTCCACACTCTTGATACTATGACCCTGGGTCGCTCGTATCAAAAAGTGAGAAGGATTCTGATCCTGCACAGCAAGCGCTGTTGCGGTGGCCGTTTCTTGCGCCGCACTCGTCGTAGGGACCGCCGTATTCTGGTCCAACGTAATCGCGTCTTTCTCATGTAACACCTCTCCTTCGCGCTTGTCTTCGGACGTAGTCGATGTCGTGGCAGGGGTATCCCGTTCCACCTCAGCAGAGGGGATGTGTAACAGCGCAAAGCGCTTCTTATCCGACGACGAGACGGCGTTCAAGATCTCCGGGAAGGTGGTTTGCAATGATTTGATTTTTCTCCATGCGAGCTGTGTGACCACCGGCGATCGCGCGATTTGGTTAATGTCTTCCTTTTGAACCCCTCATTTCTCACAAAGGGCAACGGGCGCATACCACGTCCGCCACGTTGGCGTATCCCTGGCTGTCCATCTTGACGCCTTCCTTTTCTGCCGCATGTCGGAGGAGGTGGCTGAGGGCTTTGGAGACGAGTACGTCGCGTCCGCCTTTGCCTTTGCCTTTGGCGTTGCGGGGTTGAGACATTGCGTGGGTTGCGTAGGTTTGTAGACGAGATAAGTTTTGTAGGGAATGAAAGTAGTTGGAATGAATTCGGGTCTGGAAAAGGAGACGTGGCAATATGGCGAGATCGTTAATTCTAAATGTTCGTGATAGTCGGATTTGAGATGGAGGGGGGATCATCAGAAGCTAAGATGGTGTTGGGAGTCTGACTCATTAGCATGGGTCTTTCACCGTGAAAGTGGCTGCTCTTTGTCTCTCAGAACAAGACAGCATGAATTGACCAAGCGCAAAGGGGGAGTCCAGCTTACCTTGACAGCCGCGAGTAAACTTGAAGGAGGAAAATTGTTGATGTTCAGTTTTGACATCATCGGCAGCTGATCAAAGGAACTAGACCAAAATAGGAAGGTCGTCTTCGCCAGATCTATAGCCTCCAGAGTGTAGGTCATCCAGAACATGTAAATATGTAACTGTAACATTCAAGTGTATAGGTATGTTACTGAATATATAGAAGAATAGCCAGGTTAGAGCGCGTATTTGCTCAAGGGTGAAAAAGCAAACAGTTGATAGTCCAACGCTTATTATATATCCAAAGTCTGAAGCATAGAATACGAGAGATAAAAACAAAAGGAATCGCGAAATCAATTCAAGCGCATTATTATAGCTTACCATATGCAAAAGGGTAATGTATACTAAGTAGACAAAATAACTAAATCAACATAGCAGGCTAACATTTTATTCAGCCATCGAATCAGCAAATCGTTTTCGGAGTCGGTCTTTGTATTCAGTTTCTTCTTTGTCCTTTCTTTGAATGAAGCTCTCGGAATATGCAGACCAGTACGGGCTAACAGTCTGATCGAAAACGCGTTGTGTGCAATGCTCTTCACAGAATCTGCCTTGGATGTGCTCGTTAAACACGCGGAGAAGCCCTTTTGGACTATGTACAGCTTGAAAGTACCAGAAGCTCCCCCTTTCCCAGCATTCCTTCATGACACCAACTTGGAAAGCGTTGGAACCCTCAAGCCTTTTTTCTTGTTCGTCGAAAATTTCTATGAATTCAGTGATGATCTTTTCAAAGGTCTGTAAATGCTCTCCATGCTCAATATCATCGATAGGCCGACCCGAAAGCCAATATGGAGGCGTCTGTAGTTCAATTGGAAAGAAACATGCCCATTCCAGGTCGATAAGGGAAGTCACATGCCAATCTTCATCAACAAAAATGTTACTCGGATGGAGATCGGTCAGCGTGAGTACAAAGGGGCCGTTGCGGTATTGGCGGGAAATGAATTGATGTAGAAGTCCCCGCATCATTGTCAAAGCAGCGAATTGTTCTTGACCGTCATTCACATCATGAATGGCATTTGGTTGATGAATAAGTCGGTTGTCATGGCACTGCAGAAGGTCCAGAATATATGGCTCCACAGATTGGTAGGTTGAGTCTCGGGGGATCGTTGGAATACCTTCATTTTCGAAAGTCTGAAGTCGTAGCGTCAGGGGCCGCCTGTCTAGCTGGATCACGCCATCGTCGTCTATCGTGAGAGATCCAATCTGCGGGAGGTGTGTACGATTCAATGACAGCATGATATTAGCGAGGTCTTTGAATAGGGTTCTTCTACGTGTCTGATCCTCGAGAAGATGTGTCCTCCAAGTCTCGGAAAGCATTCGACCATTCTTCACGAAACTTATAATTATATAGCCAGTAGGAAGTGCGCTCGATCGCCTCAGGCTGATATACGGGCATGTAGGAAATCCAAGCCACCAGCGTGCGGCCTGAGTTAGCTGCCAACGCAGACGAGAGAACAAGGATACACAAGAAGGCTTGATAAACTTGATTAAGAAACGCTTAGACGATCTTCTTCCAGAGAGATTCTGCGCTCACGTACAGTCTGTCCACCAGGGAATCCAAATCCATGGAGAATAGGGATAGGAACGGACGGAGCATTTTCACGGATCCAAATGTAAGTAACCACTTCGCAGCGCAGCTTTTCATCCGCATTCCCAGGGAAATTAGGCTCCCCAATTTTGAAGGGTAGGGGATTTCGTATAAGGACGCGTTCGTCGGATGGCGGGTTGACTTCGACGGGAATACACACGTTATAGCTGCCAAACATCCAGTCTTCTTCGGCACCGATTCGGCAGTGTTTTGCGCCTAGATGAAAAGAGACCAGCTCTTCAATTTCACTTTTGTGTGATACAAGGCGTTCCCAGAACTCCTTCTGTTTTCGAGGGTAGTCTAATCGATGGAGGATGTTATCATCATCGGTTAGAGCATCTTCCAGGGCGATACTGTTCCCTCTGAGAAGAGGGAGAGTTGTCATTGTCAGATAGAACCGACTTGTTGCAATAAGCAAAGCAGATACAACAATGATTAAGGATTAAGGGGATGCAAGAGGTATGGAGGTTCTCTCGAGCAGTTCCTGGACCTGCCAATGCGGATGCGGAGAGACTAACCGGAAGGGGGACTGTGTTTATCCCGTGACCTGTTCTATTTCTGGAATGCCTTCGACTAAAAATATACTCCGAAGGTAGAACTACACGAAGGAGGATACCGAATTGTCTACGGAATACTCTGGCCTCTCTCATGAAATGGATAAGCTCACGACAACGACATTGCTTGATTGCGACATCAAAGCTTCGATATTAATCAAGTGGGCCCCTTAACTGCGCTAAGATTGTGTTATCTTGCTGATCACCAGAGTCAGCAATGTTCCTGCAGGTCGATTCTCCAACGAGATTCGCTCGAATCCAACTCGAGTGCAACCTCCAGTCTTAGCCTGACTCCTAATCATGCACCTAAGCCCGTCTTTCCACTCAATGCGACTGCGCCGGCTGCATCGGTTATTCTCGTCCGACGCTCTCCGACGGACATAATAGCACCGTTGCGTTTTCGGCCTCCGTCAAGGCCTGCAGGATGCAGAGATTAATTCGGTTGCAGAGTAACATGGTGAAGAGGGGGAGGTGACAGGGGGGAACTAGCCTCATTTCCTCACCCCATGTCTTAATTTCAGGAACATTCACAAACACCCATTGCCCATATTAAAATGGCCCGCGTCCTTCACCCCGCGCGCTGTCAGTTTTCCTCTCTTCTCTAACCCCCCTCCCATCAATCCTCCTGTAGACAGCTCGCTACAATGCGCTTTCTCTCAGCTGTCAGCTCGGTGGCGTTGATGGCCTCCTGGGCCTCAATTGCTCAGGCAATCCGTCCTCCCATCCCGGTCCCTGAGCCCGTCTCTCGGCCGGTCTCGATTCAATCGACCTTTTCTCAAGGAGAAGCGACCTTTCAGCAACTATTGGATCATCATGATCCGTCAAAGGGCACTTTCTCTCAGAGGTACTGGTGGAGTACGGAGTTTTGGGGTGGTCCTGGGTCGCCGGTGAGTTAGCCAATCTGCATGTATGTTCTCCGTCTGCTAACGATGTGGATTATAGGTGATTCTCTTCACTCCTGGTGAAGTCGCAGCAGATGGATACCAGGGCTATCTCACCAATAAGACTTTGACTGGACACTACGCGCAGGAAGTCCAGGCTGCAGTGGTTTTGGTCGAGCGTGAGTCGGGCCCGTTTTGGAATCGAAACATTCGGAAAACAACTAATGAGTCTTTTGCTAGATCGCTACTGGGGTGGCTCCTCTCCGTACAAGAACCTCACCGCGGAAACTCTGCAGTACTTGACGCTGGAGCAATCTATTCTTGACTTTACGCACTTTGCTAGGACCGCGAGGTTGCAGTTTGACAATTCAACCCGCAGCAATGCGCAGAAAGCTGTAAGACAGTCTCGCTTTTCTTTTATTTACATGGATTTTCGAGGCTGATAGTATAATGCAACCAGCCTTGGGTCTTTGTCGGAGGATCGTACAGTGGTGCCCTGGCAGCTTGGACTGAGGCAACCGCTCCCGGCACCTTCTGGGCATACCATGCGACCAGCGCTCCTGTGGAAGCCATCTACGACTTCGTGAGTACATAATCCTTTGAATGTCTCCAACTGGACTCAGTCTGACCCATCAAGTGGCAATATTTCGAGCCTGTCCGAGAAGGCATGCCTCAGAACTGCAGCAAAGACGTCTCGTTGGTGGCCAACTATATCGATGGCCTCGGAAAGAACGGCACTACTCGCGAGAAGCAAGCCGTGAAGGAATTGTTTGGTCTAGGTGATCTGCAGCATTATGATGATTTTGCCGCGTAAGTCACATCGAGAGTTTGTGAGGTACGAGTTGGTAACTTATTCGACTGCAGGATATTCCCCATCGGTCCATGGTCATGGCAAAGCAACAGCTTCATCACCGGCTACTCTAGCTTCTATCAATTTTGTGATTCTGTTGAGGTAAGACCACCTTTGGTTTCTTTGTTGCTTATCGAGAGCGAATGACAAATTAACCCATAATATAGAACGTCAAAGCCGGTGCATCAGTCGTCCCTGGACCAGAGGGCGTCGGGCTGCAAAAAGCCCTCGCAGGCTACGCCAAATGGTTCAACTCAACCGTTCTTCCTGGCTGTAAGCTCATCCCCCATCTCTTCAAATCCCCACAGCTCATGATATCAACACCATATCCTACCTAGACTGCGCCAGCTACGGCTACTGGACCGACGAACGAAGCATCGCCTGCTTCGACACCCACAACGCCTCCAGCCCGCTTTTCACAGACACGTCCGTCGCCAACGGCATGGATCGCCAATGGCAGTGGTTTCTCTGCAACGAGCCGTTCTTCTACTGGCAGGAGTGAGTCTTCATTTACCCAGCCCTTTTCTCCCCATCTCGTGTAACAGACAAGTCTCGAACGAGGAGGTATGTATGCTAACCATAACTCCTACCTTAGCGGCGCACCCGAAGGCAAACCCACCATCGTCCCTCGCACCGTAAGCGCAGAGTACTGGCAGCGACAGTGTCCGCTTTTCTTCCCCACGGTAAACGGACACACGTACGGAAGCGCAAAGGGCAAGAACGCCGGAACCGTGAATGCCTGGACGGGAGGCTGGTCGAGGACGAATACGTCGCGGTTGATTTGGACGAATGGGTGAGTTTGTTCCCTCCACCCCCCTCTTTCTGTGGACTATGGCTCGGTTGGGCTCTGGTTTATATGCTCTAAGGAGCAGTTTGGCACTAGAGAAGATGTCCATTCACTGATCTGTTCTGTTCAGCCAATATGACCCCTGGCTTGACTCGGGCGTCTCATCGAGGTTCCGTCCCGGTGGACCGCTGGAAAGTACGGACGCTGCGCCGGTGCAGGTTATTCCGGGTGGTTTTCACTGCTCGGACTTGTATATGACGAGCTACGCTGCGAACGAGGGAGTTAAGAAGGTGGTTGATAATGAAGTGGCGCAGATTAAGACCTGGATTGGGGAATATTATAAGTAGGAGAAGGGGAAGAAGGTACTCGCTCGTCATGCTGCTGAGGAAAGACTGAAACTCGAAGAAAAAGAGAAGGAGCGAAGGGCTGACAAGAGACTTACAAGTGACAAGAAATGCATAAACGAATTTGCTGACAGCTATTCGATATTGTATCCGAGATGGCCAAAACTATTGACATTTGAACTAATCATCTTGAAAATGAAACATCTACCAATTGGCAAGGTGTGTACATGATTGTGGATGCCCGCATTTCAAACAATACTACCTTTCGACGAGCGTCGGGACATTCTGGAGAAGAGTCGATCCCGCCGAGCAGTAAAGCTAGAATCATCTGTTTCTTTCAACTCGAGAGTTTTTTCTTTCCCAGCTAGGCTCGTCTCACCACCCGAAAGGTATTTCCATGGATTTTTGACGATTGCCTTGGCCTCCTCAATGTAGACGGCAACCATCAACAGCGGAATCGTGATCGCCATTGACACACAGACTGCATAAACACCTATCAGCATCTTGGGTATAAATATCAAAAGCCCTTAAATTGGTGTCTTACATATTATAGGATAAATCCACCCCGGCTGATAGACCAAGTTGCCTTCGCTGTCATGCTGAAAAGTCGACACGTTGAGGGCAAAAAGACTCGAAAGGAAAGACATCGGGGTCTATTTCATACAGCAATAAGTAAAAGATACATGATCTTACATGCGGGTAAGTATACTCACAAATACTATGGTGACCACTGTGAACACCATGATAGTTTTACCCTGTCGGGCTGATTCTTTACCCTGTCGGGCTGATTCATTTGCCTCAGCGATGCTGACCTCATTTTGCTCGAGACTGAGTAACTCATTGATCTGGAAATGTGAGACTTCATGTATACCAACATTATTGAGTTTTCAACTTACGAAGCGTTGAACAGTGTCTGCCCTATCGCCCAGTACTTTCAAGTCCTGCATGATATAGGCAAAGCTGTTTTCTTCATCAAATGATGAGTTCTTAAGCAGTGTAGTCCAGACAGATTCTTGTTGGGCAACCAGGGCTTGCAACATTATGACCTCCTAGCAAATGTCTCTGACTTCGATTAGAAGTTTAGCTGCGTTGCCGAATACCTCCCAATGTTGGGTTTGGGTTTCCTCCTGGACTCTTCCCCCCTTATTATCTTGTCGGGTTTCCATCTTGGATTTGAACTTTTGAAATAGGCCAATTTCTTCGGTTGCCTATATCTATTAGGTCTCAATAATATCGATCAAGCACATAGGATACACCAACCTTCATTTGGATCGTTTCAGCGAATATATCCTTGGCAGTTCTTGAATCAAAGGTATGATTCCCCGACCAACCAAATGGGGTTTCTTCAAAAGAAGAATTTCTCCAGGTGGCAGTATGAATGAAATTGATAATGAATTGCAGAATAAACTTGCACAGCCCATCCACCGAAGAAGGTGGGTGTGCTTGGTTGCCATAAAACTGATTGATTATCGGACCAACAACCGGATCATCGAATCCATCGTTCCTGTGAGTGGCACATGTGATAATTGTCTCTGGATCAAAATTTTTGTATTTGTTAGTATAAATCCCTTTGACAAAGAAACAGTCACTGACCTTCATCAATGACCCAGAGCCACAACTGGCCGACTGTGATAATCGGCCACCAAGGCCTATTCGTCATTTCCTTCCCCTTATGACCTCCCACAAGAGCTCGCGTCACTACTTGGTTCTGATCACGCTCGCTCAGATCTTCCAAAGCGTAATAATAAAATTGATACAATGATCTCGTGCCATGAACAACATCCCCCTTACATGCATCAATGAGCTCCTTGTATGTATGTTGATGACCGAGCTCTTCACCGCTCAACTTGCGCTTTTGCTCGTCTTTGAGGCTATAGCACTTGCCAAAAGTAAGGTATGGAATCTTGATGGTCAGTGGTAATCTTATAATGGTTCTAGAGACAATCTTACATAAAGAGCAGTGGCCTCGAAACCCCCACGGCCTAAGTCATATCAGTGTCTTGATCGTGTGTACATTCGAGGTCTACTGCGTACGCCTGAATATCTGACCTGTTCTAGTTAGTGGTTTTTCTGTCTGGCCGAAATTAACTTCATCACCTGTGTTCTTTGCTTTCTGGTCTTCAGAAGTAGGATTTTCGGCCTCGGCTGTTCTTTGGATAGATCCCAGACCGGCAATCTTTTGTCTCTTGAAATATGTCAGTTCCAAATTGAGCATGAGCCCGCAGTAAGAGGACTTGCACGTACAGAGCACGATGGTTTCATGAAATTAGAGGGTTTAGAGCTGCTTGTGACCTCATGCCAGCTTCTCTTCAAAAAGCGACGTAGTGAAGAGTAGTTGCTGTTTTGCGGGGAGGAAGAGCTTTTTTCAATCTTATCGTAGTAAACTCTCTGAGTGAGATCCTGAGGCAAATATAAACTTGGTGAATACCAGAGAAGCCGGGAAGAGACAATACCTCCATCCATTTCATCTAACCTCCTTCATCAGTGGGGCACCTCCTTGGAATTCATATCAGGATTCACTTACATTATTGGCCGGCAGATGAATCCATCTCATTTGCAAATTATCCCGCAAATAATTACTTTCTTTCGCTGTGTCTGGGCTAATCTCTGCGAGAATTTTCCGTGCCTGCTCCATTATTTGCTCCGGACCACCGTTGTTGGTATCTGCTTTATCCGAGCTGGCTGCCTTGTAAACCACATCTCGGACAGAGTACGACCGCCGAAGGAAATCCACACGCCCATCTCGCTGATAGAAATCAACAATAGTTGCATCAAACTTGTCGATTACAGGCCCTGATGTGTTCGAAAGCGGCATTGATCTGAGGTCATATGAATCTTCCTTGCCCTCGACTGGAGGGGGATCTTTCAACATGGCTATCGTGAGCGGGAAGTCAGTGTATTTTTGTTGACCTTGCGAGACACCTAGAAGCTTATGATTTTCGCGCTCCTTGCTTCTATTTGGCAGGTCTTTCACTCCAGGATTTTGGCCTTTAGTCTCAATCTTCTTTGAAATCAAAACATGTTTTTGTTCTTTCTCGGTATGTAAAGAACCAAACCCATTTTCGTTCTGATTCACTGGTAAATCCCTTTTTCTTTCCCAAGCCAGTGCTATAGCTTTCCTTCGGTCATTTCTAGCTTTTTGGCTATCTGGCGTGGTTTTGAGCAGCCACCAAACAACGGCATGCTTTCCGTGATACGCGGCGACTTGCAAGACAGAGTATTCTTGGTTATGGCTGCTTGACGGGAGGCCCTGGCGAGACAACACCTTGTGTAATTTGTCATGATGTTCGTGCTTTGACGCATACCAGATAAGCTTGCTCTCCTCTTTCTCAGTATCTGCCATTTCCATCATCTTTGCGAGCATATCGAATTCTTCCTCCTGGTTGAATTGCCTCATAACCAGCTGTTTCTCGGCGATGGCGGATTCATTTGCTATCAGCATTACTGCTTCTTCAGATGACCGAAGAGCTTTGTATTCATCTCCACCCTCTTTCAAGGTCCCATTTCTAGGCCAGAGTCCCTTTTCGTCCGACATCCTGGAGAATGTAGAAACTGATAGAGCCAACGCACTTTGCCCTGTCTCAGAGACTTTCAATTTGCAGTCTGCCCCCTTCTTCAAGAGGAGACGAACGGTTTCTTCGTCCCCGTTCCTGCTTGCATAATGAAGGGCTGTATAGCCGTTTTGGTCGATTTCATTCACCATGGGATCCTCAAGTTTCAGAAGTTGCTCTACCACTTTCGGGCATTGCTCATGACTAGCCTTGTGAAGTGGTGTTTGTTGGTCATCTTCCGTAGAAATCATCTTGGCTCCTCTTTCAACCAGTGCCTGAGCAATCTTCCCACGATCTTCTTCGAAGCAATTGACATGTGCTTTATGTAATGCAGTCTACCCGTCTTCATCAGCAGCATTGACGTCAGGATCATGGGAGAAAATCATTTTCACGGTCTTGAAATCTGCGTAGCGTACAGCAAACTGCAATACTGTCCATCGATCATTGTTCCAAGCATTGATATCGGGTTTGTGGGAAAGAATCATTTGCACCATCTCAGAATCTCCATTGCGTGTAGCGAGGTGTAATGCCGTCCACCCATCCTCTGTCACAGCATCAATATCAGGATTGCGTGAAAGAATGATCTGTACCATCTTAGAACCTCCATAGCGTGTAGCAAAATGTAAGACTGTCCAGTTCAAGTTGCCGACTGAATTTATCTCAGGCACAGCGTCTATAAGAAGCTCAGCGACTTGTAGGTTGCCCCCATAGGCTGCCCCGGATAAGGGCGACCATCCGTCGTTGTCTCGGATTTGAACATCTGCTTTACTATCCAAAAGAGCTTCGACCACATCTTTATAGTCATGTCTAGATGCCAAATGTAGTGCAGTTTCGCCATTAGAATCGTCTTTGGAATTTATGCATGCCCCTTGTTCAAGAGCTCTTTTGACATCTTCAACATTTCCTTCTTTGGCGGCTGCCCAAAGGTCCTTATTGGCTTTTTCATTCGAGCCTTTTTCAGGATCCTTAGGGTCCTCGGTGTCGGAATTGGGCGCCTCATGAGTGGATGGCTCTTCCGCCTGGTCGCTCGTCGCCTCGCTTTGATCGTTTGCGTCTCCAGTTTGGACCTCTACCTCGACAGGATGGGGAGGAGTCCCCTGCTCCGGCGCTTCTTCGCTCATCGTGGGGTCGTCGGGCGGTTGTTCGCTCATTCTGTGTTGGAGCTGGACAGTAAAATAACGATGACAGAAATGGTATGCTTTCACTACAACAAGAGAATTGAGATGAAAAGAAAGATGACGAGGAAATCCAGGTTCCCAAACCCCTTATTACCCAGCAGCGCACACCACGACCGTGCTATCGTCAACGCACGCTGCCAGCGACAATCTGCAACGCATGACTCGAAAAAGAGGGGTCTCCTCAGACAAAACGAGCTGAACAGATAGTGTCAAAACAAATCTGTAGGCCGATCCTGACGCCCTCATTTAATTGGTTGTGTTGGTATATTGCTTCTTTCAGCCGTACGCAGAGATTTCTATAAGGGGATTAGTTGCATCCTTTAGGGGATTTGACATCAAATTGCTGATGTGGTTGTCAAAGCTACCAATGGTCTTGACATGGCTGTTTGCTCACCTGCAGATCAAATCACACGGTCACATTGCGGATGCTCGATCCTGCGAACCTGTCTCTTGGGTGTTGGTGTTGGAGAGCGTAGTTTTGCTCTGCTTTGTGGTTGCTTTAGAGTAGTAGGGTCGGGGACCTCGGGGTTCGCTCCTGCCATGGCGCTACTGTATGCAATGCCATGTCATGTCGGATGGGGTAAAGCGAGCGATCTTCTCTTTGTCTTTCCTCTTTCTGTTTTTAGTCGTGTATAGCGAGGCTTAAATGCGTAGAAGATGAAATGAATGATTTGCTTATGATAATGAAACTGATTGATGACGGATTCAACTACTCAGTTGAGATTATGCATGTTGTGGAGGAAAGATAAATTCCTCCCGGATGTTTTGCGTGAAGACAAAAGAGGACATCACGTGGCAGATTGAAACTACATTGGCATCACTTGCAGATACATTTAGATCAATTCCCCTTCGTATATGAATACCGAAATATAATAAATAAAAAGACCTTATCCTCTTCTCATTATCTGCTAAAACTGGGTATATCAAAAGAAAAACCAGAACCCACCCACTCGCTACATCAAAAAGCCGAACAAGACATGCCAACACATCACTATAAAAAGAAAAAATAAGAAGGATAAACGAAGTCAGAGCAGTAAATATAGAATCAAGAAACGAAAAATCTATAGCCCAAGCCCATTCCCACAATCGCTACCGATCACAAATACAATTGCACTCCGCAACAGGACAAACTCTATGCTTTGCAAACCACTCTCTCGCATGATGCGCATGGAACCCGTGATTGCAATTGATGCAGAACACGATGAACCGACGCATCAGTTCTGTCTCACTGGGTCGGCGTGGCTCCTGTCCGGCATCAGCTGCAAGGGCGGCCTTGGACATTGGATCGGGAGATCCCAGCCACAGCGTGCAGACGCCGCAGCGAGGCATATGTCGACCGCAGCGGGGACAGATCATGCCGGACATGGCGGCTGTACCGAGAGGGTTTCCGGGAGTGGGATGGACGACTTCGCCCGTGGCCGAGGGGGAAAGTTGGGAGGAGGCGTCGTGCTGCGTGAGGGGCCGTGTGCAGTAGTTGCAGGTGAGGCTGACTTGCTGTCGGGGCGGCTCGATTAGTTTCTGACCGTCCCAGGTGACGGCAAATTTGCGGGATCCGACGTCGAACCGGGCGCGTTCGAGTTGCAATTTCCAGGAGTTGATTTGCCAGCGGTAGGCTTCGCGCCAGGTTTCGAAGCGGGCTCGGTTTGGGTGGTTGTTGATGAAGCGTGGGACGCTGTGGCTCATGGCCAGGACGGGGGTTTGGACGTCGCTGAACTTATTGATGTATGATTGGAAGAGGTCCATGGCGGAATGGCCGAGACCAGTGAGAACGATGCCTTCAATGTCACCTTGCCGAATGGCTTCTTCGGTCGTTTCGTTTAGGTAAGGCGTGAGTTCGTCGTCGGGTAGCCATCGTAGGGCCACCTCGATGCGATACTTCAGAGGCAGCGTAGTCTCTTGGATGACTGACTTCCAGTCTCCCTTGCTCACAAGCGCTAGGATAGCCCGCGCATAGGGGTCTGTGAGTTCTTTGGCAATCTCGACGCAAGTGTCTTCCCAGTCCGAGTCGGTATCACCTTTGGCAGCGCCCGCGATGGCCATGGCAAGGAGTTTATGGGCTTGGGTAGGGGAATGACTGCGCAGCGCCAGATAAGCCAGCTTGGCTTCATCTTGAAAAACCGCCAGTGCAGCTGCTTTGGTATGCTGGTTCTCAGCTGCTAATGCCATCACTGTGTCCTCCAGTTCACGGTGAGATTGCGTGGCACCGCAGAGTCGCAGGCAAAGTCGGCGATGCTCTGCGTAATTCGTCTCGCAGCCTTTCGCCTCCGGAAGGCGTAGTGTTTCTCGCACCATATCCACAACAGCCTCGCTCACGTCGGAGCTGCTATCGGGACCGACTCTTCGATTATCAAGACTTTCACCTTCAAAAAGTCAGTTATGATTGATCAGTGATAAGCAGCAGGACTCCAAGACTCTTACCGAGGTCATTATTCCATACATTCCATACACCAATATAACTCAAGTCCAAGTCGTTGATAATCATCGAATCATTAGAGGAATCGGAACGTGCCCCTAGACCATCGGATGAGCATTACTTCCATCATAGATCTAATATCATATCACTCACGTTGAATCCAATCCCAGAAGCCCGGAAGGCAGGGATCATCCGCTACTATTCCCTTATTGCGCGATTCATCAAACAAATACCCTTCCATGCACCGCATGCGGTTCACCGTGAGCAAAGTTAGCGCCTCTTCAGCGGTCAGCGGCTCGCCCGAAGTCCCCAGGGATACGGCACGCTCGCGAGCTTCCCGACTTGATAGTGGTTTCGTGGAATTCTTTTCCGGCGCTACGAGGCGACTCTCGCGAGGCACATCTCCGGCGTTGTTTGGGTCGGGCAAGATGCGTTCCTGAAGGCTTCCAACCACCTCCGCGATGCTTGATCCCGGGCTAGAAAGAGGACTTATGACCTTGAAATCGGATTCGTCGTCGGAGCTTCCACATATCAGCGAGCCCCGTGAAGATAGGCGGACCGGGGGCGGAGGCGGTTTCGCCGTCGCGATGTTAATCTGGCCGTTACCCGATAACGTGATGGCACTGGGCTCGTTTGAGACACTCATGTTGAGGAAGTCGAAAGATACGACTCTTTGAAACTCCGCATAGCCACGCGAAGAATGGTTGAATGGACTATGTACGTCGCGAACGTGTTTCGTATAGATCTGCTCGGGGTAGTTCTTCAAAGACTCCTGGCCGAGAGTCTCATCCATCGACGACCGGTATTCCTCGGACAGATATTCCTTCGCGATATCGTAGGTCTTAAAGTGACCCGTATTCGCCAGAACACCCAAGCACCCTCTCTTCGTCCTCGAAAACCGAAGACTCCATATCGACGACTTCGGCGCAATCACATTCGAGAACTCCAGCGCCGGTCCAGGCTGGCCCGTCTCGACGGTATTCGCAGGTCCCACGCCCGGCGTCGTGTATCGCGACCCCACGCGACGGTCCCAGATACAGACAGTCGGATCATTCGAGGTCAAGCACGACGCGATATAATTCTCATCCAGCCAGTCGATGGCTAGATTATGCACACAGCGGGTGGGGAACTGCAGCGACGGATTCCCGGGCCCCTCGCGCAGGTCGTAGATGCGCACATACTGCCCCTTGACCCCGGTGACCAAGGTATCGGGTTGATCCCGGAAGAACTTCACGCTGGTGATAGGCTCGGAGCTGGCGAGTTTCCGCAACGGCTCGACATAGCCCTTCGCGCCCTTCATGGTCAGACGCTGGCTCACGTCCCAGATGTTCAGGCAGAAGTCATTCCGCACGCGGTCCAGGCCGGCGGCCAGCAAACCATGCGTGCTGAAGGCGACGGCATTGCAGTATCGCTGGTGGCGAATGGGGAAGGAAAACGACTCCTGGGACTCGCTGTTCATGCGCAGGATGGTCGCGTCGCCGGAGGACTGGCCCACCGCCACGAGCGACTCGTCGACGGGCGACCAATCGAAGGCGCGAAATGCGGGCACTTTGGTGTGCGTCGACAGCACCTCATGATCGAGTGTTTGCCCGTCGAACGAGGTTACCCTGCACAGTCGGAAGGCCTTCCCCGTCACGTCGACGGAGAGAAAGCGTTGCTCCGCGGTGGTCGAGGATGGAGACCAGCGAATGGCCGTCTCCATATCTTTTTTTTTTGTGGGTGGATTTGACTGCTTTCGTTTTAATTACTTACATACGCGTACACATACACGCGCGCAAGTCGCTTTTTTCTTTCTTTCTTTTTTTTTTTTTTGTTTTAATGTCTTGAAATAATATTTTAATTTCTGTTTGGGACGTTGCGGAATCAATGTGACTGGTTCGCCGCCCTAGTTTAAGTGGAATTGATCTGATGCGTCAAACACCCAGCAGTAGCGCCAGCCTCTTACCAGCTTGCGCAGCTGGATCATTCAGGCAGTGGAGCGCATGGTAGGATCGGGATTCAAGTGGACGGACGAACTGAGACAGACACAGTCAGGTCGAGGAATTGTCAAGATCCCCCTCTGAGACAGGGATGTCGTGGTCAGGAATCGGTCCTCCGACCGGAACACCTGGAGGTAGAAGTCGGTAGTGGGCAGTGAACCGCAGGTCGTCAATTGTCGAGGCAGTCGAAGCGAAGTACAGTAGACGCAGGAAGAGAAGGACGAGGAAGTGAACAGCGACGGTGCCTCGCGCTGATTGGCCGCCGGCGGGGAATCTGGGGGACTCTCGGGCCGAGTCTTGATCCGGCCGAATATCTATTTTTCTTTTCTTTTTTTGGACTCATTCAGGACTGCTAAGAACATTGCACGACAGCTTCTCCCCCTCTCCCTCTTTAAACCCTATCCGAACCTCCCTCCCGGATCTCCATTTCTGGTCTTGGTCTTGGTCTTCGTCCTGGTTTTCCGTTTCGTCATGCCGCGCGACTACTCCAGATCGGCATCCCCCGTGGCCCATCCCACCAAGGACAGAAAATATCGCGATCGCAGCGACGCTCGTCCCAAGCGCAAAGACCGCGATGGCTCCGACGACGCGGCCCCCGCCCGCAAGAAGATCCAGATGCCCCGCAAAGAAACCAACTATCCGTCGGTGAACGAGCTGAAGAAACGGATCCGGGATGTCAAGCGGCTCTTGAACAAGGTCGATCTGCCGGCCGATGCACGCATCGTGCAGGAGCGAGCGTTGGCCGGGTATGAGAAGGATTTGGAGGACGAGAACAGCCGTCGGGATCGGTCGAAGATGATCAAGAAGTATCATTTTGTTCGGTTTTTGGGTACGTCCTCCCTCTCTTTTTACCCTCATCCTCAATGACTGCCTCAAAGAGGTCGAGTTTGTTCGGACTTCCAGAAGATGTTTGCATAATCTACGTATTTGCTACTTCAGAGCCCTATCTATGGCCATGAGACAAAAAATCACCACATGCCTGATGGACACCGAACAAACTATTGTTTTCACTTCCCCAACCGGCGGAATATGTATGCATCATGAGACTAACCTCGCAATCAATTGATGCAGACCGAAAAACCGCCACAAAAGACGTCAACCGTCTTCTGCGTCGCGAGAAAGCTCTCGCCGAGTCTGACGACGCCTCGTCCAAGAAGAGCAAACTAGCGCAGAAGATCCACGTCGCTCGCGTCAACCTCAACTACACTATCTACTACCCGCTCACGGAGAAATACATCGCTCTCTACGCGAAGGTCAAAAAGGACAAGGAGCGGGACCCGAAAGACGACACCAACGACTCCGACGATGACGCCGGCTTCAAGGCCATTCACACCTCCGTCGCGGACAAACCGGCGCTCTGGCATACCGTCGAAAAGTGCATGAAGGACGGGACGCTGGATCTGCTGCGGGACGGGAAACTCTCGTCTCGCGACGAGGGAAGCATCGGGAATAAGAGCTCTGCGCGGCAATCAGAGAAGAAGACCGCCAAGTCCAGTAAAAAGACAGACTCGAAGAAAGACAAGACGACTAACACCAAGTCCTCGAGTCGCGGCGCAGCGAAGAAGAATGAGCGCGCCCCGGCCGAGAAGAAGGCGGTCGTCAATGAGAACAACGACGATGACGAGAGTGATGGAGGCTTCTTTGAAATGTGAAAAAAGAAGACAAGAGAAAAGCAAAAATTCGTCTGCAACCGGACAAGTCTAGCGTTAAGCATTTTCGGGAGTTGGTTGTTTGTGTTTGTTTGTTCTTCCAATAGCATGGGGTTAGTTTTGTTCGTTCCGGCCTGCTCCTGTATTTATATAAAGGCTTCCTTAGGGTTTTCCTTCCTCTGTCGATACCCAAATTCCATCATACTTTTTTTGTGTCACTTTCTTTCTTGATTCAATCAATTGTGTTCCTACCATAGATATACTTACACAGTATCCCCAGAGCCCAGAAAATAAAGATAGCACAGAAAGATAATCAAGAAGTGAACCCAAATCAAACCAAACATCATGCTGGATCTAAATGACCGACTATGCATGATCCTAACCCAAAGAAAAAAAGAATAAGAGAAAAACTCCAAGCTTGACGATGCATCCATCCGTCCCTTCTAACTAACGATAGAAACAAAGAACTGACCGATCCAGCTACCAGACCTTTCGCCCGACAATCGCATCGCATAAATCCGGCTCCAGTACGCCGAGTCCAGGGACCAAAAACAATCCAGATTGATCTGGAGAGGGAAGGATGGCGAGGAAATGCGAGGAAATTCGCAAGGACCTAAATCTCAGAGCAAGGCAAATTGTTTCGAAGATTTCATCATCTCATATCTCGTAGCATGCTCGCTGGAGCGATGCTCTGAATTCAGCCTGCCAGCATGGCCAGCATTCGGCTGTCTTTTTTTTTTTTGTCTCTTTTTCTTTTTGTGTGTTCTTTTCTCGAGGTCACTTGGACACTTAGAGTGAGGTTTTCCTGAACCCTCATACAAGACGCCTTTTGACTGGCGTGGTGACAAACAAAAGCTCAAGCTCGCTGGAAACGCACACAAAAAAATGATCACGGACAGAAAGGTGACGGAGAGAAATGCCATTACATGATCGTACAGGAGCCCCCGCTTTGCGCTCGCCTGCGACGACCACCCAGAGGACCGAATGCCCCTTCCTCGTCGTCGGCGTTGTAGATTCTCTCGGCCTCGCGCGCGCGACGCCGTCGTCGTCGGGCACCCGCGCCGGCCACGCCGGCTTCTTCGGTGGCGATCATGTAGTCGGACCATTTGCGATCGAGTCGGCTTGCGGCGGAGAGGTCGCCGCGCAGGACGCGTTTGTTGTGCTCGTCCACGGTCATCTGCCAGCCGTAGAAGCACTTGAGGTGGATGATTTCGTTGGGGTAGACCGTGGGCGGCGGTGGCGGGGTAATGGAGGACGCGACCATCGTCGTGGAGCTTCCGTTTTGGCTGGGGAGGATAGCCTGTGCTACTACTGAGATGGATGAGAGAGACTTGCGGGAGCGAGGGACGTAGGCGTTGCTCGATAGAACCTCCTTGACGCCGGCCCACGTCACGTTGGCGCAGTCGAAGACGACCAAGCGCAGGCCGATTTGAGGGAGGTTCTCGTTGTAGCCGCGCTTGCGAACTCGATAGCTGGCTTCCATCAACGTAAGATCGGAGACTCGGGTGTTGTCCATTTCCACCGTGCGGAGAGAAGGGCAACTCTTGACGATTTGAAGCATGCCGATATCCCCCAGGCTCTCGCAATAGCTGATGTTCAGGTGCTCGAGGCGCGAGGCGCAAGGCGACTTGGCGACTTCAATGAGTGAATTATTCGTAATCCTTTCAAGATCTTCGAGTTCGAGGTGGGTCAGACGAGGGGTGGTTTGGACGACAGTCATGATAGAATCGTCGCTGAGCTCGGGGCATTGCGACAACTGGAGACCCTCGATGTCGGGAATGTTGAAGGCAAGAGCCTTGACTCCGTCATCCGTCAAATCCGGGCACTGGTGGATATCGAGGTGCTTGAAGCGACGAGGAGGTACAACGGGTCTTTCGAGGAGCAGGTCCATTTCAGGATCAAGGCCGTGGACAAGGGTCTTCAAAAAGTCGTCTGTCAAGTCCGAGCGGCTCATGATAAAACGTTCCAGGGTGTTTCGCTCGAACAGTTCCAGCGCAAAGCTCGTGTCATCAAAGCCACGGATCTCGCTTGCCCGCAGATCCTTCAATTTAGGACAGGCCTTCACGATCCTCTTCAGGCCGGTAGTGTCCACGCTGGTACACCAAGACACGTTCAGTATCTCTAGTTGCGGGCACGACTGGGCGATGATCTTCATGGCCGAATTTGTCACGCCGGCCAAGCCAGAGAGGTTAATGTATTCCAAGCGCGGGTTTCGTAGAAGAAAGTAATGGATAGAGGTCTTGTCGATGCGACAACCCTCGAGCGAGAAATTGACAACGTTGCGACACAGATCGGTGATACGCTCGCCCTCGGCCTGCCACTTGTCTTTCAGCTGGATACAGCCTCGGAGATTGAGGTCCCGCACGAAGGGACCACCGGCAGCGATCAGCTTCACAAGACCCTCGCTAGGGATATCGCGATAGTAGTCGGTCGTATCCACCTTCGACCAAAGCTGTCCGTCGTAGCACATTTTGTTCCAGGTTTTCGAGACGGCAGAGCAGCGAACGATTTCTTTCGGAGTCAGGTACTGGAAGATGTGCATCCGGAGTTCCTCGGGCATGCTGCCCCAGAAGTCAAATGGCTTCTTTGGCTTGGCTGGCGACGCAGAAATCTCCAAGGCATCGCTGCTTAAGGGAGACCCACGGGAACCCGGTCTCATATCCGTCGGCAACGGGACGGTCTTGTACTGAGTCCCGTTCGGAGAGTCAGATCCAAAGAGACGGATTCGGGCATTTCCATCGGGAGTCTCGTCGGGACTGGCGTTTTGACCGGAAGTCATCGGGCGGACATTTAGTCCCCCATAGAGTTGAGAGGAGCTCCCATTGCCAAGGCAAGGGGTGTATGACGATTGCGAGAGAGAGACACAGGATAGAGAAGCTTTTCCATCTCGGCGGTAGCCCGTGGAGGCCGAACGACCACGTCGAGTCAAGCTCGGGGAAGACGAAATACGCTGGAGGCTTTGCAGCAACTTGTGCCGCCCTTTGAGTTTGGGAGGTCTGTTCAGGGGAATCTGACCTGTCGAAGAGGCCGGACTCACACTCACCGGGGAGACCCCCCCAGGAGAGGTTCGAATCTCAGCCATGACAAAAATTGCGGTATCGAACCACGCGGGCTACTTCCCAACCCAACTAGCGTATACTGAACACGTTTTTTCCCTTTTGTTTTCGGATAAGATCGGAAAATGGTCCAAATTCTGGAGAATTGGCGAGTTCTAGACAGCCCAACCGGGCGAAGAAAGTGATATCGGCGACGAACGGCGGGATTCCGCAACGATCCAGAATTCAGACGGTCATGATGGTAGGTGTAAACCAAGCCGCGCGTATACTAGTAGTTTCCGAAGTACATACAAAGAGCACTCGCCCGACCAATGCGAAGGACGCCGAAGTCCCGATCCGGCCGGCGGAAGTCAGCGAGAGGCCGTGTGAGTGATACTGCAAGGTCAATAAGGAGGATGCCCGCGAGGAAGACGGAAGAATCGAGAGTCAGGCGGGCAGAAAAGGCAGTGGTGGAGGTCGTGGTGTCTTTCGGCTAGGGACTGTAACAATTGTACCATGGGACCCGTTGACCGCGTAACCCGGGAGATGCGGGAGAGTCCAGCAAGGACTAGAACGGTGAGGTAGTAGAGGGTCGAGTTGGCAAGTCGAGTCTGCCCAGGTAGTAGACGTCACGCCGGATGATCCGCAGCGATGACAGCAGGACGGGGTGAAGTGTAAACAACGACGAAACAAACGATAATGGGAAGAATAATAACAGTAAGGAAGAGAAAACCAGGCGGAGCGCGCAGAATCACGTCAGGCCGGGGCTGGTGATTCGGTCAGCCGACAGAAACCAGAGCCGTCGGACCAAGACGGCTCTGAGCCACGGCGACGATTCGAGCAACAGTCTCGACGCCAGGGAAAAGGCGAATCACACGGCGTCCGAAGGCGAGGCCGCCACCTCCACAGCTTATCGGGGGACTTTCGGGGGACTTATCGAGTGCCCCACTTGAGACAGGAGGATTCAATATTTCAGTACGGAGTAGCACGGAATTCACTCTTTCACTTGGGAGTACGGAGTAGAGGGGACAGGATACAATTCATTCAGGATTATGTACTCTACAGTACATCTCATGGTAAAAATATTAAATAATAGACAATAGATACCAGATAATAAATGTACAGAGGCATGGCTGGACAGACCCAAGGCTTATTTAAATCTCGCAGCCTAAAATGGCGTGGGTGTGCCAGATGGGGTGACACCGTCTTACTTACTTTACTACGTACTATTTACTTGCTCTCCCAGTGTCTGTGTCTCTCTTAATCCCTCACTCTCCCATCGGAAAAATCTCTACCAGTGGACCATCTCCAACGTCCATCTCGGACAAAAGGCACGGAACCCAATGGCAAAACATCCAGAATCCATCCTGTACCAACCCAGCAATGGCAAGAAAAAAAAGAAAAGAAAAAAATGGAGATGTCCCTGAGAATCCAGTCCAGGCACCTCCAATCAGCGACCAACCACTCCCCCTCTTTTCTCTGTCGCCTCTCAGTCCTTTTTATCCGGCCTGTTCCTGGTCTGGGATTAGTCTCGGTACTCGACTCCGTGGATTCAGTCTTAGCTGCATGGCAGTCCGAACAAATCGTCGGGCTGCCCTTGCTGATACCAGTTATTAGTGGTGAATGGTCGGGGATGGTTCAAATTCCCCATTCCCAGTCCCCATCGCACTTGGGTCCACGGAGAAAGTCTCAACAGTCCACAGTCCACAGTCCACATGGGCGAGACAACGCCACGGATGGACTCCTCCTGCGGGGAAAGGTCGCTCGTCCGTACGGTAGTTGGGATCTTCTAGCCAGTATCGTCTCTAGTCCGTGTTCCTTCTCGGGGGCAATTGGTTGGATTCCCCAGTCGACAGTTAGATAGCCTACTGACTCCGTAGATGAACCCTCGAAGTAAAAGGTCTAACCGGCGTCAGCTCACGGAGGACGAATCAGATCCCCTGCTCTTGATTGATCCTGTACCTCGGATGCGACCTGACTGTGGCTGATACGAACAATTAAAAAAGAAAGAAAGAAAATACGGAGGAGTACATCCAATGAACTATCCGTAGCCTTCAACGCTCGAACATCGGAAACTGTATCTGTCGATTTCTAGGCACTCTTGGCCCCCGTCCTATCGGTGAGTCGGCGGACGATACCTCGTCTCGACGCAGAGCCATCAAAGACACTACCCAGGTAACTCCAAGCCAATCTGAAAGTCCAGACCTTCATCATCAAAGGCAAAATACACAGGTCAACGGAAACCCCCTCCGGCGAATAATGCCCGACACGACGACAAAGCACTGCAATCCACGGACCGGACGAAAGTCAAGATCTGGTGTGAAAGATTCCAAGGACGGTAAAAACCAGCCTCCTTGCTTCGACGGGCCACGCTCAATGAAGTCATGGCGTCCCACTCGGGAGACTGGGAATTTCCTTGGTGAGAAAAAAGGTGAAAGGTGAAAAGTGTCACTAAGTCGTTGGTTCATTCAGCTAGTCGTTAGTTCGCGCCCGGGGCGAAACTGTCCCCCGCTCCTCCACCCCGCAGTGGATGCTTCCCTTTGTTTCTGTCGGTCTTGCACTTTTCGAGTCTCGCGCGCAGTGGTACGGAGGAAAAGGCTCTTCGTTCATTGTCTTCATTCATGCAGCGAATTCTAAATGTCCTAAAATGTCCCGGGAGGATTCTACCACCAATCACCCAGCGTAAGCAAAGATAACGCCATTGCTAAGGGTATATCAAATCTCATATGCATGTCTTGTCATTCTCCCCAGACCGTGGCAAAAGAAAAGAGAAAAAACAGAAAAGAAAAAATCGTGTAGGATCCAAAGCAAGATTCGGTGGAAGATCAAAAAACCACTTCTAGCCAAGCATACTCAATATGACGGGGTATCTCATCAGCCTCCGTGCCTCTGTATACAGCTATACATCCACCGGGCCTCCTGGGCGAACTGTCTCCGAGCACGTGGGCGTCTTCAAGTTCGTCGTCCCGGTCTTTATCATTTCCAATCGTTAAAGCCGTCATGTGCGGTGTTCGCTCGTCAGATATCTGACGCGACCAAATGCTGGAGTGGGGTCGAGGAGTGCGACGGAGCTGACAAGTCCCCGCGAGCTGAAAGAAATATAAGAGGGGGAAAAAGAAATAAACAATGCCGCTATATAATGTTTCTGTCACAACTCCTGGGCTCAGTCCAGATGGGCAAATCATGCGACAAGGTTTAGTTGTCCATCATCCATGGATGCTCCATGATTTCGGTGATGGTCAGGCGATTGTCGACATCCCGGTCCAGCATGCGTCGGATCAGGTCGATGCAGTCTTCCGAGAATGGTATAAAGGGGATTCGAAGCGGATGGTCCAAGATCTCGTCGATGTTATAAAACGGATTCTCCTTGTAGACGATCGTATAAAGAAGGATTCCAAGCGCCCAGATATCCTGCTCTTTGCCGCGATAGGATTTGCCCTGAAGGACTTCGGGTGCAGCGTAATCTAGAAACCAGTCAGTAAGCCAGTTGTACTCACGATAAGTAGGGCCAAAAAGAAAAGAGAGAAAAGAGAAAAGAAGGGAGGGGATAATAGACAATGGAACATACCAATGGTTCCAACAAAGACATCAAACGGTCCGTTCTTGATATACGCAGCGCTTCCAAAATCAATCAGTTTGATTCTGCCTTCACCGTCGAGAATCACGTTTTCATCCTTGATATCGCGGTGTACCACCAAGGCCTTCGTGTGGAGATGATGAATCGCTTCCACAACCTGGCGGAAGATGTTTCGGCATTCCGATTCGTCCATGTTTGCCTTCAACTCGATGTAGTCGAAAAGGTCCATGCCGGGAAGTCCGTGGGGCATCATCTCGATGTAATAATTGATGTCATCCTCGAAAAAGCCCTCCATCTCCACAATGTTGGGATGTTTGAAGCCGTCTCGTCGGAGATAATCCAGGACATGGATCTCCAGCGGGACCGTGCCCAAACGACGATCACGCGTCCAGGTGTCCACAAGGATTCGCTTCTTCGTAACGTATTTCAGGACGACCTTCTTCGAGGGGTTCTTCTTCAAGCGGGCGAGTTTGACTTCACCGTAGGCACCCTGGCCCATCTCTTCGAGGATCGCATAGTCGGAAATCGTCCGCTTCTTCGGAGGCTCCTTGGCGTCCGGTCTTACCTCCGGAACTGGCTGCACAGGCTTATCCGTGAGCGGCTCTGACGCAGCCTCGCTGAGTTGCTGCGTCAAGGTAGACGTTGGGATGTTGGTTTCCACCGAAGTCCGCTCCGTGCTTAGAGGTTGGGAACTGGAGGCCGCGGGAGATGCTTGATTTGACTCGAACGCCGACGACGTTTCTGTTTGCGGGGATGCTGCTTGTGGGGGAGAAGAGAAGTTGGGAGTGGCGCCGGAGGAGTGAATATGTCGCGAATACGTAATCCATAGCGCATACACTAGCTCGGTGACGGCGACGGTGTCGAGGTGCTCTGCGTCGGCGCCATTATGACCGTCGGAATTCTCTTCCCGCAGCTTGTCTTCCCGTGGTTTGGGGAAGATGGTGCCGCTTTTTACTACCCGCAGTTGGACGTCCACCGCGATGGTTGAGCCGTCCCGATGGTTGGCAGCCAATCCAGTAGGCTCCAGAAAGACTGAGGCCACATTCGCCCTCCCGTCCCGGAGAATAGAAAGCGTGCGTGCTCTTCGGAAGCTAGGCTCAGGGATCACAACGCCATCCACCAGGGGCACTTTCTCCTCCTCGGTCAGGACATCGAGAAGCTCGTCAAACCCGGGTATCAGTTCGTTGATGTGAAGACCCTCGGGTCGCTCCTGACCAAACAAGGCGGAGGAAAACACCGAATTTGAGCTGATGACCTTCAATGTTGACGATGCCAATACCATCATCCCGGCGACGTGCGGGAAACTCGATATTCGCAGACAGCCGCGGCCTTCATCCTTCGCCACGGTAGCCGGGAAACACGTGCCAGCCGCGGTTTGAGCAGCAAAGTGTTTCATGTCGGAAATTCTCTTCAGGCCCTCGTCGATCGGACCATTGAGACATTCTTTGGGAATACGAGGAAGAAGCTCCGTCACCGGCCTGCCAGGCTTGACCACGCCTTGGCCCCAGATTTTGTCCGTATCTCCATTCACGTCGGTGATCGTCCATGACTCGTCACAGCGAACATAAGCGACGTCCTCCTGGATCTCCTCAAGGACCCAGATGAGTCCGCCCCGTTTCTCCATCACCCAGACACTCGCAGATCCTTTAGCACCGTTGCGCTTGAGGATGGGGACGACATCGCCGCAGAGGAGAACGCCGCGAGATTTGGTGGCAACGTGGTTCAGATGCCGCGTGGTGCGTGTGCTGGAGCCGTAGCCATCGTCCGTTTGAGCTCGCCGGGCTCGAGAAGGCGGTTTACTGAGAAGTTGTGCCGTGACGCCGTTCCCCAATCCCATGGATCGTGTATTTACCGGCTTGTTACGGTGTCGGTCCTGCGACTGAAGCTTCGCCGCGACATCAGTGGACGGATCTCTCAGCTTGGACTCCAGCCATTCCCTCCGGTCCTTCTGTACAACTTCTAGGATACTTAGCTTGCGGAGTTCCGCTTGTGTGACACCAAATACGAGACAGGACAGGTCATTGGCTGCCAGAATAGTCCACGGTGCTTTGGACTCGGTTCTAAAGACGGCCTGTGAGACGGGGTTCCATTTGCTGCTGTGGGTGTGTAAGGCGGGAACCGGGAAGCCAAATCCGAAGATCGAGGGGCTGGTTGGTGAAAAAGAATCCGTGGCAGAGTAAGGTTGAGCTAGAGACCCCATCAGCTTGCTTTGATTGACACCAGCGCTGATATCAGTGTCTGTACGTTTTAAGCTTACGCGCCTGGACGAGGGAGTGGACCGCCTCCCTCTTCTCGGTTGCGATATTTGCTCATTCGGCAGCTCACTCAGGGAATCCGAGTGCTCCATCCACGGGCTCTGCTCCTGGGGAAAGTCGTTGGCTCCGATCGCAGACGCCTGCGAGTTCATGAAGGCCCGCTCAAAGAGATCTCCGCCTGCCACGTCGGCGGGACCTGTCATCGGGCCCCGCGCCAGGCTCCGGTAACTGAAGTGGTCCTCTTTCTCCGAGAAATTCGCCTTGGACAGGAGATCCTCCATGCTCTGAGCTTCCTTGTCGCTCCCGATGCGAGACTGGGCATGGGCATTGCCAGCATTGCCCGAGGCCCGTCCAAAGCGGTCGCGCATAAACTCCATTGACCTTTTCAAGATCGTCTGGCGGTTGTGAAGTAAGTCCTCGGACTGCTGGGCGAACGAGAACGAATGCAGGGACTCGCAGGGAAATCGGTGGAGATCCTCCAGTGTACCATTTCCTTGGGTTGGCGGGAAACGTGTAGAGTGGGTTCTGGATGTCGACCTCGAACGTGGCGCGGGCGAAGGGTTCCGGGGAGTGAGAGGTCCAAGGGAGGAGGTGGATAGGTTCGGCAACGTCAACACTCGCGAGGGGGGCTGGCGTATACGATCTAAGCCGGATGGGCCGATTCCATGTTCCTGTTCGATCAAGGAGGACCTGCAAAACAACGAAGATTCCGTCTCAGCATCTCCAGTCACGCAGTTTGAACCGTTTGGTTTATTCACACATACCTCGACAGCTGATCGTACCCCGACGAGAGCGTTTCCATCGAGCATCTCATCGAATCTTCGGTGTTTCCGGATAAATTCCCAATGTAGGATCCCGACCCGGGGGATTCTGAAAGAGGTCCCACGGGGGACGAAAGAGGACTTGGTTCGCCTGTTTTCCCAAGGATCTGTTAGCTTGCTTCTTCATTCAGTCTCGCTTTTCCCTCACTCAACATTGGCCGAGGCAGTATGGAGCGACTGGAGCTTGTCGGAGAAGCTCAAGCAACTGGGTAAGATCCGCAACATGTCACATAGTTTTGATCTCACAATCGATTTTAGATCGCATTATGCTGTGACGTCGTTCCGATGATTCCCTGGTCGACAATCGTTGTAAATCTCACCACCGGCAGGCGTCTTCTCCCGGTGATTCACTCCCCATGGCACAACTCCAAGAATAGCCATACAGCAACAGAAGGGAAAGAGATGAAAAAAAAGTGAGAATGAGGGGAAAGGAAAAGCGCAGGACTAACCATCGGGATGATATGAAGCAGACCCCATATTTCCCCCAACAGGCGACAATTCAGCGACCAATACCGATCGGACCGATCAAGAGTCGCAAGGTCCAAACGGCGCAACTTCAAATCCAAGAAGTGTAGGAAAGGGGAGATGGTGGTATTTATTTCTACATGAGACGGCAGAGCACGTTGCCCGCAAGGAAGAAGTCACTGGTAACCCCAGTAAGTGTAGTGCTTTGCCTCTGCCTTTTTCTTTTCTTTGCTTTTCCTTTGCTCGGTGTTCTGCTTGGTCGCGTATGGGATGCTGTTTGTAGGTGTTACTGCGATCAGAGGAAACGAAAGTTAAAGAAAAATCAAATCAAATCAAATCAAATCAATTCCGTTTCTTTTTCTTTTCTTTCTTTTTTTGGTCCGTTCAAGAAACGAAAGGTGAGACAGTCAGCCGCTTAAAGAAATGAGTCCGTTCGGGGTCAGCGGACAGCGGGCGGAGGGCAGGTGCCTGGTGAGGTCACAGGTACCATGCGGTGGGTAGGTAGCACGGGGGGAGGCTGCCTGAGAATCGGAAATTTCAAGACGAGTGGGATTGATTCAGACGGGGAAGAATGGGTGGTGTGGTCTGGTGGAAGAGATCGCAGGAGGATTGGTGGGGGGTGGTTGAAATCCGCACCGGTTTCCTTCGGCGGCGCAAAATGAAGGGACGAAGGAGAAAAAAGTCGAGTCAAAAAGTCGTGGTGAGGGGGGCAGTGACCGCGTTGTGGTGGAGAAGGAATGAATGAATGGATGGAGTTGAGTGGTGTTAGTGGCTTTTTTTTTCTGTGTTGATTTTCAGCTGTTCCCTGTTTCTATCCCCTGTTTCCTATACAAACAACGACACGGCGGAAAAAGCAAATGGTCATCCAAAATCCAAATGAAAGACTGGGATGGAGGAAGTTGGGAGAATTACGGAGTCGTGAATGATGAGAAACCAGAGAAGTAAGAGAGGCGAGCAGAGCAGGCGAGAATCAGTCTAAGCACGGGACGGTCGGGGAGAAAAAAAAAAAGATGGAGGAAGTGTAAATAACCGTGGTAAGAGTAATTAATCAGTTATCCCCATTATCAAATCGAAAACTGTCGAAAATAAATAGAAATAAATGACGACGAGAACAAACGCCAATAACTAGCTAGAATAACTTAATGAAACCATCCCCATAGGAAGACCCAGAAAAAAAATAGTTCGAATCGTGAAAAGTATTGGCATGAGAAACACAATGAGACAACAAGGGTGGTGATGTAATGAGCCCGCCGACGATACCACCACAACTCCTTCCTCTTGTCTTGCTCTCCCATGTTTCGCCTCATTCGCCGCAAACATGCAGGTATGCATGTATGCCATCCCTTCTCATGGTCCGATCCCTTTCCTTCTTGGTCTGTTCCATCCCGACCGCCTTAATCCATGGTTTTTCCCTTTCTTGGCAGCCCAGGAAAGTTGGCCTTCCGTGGGAGATCTTCAGTCATCGAGGTCGGCCATGGTGAAGTAACCATGGCCTGTCGCCCCAAGGTTGACGATCACCGCTGCAGATCAACCCCTCGCTCGCGAGCCTGGCCGCTGCCGTCGTGATGATCTAGTTGTCATATCGAGATGGACGGGAGCGACGGTCGAGTGTTACAAGTCCAGCGTGTCGGATAGGAAAGGGTTTGCTCTAAATGTTTACAGCTGCAGGTACACTGGATTACATGGTCTCCATATGAACACGGCATTCATAAGACGGGGCCAGATTGTACCCTGTAAGGAGGCGCGTTTAAAAAAAATAAATAAAAAAGCAAATCTGTCTGCCAAGTCTAGTCTCTATTCATAACGACGGAACTCTCCCGCCTTCTAGAGAACAAGATGCGAATACGAGCACGAGCGGGTATCTCGGGATGGAAGGGGCATACGAGGATGGCGACGAAAAAAAGAAAAAAGGAACAAGAAATGAAGCTTTCTATTCTCCACCTTTCGGCCCCCGAAGACTCCTCAGTGCCAATCCGTCTAGATCGGCATCGGTTCTTCTTTGCTCTTCGTCTCCGTTGCCGAAAAGATTGTTCGGTTTGCCTTTCGTATCGCCGTGCCGAGTTTGCTCGGGTGGCACGGATGCCGGACTCACAAAGCTGGAGAGGTGCCGATTACCGCCCAGCATCCAGGAAAACTCGGAATCCGCGAGCGATGGACGTGACGCGTGTCGCAATGGCATTGAAGAAGGAATGTGAGGGCGACTACGGCTCTTGAAGTCGTTCCCGACGGGTGAAGTGGGTGATTTGGTAGGTAACTCGGCAGCAACGGCGGGAGACTTGTTGTTGCTACTTCTTGTCTCGTCTTCTGGTTTTTCTCCCCCGGATTGCGACACGGCTGGTGAGTCCGCATCTGTAGGTGCATTGGGGGTTCGACCCCCCGAGGTCATAGGACTAGACAGATTCTCGAGACAGGTTTGGACCGATTGCACCTTGGTGAGAGCTTGTTTCACGGTGTCGGCAGTAGTCGTATCAACCCCTTCGGCCTTCATCATACGCGACCGTATATCATTCAACGCTTGGCTCAGGGTCTTCGCGAGCATTTGATTCCGCGCTTCCAGAGCGTCGATTTTGGTCTTCAGGCGGACGACGGCGTCCGAATCGTGGTTGTATGGCGCACCAGACGTGTGGACAGAAGCAGCATCATCGTATCTTGAACGAGGATAATGCTCTGCTTGGATCGTCTGCATATTCTTTTTGGCTTCGTTCACAGCTCCTCGAACAGCCTTGGCGACCCCCCATGACTCCGTGCGTCGTTGAATACCCTCTGAAACATCCTGGAACAATGCTTCCAGTCCCTTGGGACTATTGTTTACAGGTGATCTGGAAGGGGAATTTCCCTCACTTGCATCCCATAGGTCGCCGCGAAGGTGAGATCTCAAACCTGAGAAGGATCGGACATGGGATTGGCCGAGCCGCTTAGAAGAGTCTGGTGGCTTCCCCGAATATTTGGAGATGATAAAAGCGCCTCTATCAGGAGTGGGGTTCTGCTCCAGATAGACTGCATCGCGCACGAAGGTTTGGGGTTCATGTGGGTGAGGAGAGGGGTAGCGGAGTAGAATGGTCAACGCAGTCGAGGAATCGGCATCGAGTACTGGGGATTGTTAGCGACTGGTGAAAGATAACCATGTCCAGACTTCAGGAACTAACATTGCCAGCGAATGCGTAATAGCATCGCAACACATACGAAATCGATGAGTTCAGGCCGCAGCCCTTCAGCAAAGAGGACGTCCCAAACTACCAGTACGTCCTGGAAAGGAAACTCGCGACCGAACAATAAACGCATCCAGCGACTGTTTCCGAGGTTTGCTTCGTTAGAGTATATTCCAAAGCATTCTTTCGTGGACAGGAACTCACGTTAGGAATATCTGTGGCAAGATCTCCAGCGCTTGTAGGTGATCGGCCAACTCTAGATCCGTAGTCATCAGGAGCTCGTTGTGGAGATGCTGGCATTGGTTCACGATTGGCACGACATCCATCTGGCCATTCGCAGATCGGTGCCTGTTGTGCTCATAATATGATCGAGTGCTTTGCATGACCGAGCAGAACAGAGAAAATGAGTCATGTTCTACAAAGCCTGCATGCAGAAGTTGCAATAGAAAGTCATCGTCTCCCTCGGTCGAGCTTATTCCTTCGGAAGATTTCGTTTCAATGGCGTCTTTGTCGACCACCCACAAGATAGGCGCCAACAGCTCATGCATGCCTTGACGGTACCCGAGATCTGGGTTGAGCTTGGAATAGATGAAGAGGACATCGATCATTTTCTCTTTCGTGGAAGGCTCCCGAAAAAAGAAGTTCTCCTGCAAGCACCTATCGACATCCTGCAATATATCTGCCCGCATCTGTTCATCGTGTCGGAGCGTCTGCCAAGGGGACTTTGCGGACAGGCTGTCAGAAGCTAGTTCTAGCACATAATTGCCATGAAGAAAAAAAAAAAAAAAAAAAAAAAAGGGTCACACCTCTTCATCATCGGCCAAAGGGTCCACAGTTGACTCCAAATCATCGGGGTGATTGATGTATTTCAAGAAATGGGCCTTCAGGGCATCGTAGGCGCCCCGCGATTCGGATATCTTCTGCGGCCATTGTGTGCGGTCGAGATTGTCGAAGAGCAGGAATGCCTGCGCTCAGGTAAGCGGATAGCCAGGTGATGGTGGCTACAAAACGCATGCCTTCCAACAAATCGATCTAAGTCCCTCGTTGCATAGTTTGTCCCCTTGGTCGGATCTGAGTGCTGCTCGGAGGTCGGAGGGGGTGTGATTGTCGCGAAACAGGGAGTCCCATCGCTGCCTTGGAAAGCTGGTTAGCAGAAGGCCCAACAGGATTCAAACCATGCATGCTTACCTGGTATCTTCAATGCCCCTCATATCACCATGCGATATTTGGTTGCCTGATCTCGAAAAGTTGAGTGGTGGGGGAGTCGGGGAAAACAAAGGCCAAGTTCCTGTTCATGTTATTATGACGAGGCGGAGACCAACCGCGGCTACGGAGGAGACCCGCCACATGAGAGAGCCACATCGTTGATAACCCGATCGATTATCGACTATCGCCCGCCTCTATCTTCATCGGTCGAGTACCACCCCTCGTCGGACAAATATCCATCGTCTGTCTAGCTGCGAGCACCGCTGCTACGGCCCGTGCTCCTTTCACAGGGCGTGGAAGTATCCGGGCTGCCCGGCAGGCCCACTGCGACCCGGCCAACTCGCGAAATTCTTGAGATATTGCGAATTCCAGTCCTTGCGCTCCCAAATGTCCGCCGACTTGTTTGCGGAATTTGGAGCTGGGGCCTCTGCCGGCCAAAATCCCGGGAATCAGGCATCTCGGCCTCAGACGAACTCTCTAATTCCCGACCTAGAGTCTTTCTCAGATGCTGCATTCCCTAATGCTTCTCAACATGTGAACGGGCCCATGCCGCATGTCGCTCAAGCGCGAACATTGCCCAAGCAGCAGAGTTCTTTTTACCAGTCAAATTTTCCTCAGTTACCACAGTATGAGAGTAATAGTGATGTACTATTCGATGCCACTCAGGAGACAGCTTCCAATGACGATAGTGAAGACTGGGGTGAATTCGAGTCTGCCGATAAATCCTCTCCGTCACTTCCTCCAAACGAGCCTGTCCCAAGGCCAGCGGCTGGAGTGAAGCCAACAAATCACTCTTCTGAACGGGCGAAAACTCATACGACTGCCCAGCCGAAGCAGTTGGACTTATTGGACTCTCTCACGCTCGACGACAATCCACCGGCAAGTCGCAATCAGCCCACGGCGGCCACTGGCCTAAATAAGGCTAAAGCTCAGACTAAAAAAGTTGTATCGACAAAACCTCCTACTCCTGCAGAGGAAGAGCCTTTTGAAGAATGGGGTGACTTTATTGACGGGCCATCCACGGAAAGCCCTACGAAGACAGCTCCACGGGTTGACACCACAAGGCCAGTGGGCAACTCAAACTTCTCCGTGAACACGCGGAGAGTCAGCTCTCACTCTTCCGGCGTGTCAAACCAACCTGTAAATCCGAGCGCAGTTCGCCCAACGAACATTCCTCCACCGTCTGTCCTATTGGAGTTGTTTCCCCGGCTTTTTGAGCAATTACGACAGGACGCTACCCATGCAAGGCGGAACCTGCAGCAAAAGGAGAGCGTTGAAGATGCGGCATCGTCGATTCTTTGCGTCCTGAAGGCAGTGGCACGAGTGGTTTCGGGGCGGACCTTACGATGGAAACGGGATTCCATTCTGAGTCAGAGCATGAAGATTGGCCCAGCACGCTCTGGGAAATCAGGAGGGATGAAACTTAACACGGTTAACAAGAACGAAGACATCAAGGAGAAACAGGAGGCCGTCGATGTGATTGTCTTGTGGCGAGACCGGGCGGCGCTTTTCAATTCTGTGATCCAGGCTTCCGGGAGACGCCCCATTCAGGCTGTCCCGGAGAACATTCGGGTCACGACCGCCACGGCAGAGCAGGGAGCTATCAAGGCCTCTCATGCTTGCGCTCTCTGCGGGCTGAAAAGAGACGAGCGACTCCCCAAGGTTGACGAGGCAGTGGAAGATAGTTTCGGGGAGTGGTGGACCGACCATTGGGGCCATACAGACTGCAGGCAGTTCTGGGAGACCCATAAGGACATGTTGTTTCAAAGATGAATCTAGCTGTACATACAGATCTGGCAGAATCGGACCAATCACATATCTCATAGTACCGTATGCGTAGCAGGGGTACCAAGTTAGGCGCCTACATTAGATAGTACTGTACGTACGGAGGACATATGTACTTGATTTTCTAGGAGGGTCGATGGCCTACTCTTTCCGTTTTAGTGCTTATCCCTCGCCATTTTTTGCTTACTGAGTAGATTTGAGCATGACCTGAGCACGCCCTGAGCACGCCCTGAGCAGCCTGAGATGATTATTGAGCTGTCAGGGTAAGTTGGGTGAATTTCTTGAGAGACTGCTCAGGTCACCATGGATTTAATGATGAAGCGCAGATAAGGAATTGGGTCTGGACCTTCGGGATTATTATGAAAGAGTCTAGGAGTCATTGTCAAAGTTGGGCTGGGGGAGGAAGTGGCCGAATATGGATAGGTATCCATATGCACAAGTGCCAGTCTCCCCAGTCAACGGCACAGTGGCAAGCGGCTAACCAAGGAAAAGATCAATAGATAAGATTTAGTGGAGCTCCGCAGTATTCCGAGGCAGTATTCCGAGTTAATCGTTGATCTCATGTCAACCTGGGGGTGCTTGACAGACCGCATCCGGCTCCCTCGGGACGTAACCTGCGATAGCACTCTTCCGCGAACGAATCCTAATCCCCGGGAGAAAAAAGAAGTAAACATTGCAAAAGCAAGGGGAGGAATCCTTTTCCTGATCGTAGCTCGGTAAACCTATCGACCTCTTCGCGGAGAGGTCAAGAGTCATTTTATTGACAAGACTGGCCTGTCTCGTTCTCTGTTACCTAGTCTCATAACCCTAACAAATTTCCTACTTGTCATTGTATTCGGCATGGGGGTCCCAAACCAGCATTTTACCCAATTTACCAGACTGGAGGAATTGGCAGCCACAGTAACATCGTCGGTCGCTACGATCAAGGGCTATCTTCAGTCTCATGATCAGGCCGAGCCGTCATTCGAGCCGGACGCACCATTATCTCTACCAGAGGAGCTCAGCGCCGCTCAAGACTCCGCTCTGAACGCCGTGACGGAGCTCTATGATCTACTGGTACACCCGCTCCATGCTATGGTGCTGGGCTCGGTATGTGAATGGCGAACACACTTGCTGTCGGGACTGCAATCCCGCACGACGACGAAAGCTGACTCGCAGCAGCCCGCAAATTACATGAGCCTGAATGTGATCCGCCGGTTCCAGATCGCCAGCACATTTGCGCCTAACGAGAACTCCAGTTTCGCGGAAATCGCTGCCCGGACCGGACTTCGTGAAAGCACAGTCAAACACATACTGCGGCATGCGATGACCCTTCGTGTTTTTTGTGAACCCAGCAAGGGGGTTGTTGCCCACACTGCGCGATCTATTTTGTTCCGATTACCTGCTGAGGCCGATTTCGTGGGCGTCTGTGTCGAAGAAATCGATCCGGCTGTGTTAAGGGTTTGTTGAACATTTGTCCAGGAAGCTGAGAGCAAACAGCTGACTCAAGTGTATATTAACATGCTATAGGCGGCAGAAGCGTTTGAAAAGTGGCCCCGCACAGAAGAGCCAAACGAGACGGTACGCTACTCCCTTCTAGATTGTTCTCAGGAAACCAATCTGGCTATTATTCGCGTGAGAGCCATGGGGAAGGCTAAAAAGAAAATACAGGGCTTCGCATTGGCCCATAACGTCAATCGCGCCCTCTATGAGGTCCTTCAGGATGACCCTGTGCGCGCCAATCGCTTCGCAAATAATATGAATATTTTCAGCCGTGGGCCAGAATTCAGCGCTTCTCACGTCGTCAGTGGGTATAACTGGGCAGCGCTCGGTAACGGTACAGTAGTAGATATCGGCGGATCGCGCGGCCACATCGCCGTGGCGCTCGCGTCGCAATATCCGGAGCTACAAGTGATCGTGCAAGATCAAGACAGCACTATCACTGACGCAGAGAAAGACATCCCGTCCTCTGTGGCTGGCCGTGTGCGCTTTATGGCGCATGACTTTTTTAAGGAGCAGCCTGTCCAGGCGGATGTTTACATCTTACGATGGATTTTGCATAACTGGTCGGATAAGTACTGTCTAAACATATTAAGGGCGCTAGCACCGGCATTGAAGCCGGGGGCCCGGGTTCTTATTAATGAGATTTGCTTGCCAGAGCCTGGGGAGGTGCCGTTGTGGAAGGAAAGGGTTCTAAGGTGAGTTTGGTCTTGGAAATTCTGCTCTTTCCAGAGCTCTCGATGTCAGAAATAGAGCCTAACTGGGTGAAAGAACTATGAACCTTACCATGATGAGTCTTTTTAATGCTCATGAGCGGGATGAAGATGAATGGCGCGATCTGTTGCGTCGTGCGGATGCTAGATTCGAGTTTATAGGCGTCCAGCAGCCATCGGGCTCACATTTAGCGCTCATCGAGGCAAAGTGGATGGGTAGGGAGATAAATTAGTTACTCTCAAACTTAGCTATTATGTATTTGAACTAATTCAGCTGCTTGTCATTTCGACACGGCAGCCGACTCTCTATTCTAACCGCACCATAGATCCCTGTCACATCTAGAGTTGGCATCGGTGCGGATTCGTAGACTTCGGCAGGACCCATGGGTACTGTGGCGAGGATCACAGGATCTCAGAGGAGGAGGAACGTTAGTCTATAGTTACTGCGTCTGGGATATGGAAGGTGCAGATTAAGGAGGTCCTATCTACCTCCTCTTGTAACTAACACTTCCGTTCAATAAAACGTCGGAATTCGGACCTCATAGTTTCTCGTGTAAGCCAGCTGGGCTGTTTCAAAGCCGAATAGAGAGCCAGAGAGTCAATCTAACACGTGTTGACGTCACCCAGTCTGTTTCCAGTCATACTCTCGCCACTGGAAGGTTTCATCGATGTCTTCATTGTGTTTAGACGACTTTTACAAGACCCAGACAGCTTGTCGCACTCATGATAATATCGTTACATTCATCGGAGAAGTCGGGAAGGTTCAGGGCCTCGCGAGCGTCATCACCAGCCAGACACCCAAATAATGTTGCGAATCTCGAATAAATAACGGGGCGAGTTGGCTAGCGTAGCAGGGACAAGTGCCCAGAAGTCCCCAAGACAAATATTAATTCCAACTAGCCTGAAGCTATGGAGGTCCTGGCACAGCAGATTCGGGATATCTACTCCCAGACCGACGACCAAGGCCGCAAGAAGATTCAGAATGAGCTAGAAGTCCTTCAGTCGTCCCTCCGCACGGAGATGGACACGATGTGGAAACTAGCCACGGGGGTGAGTGCTGATCTCGACGAGCGGATTTGCACACGGAATTGCTTCTAATGGAGGGACTAGCCTGTCATGCTGTGTGTTGCCAAGCTCGGCGTCGATTTGGGCATTTTCGAGGCCCTTCAACAATCTTCTTCGGGATCTTTGAATGTGTCGGAATTCTCGAGATTGACTCATGCATCCGCAGAGCTCTTGGGTGAGTTGACAGGTACCTGCAACTCAAGCCTCATCTGACACACGGCTTGTCTAGTTCGTGTCCTACGCGCGCAGGCAGCATTTGGCCTGATTACCCAGACCAACATCAACGAGTTCACTGCTAATAAGTGCACCACTGCGCTGGCTGACCCCAATATTGCCGGAATGGTATCGTACCAGTGAGCATACCAATCCTCTAGTCCCATCGGTATGGAAGAATGGCCGAAGACAGCATCTAACTACGGATACTTGAGATCGGAGCATTTCGGGCCCGTTTTCCAAGCCCTTCCCACTTTTCTCCGAGAGAGAGATAACCAGCCCGTTACCTCTAACAAGGATACGGCTTTCCAGAAAGCATTCCATACCGACTTGACTGCGTTTGAGTGGATGTGTCAGAATCCCGAGCAATTGAAGAACCTCGGGAAGCTGATGGCGATCCACCGCGACAGACACTGGATTGAGACCTTCCCTGTCGAGCGGGAAGTGGCCGATGTATCAATCTCGCCCCATCAGGCTATTTTAGTTGACGTTGGAGGCGGCTACGGCCAGCAGGCGATCGCGTTCCGCCAGCGATTTCCCCAGCTGCCTGGCCGTGTCGTTGTGCAGGATATCCCGGAGACTTTGAAGCACGCGGCAGCCGTTGACGGAATTGAGTTCATGGCTCATGACTTCTTCAAACATCAGCCCATCCGCGCGGCCAAATTCTACTACCTGCGCCATGTGCTGCACGACTGGCCCGATGAGCAGGCCATCGCAATTCTGCGAGCATTGATTCCGGCCTTGGGCCCGCATTCGCGCATCATTGTAGACGAGATGGTACTGCCAGATACCAATGTGTCTGAGATGGGCGCTTTTCTTGATATGGCGATGTTAGCTTCTCTTGGTGGGTCGGAGCGCACGCGCCAGGAATGGGTGGATCTGCTGGATGTAGCGGGTCTAAAGGTCTTGGAGATCGTCGAATACGATCCAAAACAGCTCTGCGCTATCGTCGCCGTGCCAAAGTAAACTTTAGAATTACAGTAATTGAATGGTTTATCAAATGAGTCAAGGCATCCTCATGACTATACCATATGCTACTGTGGGCCCCGTGTATGACGTTATGATATCGTTCTTTCCACGCGTCCAGGCCGTTGACAAAACATCGGGGATCTCACTACTGAGTCCAATGTAACGCTAGAGCTAATCATTTAGGGAGCATCCGCGTTAGTCTGTTACTGCATCTAAGGTTGACCAGTATCGGCTAGTTTCAGTGGTCATTTGCCTCTTATCATTATGTCACTCGAAGCAGCACATGTTACATGATCTTTTGAAGCTTCAATTTCATCGGGAACGACCCAGAGTAGGTGAATTATTAGAAGTTCGCAGGGACCTGGCACTTGGACGGCAGATGTTCAATTCGTTTCTATCTGGATAGGCCGTCGCGCTTTTCACATTGCCGAGAATGTCACTGTTTATATTATCCCTATGGCTTCTGCTATTGCGTTCCCATTATGCCCAAGGCATGCGCAATGTTACTTTTTCGGCCGATGAGATTGATCGTGGGGTTGCGTTAAAGAGTCTTGCGTCTCAGGCGTCCCAGAATTTGAAGAACGAGGCCCATACCGCTTCTTGTGGAAAGGAAAATATTCAGCAGCGGCAAGAATGGTAAGGGCTCTCTGTTTAAAACCCTGTTATGGCACCACCAAGGAATACAAGACAAAGACTGACCCGTATTCCCTTACGGCCTTGTTTTTGGGAAGGCGTCTCGAGACCTCTCTCGGGACAAGAGAATCGAGTTCGCGGATGCCATTCAATGCCTTCAATCTTTGCCAACGAGTATCTCGGCTGACGCACGGAAGGTCTTCCCCGCTGTGGAAACTCGGTATAACAAGTATATGGTAGTACATATCCAGATGTTGGACCATATACATTTTTCTATAAGCTGCCAACCACCAGGGACTTCAATAGACCTAACCGTGTAGAACAGGCCAGCTTAAATTATAGATATAATATAGAATATATTATTAATAGTATTTAGATCAGTATTATACTTTATATTTGCTGCTTATATAAATATATAAGATTATTACAGTGCACTGGTGCAGACCTAGAGGCACCATAAGCACTGCTAAGCCTACTAGAACCAGATGGAATAGCCTAGCCAGAAAAACCTGTCTCTAATCTTAAATCCTCTAACTACTTAAAAATCTATTCTAAGGATCTGAAATGTATGGTGTATTCTGCTTAAGATGTTGTCGCTGGGGTTCAGGGGAGCCCCGCGAGAACACGTTTTCATTGTGTGTTCGCTAGGCTATGACTAAGCACTCGTTCTGACTAAGCATCCGTGGAAGGATCCCATAGTTATTGGTCCTTACACAGAGATCTCCTAATTAAATTAAATAGCCCCTAGTGAGATTGTGAAGGTATAAAATAGGGTCCTTTAGTATATTTAGACTTCTTCTTACTATTATCTTGACCATTAGAAATTGAATATTTTATTTAAGATGAATACGACGTCTTACCTTGTAATTCCTACACAATTCCTTCGGATCGATCACGCGTGCTTAGTGGGTCCCTAGTAATTTACACCATCTTTCTTCTGTTGATGCCGCCTGACTAAGGCCAGGTACCGGTACCGCCTATGGGAGATGCGCCCGGCGATGACATAGCGGTAATATTGACGGGCGCAAGTAACCACGGGATGCGGGGGTTTCACCTCACCGGGTCGGGAGCTGCCCGATTCATTGTTCTGTCACTCTGTCAACGCGATCTCTATCTCCCCGTCTATCTCCCGGTTTAATTTCCTCTCTCCTTCCTCCTCACCTTGGCCTTATCTCTGCCTTCTTTCCTCCGAGTTCCCCTGCTCGACTGTCTAGATATTTCTCCCTCTTGCTCTCATTCCTCATCCCCTGGCAGCTGCACGTCCCGCTTATCCCCGGTTGTCGGACTTCTGCCCCCTAGCCTACCCCCCGTACAACTATTCTATTTACTTCACCCCAAATACTAGGCCTGATCATCCTCTGCTGCCGTCTCAGCACCACCATAAATATCAGAATCCCCACCAGTGAACCCCCTGGTGTTGACCTCCCAGCTCGACCCCCCGGTGGAACCACCAGCGCTTGGACTTGCAGCCAAACCGGGCTCCCCTTTCGAGGAAAACCAATCTCAGGCGAGAAGGAACTTCCAGAAGAAGAAAACCACTGTTCTTGTTCTTTTCCTCTCTGCCACATTCATCTATCATCTGCTCCTGCCTTAGACTTGGCGAGCTCACATTCCAGGACGTACCTTCGACGGGCGGCAGTGGGAAGAAAGCTGACGATAGATCACAATGGGTCTGGCATACAACGTGTATCTCACCTCCAACAAAATCTTTGGGTGCAAGCAATGCAAAACGCATCTTGCTGATTACGATGATATCATCAGTCGGGTGAGTACCTCTCTGCCTTTGGCTTGCTTATGGATGGATGCGGATTGGCTAACCACGACCCCTCGGTTTCTCGCAGAACTTCCGTGGCCAGCATGGCAAAGCGTACCTTTTCAATAACGTGGTCAACATAACGCAGTCCGAGGCTGTCGAGCGTAGCATGACGACCGGGCGGCATATCGTGCGGGACATCGCCTGTCGGCAATGCAGAGAAACGGTAGGGTGGAAATACGACAAGGCGTACGAGACCAGCGAGAAATACAAGGAGGGCAAGTTCATCCTGGAAGAGGAACTACTCTGCGTGGTGTGCTAGACGGCTTTCTTCGCTTTTGCAGAAAGGCCTTGTTTTCTGTGAGGCTTCCAAGTAAGGTGTCATGGCGAACCCTTGCAAAGACTGATTCATACAGTGAGCGTTTTCATGGAGTAAGGCATCAGGCGTTATGTGGAGTCCACTTTCTACGTGGTTGGTTTTGGAATTTTTGCATTTTTACATATTTACACGCGAGCATCCATCTGATTTCTTTACCGGCCTGGATTTCCATGCGTCTCTGACGCCATGGATTATCTCGCCGGCATTAGTTACTGGAAGCTCGCTAGTCATCGTGTTGGCCTTGGGTTAGAATGATAGTCGTTATCGCAATCTAGCATTTCCCTCTCGAATACAGACATTGCAGATCCTTGTACTAGCTTGGCTATTGGATAGATGACTAGAAAGTGCCTGTAGAGCAGTGAACGAGTCTAGAACCGTAGCCCCTCCGATCCCTGACATGGCATCGAGATGGTTATCTGCAATGAGCGGCCCCACCGCCATCAAGGGAACCCGGCCTTGCATATTCCGTCGCCGACCCCTCCACACGGCTCCAGCTAGCGTTTATCAGGGCCGAACATTTCTTCAGCGCAATCTACTAACTCAATCACCATCTCTACCCATTGGCACGCAGAGAATCCTCCCCTTGACATCAATATGACCGCAGACACGATGCGCGCCGTGGTCTTCCGCGGGCCTTACAAGGTAGCCGTCGAAGAACGGCCAATCCCCAAGATCCAAGAAGCGGGGGATATTATCGTGAAGGTGACGTATACAGCGCTGTGTGGGAGGTAAGCGGCATGTGTATTTCCAACATCTCGGGGCCATTTTGCATGGTTATTGGGCCTTGGGCTCGCTCCGTATAGAGTTGTTGCCATTGAGGCTAGGTCGCTGACAAGTTCAATGCCAGTGACCTTCATACGTTCCGTGGGGTCGAGCCCACGAATGAGGGCGTGATCATGGGCCATGAGGTGACCGGTGAGGTTGTCGAGGCTGGCGATGGTGTCAAATCCGTACAGAAGGGCGATACGGTTGTCAGTGCTTTTACGACATCTTGGTAGGTGCACGTGCTTTTTGTTTTGGGGAAAGACAGTCATATTGCTTCTTCAATGGCCGATATCGCTGGAACTAACTCTTGTACAGTGGACAGTGCTTCTACTGCAAGCAAGGTTTCTCGTCGAGATGCGACAAGAACACACTCCTTGGATGTGACCATCTGGATGGCGCACAGGCTCAATACGTAAGGCATCCCGGACTCATCATATGTTCCTATTCCACACGCAATTTCTCACTCCGAATGAAACATCGTTGCCGAGCAGATCCGCATCCCCCATGCAGACGGAACCGTCATGAAGGCCCCCGAGGGTGTCGACGAGAAATACCTTGTGCTCATGGCCGACATTTTCCCAACCGGATGGTTTGCTGCCAACAACGCCTTCAAAGGATGTACTCCGGAGCAAATCTCCGAGCAGACGGTCGTGCTCATCGGCTGCGGACCTGTCGGACTCTGCGCACTGATCAACGCGCTGGAGTACAAGCCCAAGCATCTTCTCGCGGTCGACTCGGTCCCGTCGAGACTTGAGCTCGCTCGATCCTTGGGCGCTGAGCCGTGGAATTTCAAAGAAGACCGTGCCGGTTTGGATAAGCGGGTCAAAGAGCTGACAGACGGCCGAGGCGCCGATGCCGTCATTGAGGTTGTCGGACTTAGTCCTGCCTTGCGAACCGGATTTGATCTGCTGCGACCATGGGGTACGATCAGCAGTGTGGGAGTGCATAATGCAGAGGTTAGTGCTCTACTCTTTTCCCTCCCCCCATTGGCTGCCCTCTTTCCAGGTGCTTCGCCACCAACATTACCATATTCCGGATATTGACCGAATTGATTACAGATCCCTTGGGATGGCAACGAGGCCTATGGCAAGAACCTGCGAGTCCAGATGGGTCGCTGTCCGGTGAGATCGGTTTCGCCACAGGCATTGGAGGTTCTGAAGAAGAATCAGCATTTGCTCGGGTATGTTTTAGATCCTTTGACGGAACGTTTGTGTCCTCGGTAGCTAAACGCAGTAGGTTTATGGCCGAGAAAATCATGCCTCTGTCGCAGGCCGTCGAGGCATACGACCTTTTCAACGCCATGAAGGTGCAGAAGGTGATCTTTGAGGCGGATAAATGAGTGCGACGTCGCAACGGTTGATATGCAGTGTAGAGTATGAAGGGATGTGTATGCATGGACGGCGTTTGGTGAATGGGGGGAGGATAGAAAGGAGCAATACGGAGAGCAGATAGAGATAGATTTTGAGAGAGAGAGAGAGAGAGAGCCCTGGAGAGAGAGAGATGTAAATAGATGGATACCAGAATCCCTCCGATACGGCGCCAATACGGACGTTTCGTGCCGCCCAGCAGCGCAGCCAACCACATCCGCCCGTCGATTCTCCTCTTTCTTTTCTTTCCCTTTCGCCTTCTCTTCCTTTCTTCTTCTCTTCTCTCACCTTTCGCCATCTTCATTTCTTCGCTTCCTCCACCTCTTTTCCGTCGTCCTCCCTTCTTCTTCCCTCCTCTTCTTTTCTCTCTCTCTTCCTCTCTTCCCCCTTCTCTTCTCTTCTTTCTTCCCCCTCACCTTCTTCCATTCTTCTCCCCTCCCCTCCTTTCTTCATTCCTCCGCCTTCTTCCACCCCCGCTCGCCGAAAAAACCCCTCGGATTGTCTTTTCTTGCCCCCTCTTCGTCCGCCAATCGATCCTGGTTTCCCCTCCCAGGCCCTTGGACCACCGTTTCCATCTCCACACAGTCGTCATCTTTCTCTCCGCCCTTCCTGTCCTTGTCTTCTCCTCATCCGGTAAGTCGTTCATGCACCTTGATGATCCCTCCCGTCTGTCGCATCGTCCATTCCTCGCCGGCCATTGTCGTTCGAGTCGGTCATTGCGACTTATTCATCCCTCCTCTCGATGTACCTTGGCACTCGATGAAGAATGCAAGCAGGCGATAGGCTATCCTATTGTCTTAGCCGTCTTGCGCAGGGTCGCTGACTGATTCGTGAAGGAGACTTTCGAAATCACAACTCGCCTAATCACTCACGCTTCTCATCCGTCTAACCTCAACACCCGAAATCATGGACTCCTCCGATCTTCACGCTACCACCATCGTTGACGAGACCTTGACTGATGCTATGATTGACGATGGTGACATCGAGATCACCCCCAAGACCGAAGAGGAATACGCCCAGTCTACCTTGACCCTCCGTGCGATCGTGTCGTCTAAAGAGGCCGGTATCATCATCGGCAAGGCCGGAAAGAACGTCGCCGACCTCCGCGATGAAACCGGTGTGAAAGCTGGTGTCAGCAAAGTGGTGCCGGGCGTCCACGATCGCGTCCTCACCGTGACCGGTCCTCTGCACGGCACCGCTAGGGCTTATGCACTGGTTGCCAAAGGTTTGCTCGAAGGCGCTCCGCAGATGGGCATGGGAGGTATCGTGTCGAACAACGGAACTCACCGTGAGTGCGCCCCGACTCTCGCCTCCCTCGTGGTGTTCGGGGACATTAATTGACTAACTTTTTACCAGCGGTTCGTCTCCTCATCTCCCACAACCAAATGGGCACCATCATCGGACGGCAGGGCCTGAAGATCAAGCACATCCAAGATGCCTCGGGAGTGCGCATGGTCGCTCAGAAGGAAATGCTCCCCCAGTCTACCGAACGCATCGTTGAAGTCCAAGGAACCCCCGAAGGAATCGAAAAGGCCGTCTGGGAGATTGGAAAGTGCCTGATCGACGACTGGCAACGGGGAACCGGCACCATCCTGTACAACCCCGCTGTCCGTGCGTCAGTTGGCTCCGGCCCGGTGAACAACAGCGGCGCCAGCAGCACCAGCAGCACCGGCAATGGTTACAGCAGTCGCCCCTACAACCGCACCGGCAATGGCGCCGACTTCAGCGACCAGAGCGGTGGCTACAGCCGACGATCCAACCCGGACATCTCCAACCGCGGCTTCCCTCTCGTTACCGAAGACGGCGAAGAGATTCAGACGCAGAACATCAGCATCCCCGCCGACATGGTTGGATGCATCATCGGCCGGGGCGGAACCAAGATCACCGAGATTCGCCGAAGCTCTGGAGCTCGGATCTCGATTGCTAAGGCGCCGCACGATGAGACGGGTGAGCGCATGTTCACCATCATGGGCAGCGCTCAGGCCAACGAGAAGGCTCTCTATCTCTTGTACGAAAACCTCGAAGCCGAGAAGACCCGCCGCAGCCAGCTGCCTCAGGAATGATTGCACCCATTCGTCTAAGGTCTTCTAAGAGGAACGAATCAACTGTCACCATGTTCTTTTTTCTTTTTTCATCTAATTATTCTGCTTCTTGACATTGTCTTTTTCTTCTTCTTCTCTACTTCCCCCCCTTTGTTCCCTTTAATTTATTCCGGTTGTGCAGCTTCTTTGGTCTTCAAGAAGCAAAGAGTTTGCCTCGGCGGACTGTACATGCCTGTTAGATACCAGAACCTTGCAACCCTCCGCGACCACCTAACTCTGAATGAAACCGACCGAAGAGCCACGTCATGTCTCCGAACTGATGTTACTGGGAACGTCGATGTTACCTATCTTCTTGTACGGAGGATCCGAACGTCCGAATGGTTTCCTACTGTCTCTTGTTGAAAAACAAAAAATTGCTTCCTCCCATTCCTCCTGTCCTTCCTCCTCTCCGTTACGCTCCCTGGTGCTGAAATCTTCCTCAATAACTTGATACCTGGCAATCATTTTCTTATTCCCATCTAACTTGAAATCCTGTTCTCCCCTTTTTTATCTCGCGCAGCTCTCTTTTCTCCGCCTGACCTACTTGACCTGCTTGTTATCTCTTATCACCTTCACTGCGTCTTGTCTCCCAAATCTCCATGCGACGTGTACATCCATTAACTTGACTCGAATGAAAGAGCCATCCGATTGCACCGTTTGACAAAAACAGAAGAGAAAAAAAAATTATTCATCGGTTTCATTTCCACATCTATCCCCGTATCTAATCTTCGTAGGAATATCAACAATCCCGTAGACCCCTACCCAAAGACCAATCCAAGAAAGGCCTTGATCTTATACTCCATAGCGTAGTAACAGTAACTTCAGGGGATAATGTGAAACATATGATAGGATAGAGTTCGCTTCGTAAGAGGTCGGACAAAAGAAATAAGGAAACAGAGAAAACAAAGGAGAAAAAGGAGGCGTAACAGCATGATCTTCAAGGGGGCGTTACATCACAACAAAACAAAACAATCCTTCCACTCGACTCAACTCAACTGAACTCGGTCAAGTCAAGTATGTCAATCAATCAATGCTATCATCTAGATTTACAGCGCCGTCGGCAGCGGCGGCGGCCATTGCGCGCGGCGGACGCAGGCCGAACCGTCGCGTCCCCAGGCTATTTGTTCGGAGGCGGTTCTGCGCGATGGGCGTGTAACTGCCGGCGAGTTTGCTGGAGGGGGCGACGATGCGGGTATTGTGGCTGTTGGGGAGGGGGGTGTGGTTGGTAGAGGAGGATGAGGCGGCGGGGAAAGAAGAGGATTCGGGCGCGGCGGACGCGTCGTCGGGCGTGCTGTCGAAGGAGGTGGCGGCGGAGGAGAGGCCGTAGCGGCGCGATCCGGCTTGGATGTTGGAGCGCGGCGTGGCCGGGGGGTAGTTGGTTGGGGTCATGAGGCTGCGGCGGAGGGGGATGCCGGACTGGGAGACGGTGGGGGTGCGAGGTTGAGGCAGTTGCGATTGGGATTGAGATTGAGATTGGGATGAGAAGCGATCTGGCGTGGGATCGGGAGGAGCCTGGGATGATGTGTAGCCGTAGGAGATGCGCTGGCGAGGGGATCGATGGGTGGCGGCTGCTGGGTTGGCGATCTCGGTCATGCTTCGGGATATTGACCGGCCAACGACGGGGGAGTTGGTGTTGGCGGATGCAGGAGCGTTTTCGTCTTCGGTTTGCACCCGGCGCATGCGCAGCGAGGTCGAGAGTCGATTGAGTCGGCCCAGGGGGGCGGAGGAACCGGGGGATTGGGCCTGTTTGGCATCGAGCGTGGAGTCGCTGGTGCGGTTCACGGAGCTGCTGTTCTCGCCGGAGGGACTGGCGTTGGGGTTCGCCAGACTGGCGCGGCGGGCTTCCAGGCGGCTTGTGAGACGAGTGCTCTGTCGTCGGGCCAGTCCTTCTGGCTCATGAGTGGTGGTACTCGGTTGCTGCGACGGCATGGGTGTAGGCGCGCTTTCTTCGGCCGTGCCATTCGGTTGGGCTCCTTTCGCGTGGTCTGCGGCTTGCTGTCGGCGAAGCTGCTCGTCCGACAGGGCCAGACAGAGCTCCGTCAGGCTTCGGCAGACGCTGTCAGCCTTACGCCGGGACTGTCTATCAGACGAGCCATAGCCATTGACACCGGACGCGCCGCTCGATGGCGCCTTGTTGGAATGAAGAATGTTCGATAGGGCGAGTGCATCGGTCACGGTGACATCGAGAGTCGTATACACGTCCTTGCTCAGGACAGTCTTCGCCTTCGCCATTGCCGATTGTAGAAGCGGGTGGACTGGGTTGGGGACTGTGATGGTGTCGGATTCGGCCGACGGGTTACTCGTCTGACGGCCATGATTTGGGGAAGACGAGACTGTGGTCACGGTGGTGGTTGCGGTTCGTGGTCGGTCTGCGGAGGCCGAGGAAATTGCCTCTTGTGACGACGGCGGCAGCTTGCCGGTCAATTCCAGCTTGCGGATCCGCGATTTGAGGTCTTCCAATTCGTCCCACACGGTGGACGGGGCCGTTGTCGACAGCGTCGACTCCGTGCCGTCCTGTCGCGTTCGATCGGACTCGATTCGCGCTCGCTCGGTCGCTTCCGAGGTGGAGGTCTGCCTACTGCTACGGATGGTCGACAGCGTCGAATTGCGAAACGCCCGAGAATCCTGGAACGACGCTCGCCTCTCGCCGTTCGACTCGGGATACTGAGGCGAGCTGTCGATACCAACGTTGCTGAGTCGGCTGCGCGGCAGGCCGATGGCGGTCCTCGAGCTGGCAACGTAGCCCGAATGATGGGACCTGGAATGGTCCTCGAGCGGGTGCTCGGAGACCGAATAGGAGTACGCTCGAGGGCCGGATGGGCCAGAAGGGGACCCATTGTTGGAATGCAAGGGGCCGGCGTAGGTGCTCGATCGTAATAATTGATCGGGGGACGGGGTTGGCTCGTTAGCATGCGAGGCTGGGGTACGAAGACCATTCCCCGACATCCTAAATCGCGACTGTTTCTGTTAGCACGCTCTGTTTTTTTCTTTCCCTCATCCCTTCAATCCACAAAGAGATCCCTCCTTTGCCTAAAATTCCGACCGCCATGGTCTCCTCTCCGGGGGTGGGAAAACAAAGAAAAGACCAGCGCAACTCACCCGTCTGAGGTCTGAGCGGCCGAACGATTCGCGACGAGTCGAGTCCGACCTCGCAATATTCAGGAAAATATCCTCGTTTTTCAGCCGGGAGTCGTCCGCGATGGGGGTTCTGGCCCCGTCCTCCGAGCCATACTTGTCGAGGCCATTTCCATTTCCGTTTCCATTGACGGCGCGATGGGCGCGCTCTTCGGTGGGCGCTCTCCCCTGAAGGTAAGACACGGTGGATGAGGGCATTCTCCTCTTTACATTCGGGGGCGTTTGATGGGCGTTGAACGACTGTTTCCGACGCTTCGTCGCATTGGGACTCAGCACGCGGACGGTCGAGCCGGTCGCATCCAGGGGGATCGCGGAGTCGCTATCCTCCTCGCGGGCCAACCGGGGCGACGGAGGTTGCGAGGAGACGGCCGCCGGGCGACGGTGAGGCTGGGAGAAGTTGAAGCTGGGGACCGAGCGGCGGTGGCGGTCGTACAGCGGCGTGCGCTGGGGGGTTGGGGTGGTGATGGGGGACGCAGCAGCAGACGCCGCAACGGGGTCGGGCTCGGGGAGCGACGGCGGGGAAGCGTCGACGGCGGCGAGAGCGGAGTGGGAAGTCAAGGCCCTCTTGCGCAGCGGATACTGGTATTCGAAGTTGAAGCGAGTCTGGGGCACGCGCGGCGACACTTGCGAGGACGAGGCAGAGGGCGAGGAGGGAAACGAGGCGGCGGCCGAAGTTGTTAGCGTCGTGTCACGGGGATCGGCACCAAACATGGCGCGATGCGACGGCGACGACGGCTGCGAAGTCATGACTCTCGACGGTCCATGGGCCGTCCCCGGTCGTCGGTCTCTGCGCGCTGTCACCCCGGATGCTCGAGGCGGATGTTGTGCATCAATAGTGTCGGGTTGCTGCACGGCGGACTCGGTCTGTCGTCGTCGTCGAGAACCAGCGAGGTCTACGGGGAATGAAGAAGACACCGACGCCGGGCTGCCAGCTGCTACGTGGGACATGGGCAAACTGGTCAGGCATCCAAACGATGCTGCATCTCTCCGCCGGTCAATCAGAAGGCGAGACGAAAAGTCGATCTATTGGCTGTGGGACCTCCAGCAGGAGGAGGGGGGACTGCGATTCTCATATATTTTCCACGACCAGGAGGACGGGCACTAAGGGGCCGAAGACCTCTCGAAACCTACTAAGAATAACTTCGCCGCGAGAAAACGAAATGAAAAGGACTTGTCGCTGGCCATATTCCGGTGGCTGGAAGAGGCGACGGTGGAGCGCTGGCTCCAGTCCGGCTCCAGAACCCGGAGAATAAGAGGTTGATCGCTGTGATATCACCTACGACGGAGTTGGCTGGCACTAAAGGGCGATGGCATGACGGACAGCCGATGCAGGAGTCTTCAGAAGTACTCCGTAGTTACTTAGTAGTTGGACAGGTGCTTTACGATGGGTTTTCCATGCCTCTTTCTGCGGCTTCACGCGATGCTCTTGGGACTCCCAACAGACCCGACGCACGGCCACAAAGATGATCCGATTTTTTTTTTAAATTTTTAATTTTTAATTTTTTTAAACACACAAATCAAATAAACCACCGATGCCATTATCTTATGGATTCAAGTTCCTGTAGCAACAATAAATATTCATTCGCTCGAACCATGGTTGGTCCTGTCGTTGTCCATGGGTTCGCGTCACGATGGCAGGTCTGTCATCGGTTTCTTTCTTTTGTTTTGGTCAAAGGTACCTTTTATGACCTTTTATTTAATTATAGTTAATCTTTTAAAATTAGTAATATCTTTCCTTGTAAATAACGATTTATTCTTAAAATATTGATTTATTTATTAAGCTATTTTTTAGCTACGGTATTCTTAACCGTGCCCTCGTGTACTTGTCATCGGTGTTGTTTTCTCGTCGCCGTCGCTCTTTTACTGTTATGAATTAACTGAATTCCATGCGTTTCGCCGAAACTGGTCAATTACACTTTCAAGATAATCTACGGACGATGAGTCTTAGAACTGTCAATTTAGGTCAAGCCAAAGCTAAAATGAAGTCAAACAATGTTAGATCAAAGACGATTATGCATTTAACATATTGATCTAAGCAGCCTTTCCTGTCGGGATGCTGAACAGCACCGCAGGCTCGCCATCCTGGTATGCCCTGTCAACCCGGAAGAACCCAACCCGGTCGAATTGAACGATATCATCTTTTGCAAGGCTCGTCACGTTGCAATCAGCCCAGGCTTCGGTCAAGAATTCGGTCTTGGGTGTCAGAAACGAAAAGAGATCATCTTCTTTCTCAAGTTTGTCCTTGGTGATCAGGTGGTCGAATGCGAAAAGACGGACCGGGATCATATTAGATGCTTCTTTGGCCAGCCAAGTCACCTTCTTCTCGGTCTTTTTGAAGTCGCCGTCAAGGTGGAGCTGTAGTTCCAATGCAGAAATTATTCCAGATTCGTCTGCAGAGATTCGAGTGACGATCGCGTTGCCCCAGTTCATGAGGGTAATTTCCTCGTTCGGTTTGAATGATCGAGCATCCTCCTGGCTGAAAACAACCTCCCGGGAAAAGAATACCTTCTTCGTGCCCAAGGCTGCATTCTTGTTGTGTTTGGGCTTGTCGCCAGTACTAGTCTTCTCGACACCGTGAATGATTGCAGTGACAGCATGATCTTTTGGGACGGCGGTATGTCGAGGCGCGACTGAGTCGATATATTTCTTGTTGGTAGCCCAGAACAACGACCAGTCAAGATTGATCACATTCTGACTGGGTCCTTGCCTCAAAATGAACTCTCGCAGTGCGGGTACTGTCATTCCTCGACGCCTTATACCACGAACGGTGGGCATTCGAGGGTCGTCCCAGCCCCAGACAACGTTATTGTCAACCAAGACCGTAAGTTTTCGCTTCGAAAGCACCGTGCGAACGAAATTGAGACGGGAGAAATCCCAAATCTGAACAGTGCGGATTCCAAGAGCGTCCTGGATCCAGGAATATTGTGGATTTCGATCACGATACTCGTTGGTCCGGAGCGCGTGGGTAACACCCTCCAAGGAGTCAAGGAACGGAGCACAGAAGTCATATGTTGGGTAGATCTTCCAAGCTGTCCTTGTCCGATGATGAGGCTGCAGGTTGCAACGATAGATGACTGGATCACGAAGACATTTCACCGGGTCATCAACAGAGATCTTGGCGCGAATACACCATTCAAGACCGGTGCCAGCTTTCATCTTTTCAAAGTGGGCAAGGCTGTCCTCAACGCTCATGTCCCGGTTCACACTAGGGACTCCGTTCCCCCGCTGGTCTTTCATGATGTCCTTCGGCGTGTTGTCTGCATACGCCTTGCCGGACTGAATGAGTTTGACGCAACCTTCATACATCTGTTGAAAGTAGTCGCTGGAATAGGAGATTCGATCAGGCTGGATTCCGAGCAATGACAGATCTTCTAAAATCGACTCTTGAAACTCCTGAGACTCCTTTGAAGGATTAGTGTCATCAAAGCGGCAGATAAGAACGCCTCGCGAATCAGGGCCGAGGTACTCGTGGGCGAAATAGTCGTTCAACAACGCTGCCTTGGCGTGACCAATGTGAAGATACCCCGATGGTTCAGGGGGGAACCTCGTAACGATTCCATTCTCGGTGTTCTTGAGGCCAATGTTATAGTTTGCTCCTGCGGCACTTGCTGCGGCCTTTTTCTGTCGTGCTGCATTGCTGAGCGCTGCAACAACAGCGGTAACCCAAGGATTGGAGGCTTCGATGAAGTTGAACCAGCGATTGATGTTTCTATAGATTTGACGAAGCTTTACGGTCACCTTGTTTCCACGGAGCGCGCCCCAGACCATAATATCAGCCAAGGTCAATGAATAGCTAACAATGTAAGAGCGCAGGCTGAGGTGCGATTCCAGTTCCTTGATAGGTCCGTCCAAGGATTGGAAATCCGGAACTGCGAGGGCTGCTGAGCGGTTCACCCATTCATCAACCTAGTGAGATATTTGAGACCTGGAAGTCCACTGGAAGAGAATGACCAACAAACCTCTCTTTGACCTGGTCTTTTCAGAAGTTCAATCTGATCCATCAAGTATGGTACCACAGAGCCATCAACAATGGAGTCGCCATTGCTCGTAGTAAGAATGACTTTCTCATTCTTTTTGCCAAGAGAGTCCACCTCCTTGTACTCGATATGAACCGTGTTTTGAGGGCTCCCTTGCGCGATGTATGTTGTCGCAAGAATGGTAGGAAGGACCAAGCCACCGTCGGCCTTGGAGGCAACTGTAAGGGCAGCCATGTAGATGAGACTTGGGATGATTCGAAGGCAGAGCGTCTAACTCTGGATAGGTAGGACTCGAGTCTTGAAAACGATATATCTCGATGGCCGTCACCCCGGTAATCTGTCTTGGATAGAGAGACGCGGGGTAAGAAGATACACTCGAGGAGTCATCCAACTTGAATGACTCAACTTGAATGACTCTTTTGCCTGACATTTTACTAGTAAATTAGTAGGGTTTCCTATTGGCTAAAGGCCTAGAAGATTATTATCCCTTGCCTACTAAGATATTTAAAGGCACGTGCGCTGTTTTTCCTTGTCCTTCTTGCAGTGTCAACCTGCTGTGGTGGCATTCAAACCGTCGGGTATGAATGAATCCTGCCATGGCACGACACGGGGTTGCCAAGAGGGTTCGGCCATGAATCCATGATGCGACACGATTAGTATGCGACTATGCATACTCCAGAATATGAATCATGCCCGGTGGAGTTTTCATTTTTCATATTCATCGCTCAGTTGAGCTCCTGACACTCCGCAACAGATCCGAAATGGTCATCTATCGGTCCCTGCCCACGGAAACTTCGTACAAGCGGAACTGACAAGGTGTAGGTCAAGTTCACTCCGTATGAAGTATGAAAAGTACCTGGCCGATCAATTGAGTCTGTTGCACCGGGCGATGGCCATACAAACAACATCATACTAGGCATAGCTTGAGGGGTAGGCAACCCTGGATGTTCCGAGCGGAATCCTGGCCCCTCAACTTGAAACAGTTTCAGGGTGGAAGCTCCCCCAACAAATCGACACGTCCAGGGTTCATTCAGAAACTCACTGTGCCATGGTCGCTTGGTTTCTAGGCCTATTGCTTAATACCCTGTTCGTGTCAAAATGGTTCAAGAGAAGGAACCAGACCCCGACCACCAGTGGTAAAATCAATCGGTGAAACCAACAAAGGTAATTACGAAGGACGGAGTACTCCGTAGGTAGTGATATAGGAAGATTGACGACGAGTCCGTCAGCCGACCCTACCGATTGGGCAAGGATATTGATGAAGGATTTGAAGGAAATCGGCCTGCACTTGGACGGCATATAAATAGCTCGTCATTGTCGGGGGGAAATCCTTTCAACGACGACAATCCTCGATCCCGGCTAGGCAGCGCTCAATGCCATTCTCATATTAATTACGGAGTCTTGATCACGAGAGCTCCACCAGCTGAGCAGGTTTCTAACATCACCGTGACGAGCACGTACTCCGTAGCACGGGCAACGATCAGGCAGATGCCAGTCATACATTATTTGCTTTTGCCGAAGGAGCATGCGGTCCCTACGGAGTTCTCCGCATGGAGTATATCGTCCGGAGGAAGGTAGATACCGCGCAAATTCCCTCGCTTACATGGAGCTCTAGTATACAGGACGCCCGCTAGGGTCACAAGAATAGCATCATTAGCGACCGACGGCGGATACGAGATGCATATGGACTGTGAAGCTATGGTTGGCCACGAGTGGCGACTAGTTACCCCGGCCGGTAGATAATCGGCTGGCAGGTCAACGTGAAACGGGCGACTCAAAAATTTCGGCGGCCGAGAAGAAAAGTAGATAAGCGACGGGATCCACGGTTAAAATGAAACCGAGACGTTAATTTGGTCCGTCAGCGAAAGGACTTGCCTTCTCATTGCTTTTTTCTTGTTTGCAGGGAACGCGTGCTCCGAGGGTAATATATCTGAAAACAATTGGTTTCAGGCGAGCTGGAGATGGGGTTCGTACTCCTACTCCGTAGTAGCTTCGTATCCAGTCGGTGGTAGATGAACGGATCTGCTGGATTAGGCGAGAACGCGACGGATCTCCAACTCGTTACCTGCCACCGGCACGATAGATTAAATGCAGAGACCAAGAGCGATTAATTAACCCGACCGCTGGAATAGGAAAAGAATCGGATCAAAAAGGATACGGGCCGTTTGGGATATGCCGCTCTGCCATTTGCCAACGGTACTGGATAATCAAAACATCTCCACCACAATCAACTGTTTGATGAGCGAACCGCAGGTCCAAGTTCGAATCGTTCTCAGAAAATAGGGTTCCCGAGTCTTGCGAGCTGGACAGTGGACAATGACTCGCCTGCGTCTCAGGATTCCGCTGGTCGCTGCAGCCACGTGGAATTCAGGAGGGTCGGGGGTTGAAACGGCGATGATACGCTTCGGAGGGATCGCTGCACAACATTACGGCGTGTGTTCCAGGAGCAGCATCCGGAATGATAGACAGCGGATGATGTATTGTTTTGCGTACCCCCGGTGGCAAGAGTGGTGGGGAGGATGGAAGTGGAGGAGCAAGAGAGCAGGAGGGAAGATCGGTGACATAAAACATAGTCAGCGACCGTCTCCTGACCATCACGCATCATGATGGCGAAAGCTGCATTCTGCTCCAAAAAAAGAATTCTGGCCGGATGATTTGCTGGGGGCACACGTGACGCTACCGGGCGGAGACAAACTAGTGGCTTAGCTGCCAATTGGCGTGTTTCAGCCGGCAGCAAACGCCTCCGTCTATTGGCCGGCGTTGGCGCGCGCACGGCGATGTTTCAGCTGCGTCTCCCTGCGTCTCTGCCAGTTTCTGGTCCGTCGACCTGCTGGTTGGTCGGCGGTGATGCAACCGTCCAATCTTGGGCACGGGATTATTGACCACTAATCCCAAACCGCGTCGCAGGTTGTCCCACCGCTGCCCAATGAGCGCCGGTCCGTCCTTTCCAGGGGGTGGTCAACTGTCTTGGCCCCAGTCCGTCAGCCTTTTCGTTTCACCTCGTCCGCAAGAGCCTCTATACCCGACTGGGAGGTCCCTGCGGAAAAAATCAACCACAAAAATCGCCATTCAGATCTAGTAAAAGAGCGGTCTCGCCTCGTAGTCGCGTTTCTTGTTCCTGATGCTTTTCTCTTCTCGCTCTGATTTTTGCGCTTCTGGGAGGCCCGTGTCGACACTTTCTCTTCGCTCTTCTTTGTTTGCAGGTTCTTTGTCTGTCCCCATTACTACGCCGTATTAAGATTTTCCCTCCCAGCAAACACCGGCAAACACCCAAGCACCGTGCACCACAAGCGGGTCGCAGCGTCCCAATTTGGAATTGCCGCTGCAGTTCGATTGCGTGGATGACTGGATGTACCACCCCGTCTCCATCCCAATCGATATCACTATCGACAGCCTCGTGGGATATTCAATCGACCCTGGGTGTCCCTCTCGCTTCTGGAAATTTCTTGGACTGTCACCGTGATCGCATTTGTCGGGGTTGAAGTCTGGTCTTCGGTGCAGGATTTCATTCCGGACGTTCCCTTCCCCATCGTCTCCTGGGATCTAGTACCTCTTTGGCCTAGATTCTTTTTTTGGGGGCTTTCGACGGCGCGGTCCTGCTGGATTGGAAGGAATTCAGAAGGCTTCAAGACAGGTACGGACGATTATTTCTATTTTCTATTTTTTATTTACCTTTTTCTTTTTGTGTGTTTATCCTCTTGTTTTGATTTTTGATGTGTTTTATTTGTTTTTTGTTTATGGGTTCATTTCCTTTGTTTATCATCTTATGTCATTCAACGCTTTACTTGGGTCTACTCTGTAGTACCCGTAGTAGGGCTCCATATCTCATTTCCCTTCCTTCGTTGGCCTAGCTCTATCATTCTTTCTCGCCCCCTCACTGGCTCCAACTTGTGGAGCTCGTCCTTTTTTTTTCTTTCTTTTTTTCTTTTTTGTCTCGCCTCCCAAGACTTCTGCAGTTTTCATTTTTCTACATCTGGGATCGTCTCTCCAGAGGCATTCCAGAAATGGAAGTATGAAGATCAGAAGAAGAAAGGGGAGAAGGGGGAAAAAGAAAAAAAAAAAATAAAATCGAAAAGAAGCGAGGAGAAAAGAGCCAATGAGCCATGAGGATGATGGGTGCAAGGATGGGGTCCATGGATTGTGATCTGTGGCTTCTGATGCACATACTATTATTCCTCCACTTCCCCTGGGTTGTATCAGAAGCATACCCACACCCGCCCATCACCCCAATCCCCATCCACCTCCAGTCATTCCTCCACCGGCGAGTGTCAGCAGTGGTCCGTGGCATTCTGAGATATGGCGCGACAACACTCAGAGGCGCTGTGCCGGCGGGTGACATGCCGGTGTTGGGGGGAACTGGCATCTGATTTGCGTGCTTTTGGCGCCCATGATGCAGCGTCCAGCCTCCCAGTCAACCCGGGCGGCTAAATTTAGAGCTGCAGGCGATGGGCGACGGACGTGATTGGCCAGTCCACATCTGGTTGACCGGAGCCTGTCGCCCTCCCTCCCCACTGCTCCCGCCACGCTGATTGGCCGGCCGTCAGAAACGCGGGCGGACGGGTCCAATCACGGCCGCCAACCATTCCCTTCCCGCCCTCTCAAACGAACTACCTACTGCTGCTGTGGTGGTTATTCTTAGTGATCGTACTGCTTCTTCTATCGCTGTTCCCTTCGCACCCTCATTCCCTCTCGCTCTCTCTTCTCTCCCCGTCCCTCCAGCGCTCCCCCCCTCCCATCTTCCCCCTCCTTTCTCGTTCCCCTCTCGCCAGGGTTCTTCACGTCAACCTGCCCTGTTCCTTCCTTTGGGCTGTGGGCAGTCGTTCATTTTCTCCCTCTCTTCTTCCCCCCCCCCCCCCCCCCCCCCCCCCCATCCCTCCTGCACCCGTTGACCCTCCCACTGCTGCTGTCGTCGGAGGAACGGCTGCCCACACGCACACCGGGCGGCAATTTCCCCTCCCCCATCGCTTCTACGTCTTGCCCTCTCCATTGATTATTCTTTGATTGCATCTTTTATTCGATCCTATTTGATTTGATATTTTCGTCGGTTTTGGTCCTGGATGCTGCGCCAGTAATCCTTGTCATCCGCCTCACCCTCCTTTGAATCGCTTTCTATTTTTCTTATTTTTATTCTTCTTCTACTGCCATCCGTCGTCCATTGTTCTTCCCCGTGGACGTCTATTTTTTGCGTCGCATTCGACCTCTCCACAATCCTTTATAGCACTGACATATCTCAAAGAGGTGACGCTCCTCTTGCAGCATTCTCTGGTATGTTCGGGTTTTTCTGAGCCGTGAAGCCCACCGTCCCTGCGCGCATCCTTCATTCTGTGCTTTGTCTAGAATTGCGAGACAAAGGGCTCCCTGTTTCTTGCCTTCTGCCTCTGCTCTGCATCCAATAGCCTTGTTGTGGGCCGGTTAAAGTTCGGATCGTCGGCCTGGTTTCACCCTCCTTGCAGCCGTGCTTGCTTGCTTATTCCCCGTTCGGGTGTCCTTCGTTCTTTTCTGCCGCCGACAAGCCGTGAACATGGAAGCTGATTGTGCTCTGTCGAAAAGGTCATTTGCTCTGGTAGCAAGTGCGACTCTCCCTTCTCTTCCGCCGTCTGCATGCAATAGTTGTTCCTCAATCTTTGCGCCGGCCTTTCGCGACAGCTGCGAGCCTGAAAGGGTGCCCCCTTTCAAACGCAGGTCCATTTCCAAGTTGGGATCCATCATGCCCGTTCAAACCAGTCCACCGTCACTCCCGGACTCGTTCCCGACCTTCATGTCAGTTTTTGGTGGGGGTTTGTCCGAATATTCCGAGAAGGAGGAGCAGAACGCGGCCCTCAAACCACTCCGAGTGCCCACCCATGTTACGATCAACACTTCGAGACGCCCACTCCCATTCCAACACCGGGAGAGTATCTCGTCCATGACATCCGCCTCCACCGATTCCTCTCCGACCACCACTATCTCGACGTTCGACTCGCCCTCGGGGCCCGATACGTCTCCCAGCTCTTCCCCGGAATCCCCGTCGGCGATGCCGCTGTCATACCCGAAATTCACGCCGCCCGTGCGCAACATCGAGAGCCAGACGCTCTCCGCACCTCAGAACAACCTGCCTAAAATGCCGGCGGACAACGTGGCCCCGGCGCGCCCGGATTCGCCTGGAAGACGCGCCCGCAACCTCAAGAACCTGTCGTTGAGAATGCCTCCGCCCTCCAATTCGTCTCGTCCCCCAATTGCAACGGCTTCGATGGTCGAAACCTCATCCCACCATAACCTATCGGCTCCCCCGTCCCCGATGCACGCTCCGCCCAGGAGCAGTCGGCGGAAGCCCGCGAATCTCACCATCCGAACACCCGGATTCGACAGATCGTTCTCTAATAACATCCCCGAGCTCGTCCCTCCCACCCCGCATGCGCTACGACACACGGAATCTTCCCCTTCGTTGACGTCGGTCTTCTCCCCGTCTTTTGGCCCGAAGGGTGGCATGCAACTCCCCCGACCCATGACGCATCATGGCAGCCGAAGGCCCTCGAGGACCTCGGAGGATAATCTTTCGCCCTTACAATCGGTTCCGGACGAGGGATCCGGAGTCTTGCACGAGCTCCGGGAGGAGGATGACCATCTAGACTCGCGAGAGTCCACGCGGCGCAACGAACGCGGCTATCCTAACGGACCGATCCAAATTTACGATTCGGGGGTTTACCTCTATCTCGAGCCGACGGCTCAAGAAGCCTCTCAGTTTGACGTTGTCGTGAACGTGGCGAAAGAAGTGGCGAACCCATTCACCAACACGAACACCGACAACGGCACCGTCGTGAGTACTTTGCGAAATGCCTCGACCAGCTCGAAGCGCATGTCTACCGCGGAGCCGCGAACCGCCGCTTCCGAAGTGTCGTTCAAATCTGCATTCGAGTACCCTCAAAGTGATACCGACTCGCCCGCCACGCCGCGTTCCGAATCTGGTCCGGAATATGTGCATGTGGATTGGGACCATAACTCGGAGATCCTCGATGATCTCTATCCGCTCTGTGAATTCATCGATACTCGCATCGCAGAGGGCAAAAAGGTGCTGGTGCATTGTCAGCTCGGCGCCAGTCGGTCGGCCTCCTTGGTGATTGCCTACGGTCTCTATAAGAATCGCCACTTGGATTTCAACTCCATGTACGAAATCGTCAAGGGGAGGAGTCAGTGGGTCGGGCCGAATATGAGCCTGATCTACCAATTGACGGATTTCCGCTCGCGTCTCCTTCGTGGGAGCCCCTCCAGGCCGGCGCGTGAAGAGTGGTTTATCCGCGGACCACGCCGGAGCTCCGAGCCTCAATTCCCACGATCGGGGCGACTGGGTCATCCGGAGGTTTTCACGCCGGGTTGCCTCAGCGGCGACTCGGACGCTGGGCAGTCACCATCGAATGGTCTGTCACAGGCATCTATGAGCTCTCTCTCTGTACCCTCCACCAATCAAACCACCCCTACTTCCGCAGAAAGTTCCAGTTTCTCCAAGCCACTTTCGCACAAGCGAAGTCTATCGCCGCGGCCATTGCCTCTGCGACAGACGACCTTCCACACTCTGGACTCGTCGTTCCGGTCCATGCGGCCCAGCTTTGCCACCAATCCATGGCTCCCCGAGGGCGGACCCTACTCCTTGGCCAAGACCGACCTCTTCGTGCGCAAAGTTCCTGAAGAGCCATCGGAGTTATTCTCGCCCCGAACCACTGGGTTTATGGCAGCTCCGTCGGCACCCTCGATATCTGACGTCCTTGAGGATGACGGACCTAATGGTCTAAAATTCCGGACAAGGATAGCGGATCCTCGGTCGCCTCCGCCTGGAAACGAGCGTCTGATTATGAGAAACATTGACGAATTTCTGTAGTTTCGTCTCGATGGCCTTGCCGAGACGTACGTTTTGTCTTGGGACGATCCTTGGAGGGAAAGGATTTTGAGCCCAAGAAACGATTCCATGACTTTTCTTCTACTTTTTTTTTTTTATTTAAACTCATCACAGTTCCTAATATTTGGAGCTTCCCCTCGAAGGCCTACTTTCGCTATTGTCTTTCATTTATCATTACATCTGAGAAACCATGTCTGGTTCTCACCCACACTCTCGCTGTCTTTCCTTGAATATTTCCTCACCGATTTCCGCTTGTTCTTTCTTTTTGTTTCTCACTCTCCATCGTGATGATTTGATGACCAAAGCAGGCTTTGCTGTCGTTACTTCCATTCTTCCCATCTACGTTGCACTTGACTTGCATTTTCACTTGTCGGGGGTTTTGCATGCCTTCGGAATATCGGCGTCCGGGGGTGTTTTAAAAAGAGATCGGCGGCGATGAGCCTTCGCGCCTGGTAACTTGTAATATTATTTTTGGGAACTGTGCTTTTGCATTCCTCTGGGGGACATTCTCTGTGCCTCGGCCAGCCCCATTCCATTCGCTTCCACTGTTTTATTCCACTCTTTTTACATGTCTCGCAGGCTCGATAAGAATACCCATGGGGGGCTGGTTTGGATCTTAGTCAAATGCAAATTCTAACCTTGAAATGATTGTATAGAGGCGTAGAGTGTAAATGTAAATGTAACGAGCCCGACGTACGCAGTAGAAAGAAGCGTGACCGGCTCGCGGGAGAAATCTCCGACTGCCGCCCAAACGTCACTTTTTTTCCTTAAAACAACCATCCCTCACGACTTCACACCAGACCCAACGACTAGACGTTGTCGACACTCAAAAATGGCCGACGACAGTCATCCAACACATCTGTCTCCCAGCGAACTCGGCACAAAAGACTAGTAAGTGAATGTTGCGCTGAATAGTTTTTTTCCACCAGTACTACCCCGCTACAACCCCTCCATGCGCCAGCCAGCCAGCACAAACACCATCTACCTACACCTTATCCAACCCATAATATCAACACAAGACTAACCACCAAGCGCCCCTTAGCTGGGAAACCTTCTACGCACGAACTCTCGCGCACCTCTCCACAAAACTCGACCCCCCTCCCGCCTCTTCAAAACCATCAACCCGCCCGAAACACCCTACCCACGATGCCTCCGACGCCGAAGACGACTCCGACTCCGACTCCGACTCCGTAGACGACGACTCCGACCCAGGCACCTCGTGGTTCTCCGAACACAACGCCCCGGACAAAGTGCTGCAGTTCCTCACCGACGAGGACTTCCCGCTGGCGCCGGTAAGGACGCACACCCAGACCCAGACCCAGCAGCCGTGTCTGCTGGACCTGGGCACCGGGAACGGGAGCATGTTGGCGCTGCTGCGCAAGAAGGGCCGGTTTGCGGGGGACATGGTCGGGGTGGATTATTCGGGGAGGAGTGTCGAGTTGGCGAGAGAGTTGCAGCGGTTGAGGATTCATTCGGCGTATTTGTCGGATTCGGAGGATGAGGATGATGATTTTGGGGATGGAGATCAGGGTGAGGGTGAGGGTGGGGCTGGGGCTGAAGGGAAAAATGATGATACTAATATCCGCTTCGAGGAGTGGGATATCTTGTCCTCGACGGATGCGTTGTCTGGGGCTGGGGAGGAGCGCGGACTCGATTGGTTCCCGTACCAGAAGGGCGGGTTTGATATCGTGCTGGATAAGGGCACGTTTGATGCTGTGTCGTTGTCGGAGGAGACGGTTGAGGATCGTTCTGCGGCCGAGGCCGAGAACTCGAACTCGAAGACGACCGGGTCCGGGACGAAGACGATCCAGAGACGCGTTTGCGAGCGGTACCCTGATATCGCGAGGCGGTTGGTGCGCAAGGGCGGGTTCCTGGTTGTGACGAGCTGTAATTGGACCGAGGAGGAGCTGATTCAGTGGTTTACGCGGTCTGAGTCGGAAGGGGAGGGCGATCGATTGCAGGTTTGGGGACGGGTCGAGTATCCGCGGTTCAGGTTTGGGGGGAAAGAAGGGCAGGGGGTGTGTACGGTTTGTTTCCAGAGGGTTTGAGTTATAGAATCCAGAAGATAGATAGATGCATTAGATGGATGGGATAGGACAGGGTCCTTGGATTGGTCTATATGTATGGTCATACATTCATCAGTCATGACACATGCGCTGCTGTGTCTTTCTGTCTATACATGCCATCGTGGCTCATGCAGATGAGATAAAAGGTGTCAATCATCACTGACTCTCACTCATCCTTACTCTCCCTTCCTCTTCAACAGCGCAACCACGCACCACCGTTTCCGATTCTCCGGCCCCTCGCCCTCTCGGACAGGCACCCAGTCCCTTCGCACCTCCTGCCCATCCTCCGTGACGGAGTTCAGATCTCGCTCGTGGATCCGTTCAATCTCCAGCCCCAACGCCACCGCCGTTTCGAAGAACCCGGCCACGATCAGTCGCCCGGTGTGGAATCCCGCCACGACCCAGACCTTGCCGCCGGGCGCCAGGAACCAGAGCATCGTGCGCGCCAGGTTCTCGTGCTGCGAGCGCATCCAGTAGCAGTCTGCGGCGATGATGCGGGAATACGTGCCCTTGGCGGCGACGGCCCAGGGGTCGCTCTGGAGGGTTCCCCACTCGTGCGGTTGCATGGATACGGTGGGGAGGGCGGAGGGGCGGATGTTGTGGTCAATGTTGAAGGTGATTGCGCCGGAGAGGGCGGGAGAGGAGGGGTGGTCGGTGATGGTTACTTGGGAGGCCTGCGCGAGGGAGCAGACCACGGAGGGGAGACCGGCGCCTGGGATAGGTGTGAGTTTGTGAACATGAACATACTTGCCGGCAATTTGAAAGGAACCGAAAGCAAAAACGGAATCAATTACTCACCAGCTCCCAGCTCCAACACGCTGTGTCCCTTGGCCAGCCACATCGCGATGTCAGGATCCAATTGTCCTGCGCTGTCCAGGACATCGGCCTTCTCGACTCCCTCGGCGACAACCATCGCTGCGCTCCATAGGAAATGCGCAAACAGCTTCCGTCCCTCCTCGACCTGATTCACTTGTCCATCTGGCCGGGCTTGACCCGCCGCGATCTCTTCGGTGCGTTTCTCGCTCTGGTTGGGATAGGACGGGACCATGATTTCGAGGTTGCCGTAGCGCGGCGACGAGTAGAGGAGTTGCTGGCCGGGGTCTCCATGAAACGAGGGAGCGTCATCGGGGAATAGATGCGGAAGAAACGAGGTGAAGAGATCCTCGGGGGACTCCTCTTCGATTTCATCGTCCTGGAAGTCGGGTGGAGGGGCAGAGGAGGGGCATGGCGGTTGCTGTTGATGTTGACGGCGAGGGAGAGGTCGGAGACGGGAGTGGAGAAGCATGTTGAAAATGAAGATTATGTATAATGGAGAAGAGTGATATTCTCGACGATGACCCAGAGATCGAGGATATCTTGTCAATGCTGCAATTGCAGTGTTTTGGTTGATGCCATACGCCGTTTGCCCGACGAATGCAAAAAAATTGGCCGCGGCTTGTGCTTTGATTGGCGGACCCCTTAGCGGTCTGTATTTTAAGGGCAGAACCATACCGCCTTCATCTTCATGTGATCGCATCTTGTGCTCAATTCCCCGGATTGTTTATTATTTACGGGGGTCTTCGAATATTGCCTGAGGACCGGATCTACGTGGCTTCAATGCGAGCTTTCTATGGAGGAGATTGCGCGGATACCCAAATAGGCCCGCTGATGATCACCGACCGAGTTGCTCCCCTCCTGCTTATTTGCACGTTGGTGCTGGATGCCTCTCGTTGGCCGAGCAAGCACTGCCATCACTGCGTTGTTAATCCGTCAAAGCACCAGTCCAATAATTCGGAACCGCGTCATTGGATATGGGCCTTGCAGCCTGCGTGTTCACGTTTTGGGTTCTCGCGTCCCCGTTCTCTCGGGCCGTGGAGGCTGGATTGCCGTTGTTTGGGCAAAAAACGTTGTATAATAGGAGGCATGAAACCGCTGACTTGTACTCCGTATTTTCTAGAGATCGGGTTCATCGAGACGACATATCCATCGATAGAGCCTGATGCCAATGGGATGAGCATCCATGTCCCCGTTGGGCGATGCTGACGTTGAAAACAGGATATTCTGTCCTTTCGCTCGAGGATCATGGCAGGTGCGGTCGAGGTCATCTTTCTGGTCGAGTAGGGGGGAGTGTCTTGGTGGGGTATTCAGCGTGCCAGGCTAAGATTGAGTCGAAACTATTCATTTCGGCATTGAGTAGATCACTCGCATTCCAGCGAGGGTGGTTGCCTTCCGGGACGGCGAACATTCGGGCTGGGGTTGCGTGGAAGCTTGGGAGTCTGCATCATCATCAATGAAATCCAGGCAGTCAAATCAACGGGAAACGCCTTGCAGGAAACGACGGTGGGCGTGGCGTGATTCTTGATCGCAGGCAAGCAGTCAAGTCGGTCGGGAAAATGTGGACAAGGAAAAACAAAAAAAGGGTGACAACTAGCCCGGACGGAACCCCACTATTTATTCGACGACCGACTGATTGGGCATCTTGTGCTACATGGATGGATGAAACAACAATGGGCCTCCAATAATGGGCTGTCACCACGAGGCCGGAATAATGCTGGTCATGAACTGGCAAACCGAACTGCCCTGCTCAGGACTGGATCCCTGACTAAGAAAGTATGTCCAGATAAGGAGCCCGTAAGGATCAGGGAAACCGGCTGAGATCCTGACTAAGACACTCCGGGGGAGCCCGTCCGCCAATCATACGGTACGGTACGGTCATGGGGCATGACGTCAGTCGCCCACCCGACAGGTCCTAGACCGGTCGATGCGCCGATTCCTGCGGCGTACGGTATGGTCACCGGAACAAAACGACAGCACGGATCATCCGAATTGAGTGATTTTTCTTTTTCTTTTTCTTTTTTATTTTCATTTTATTTTTATCTTTTTCCATTTCTGATCCCGCTTTGTCAGTAGTGTCAGACTCAGTTCGAGCAGAGTTAACCAGGAATTAATTACTGCGGATTGACAGGATTGTCGATGACTTTCTGCAAGGCCGGTCGTCTCCTCTCTCGACCCCGGTCTCAGCGCGGCAAGATTAAAAATCATAAATTAAATTCGACAAAAAGGTACCTGGTCGCCCCCTCCCCAAACCAAACCTCCCGTGACCTCGTGCGGTGCAGATGATCGTGCCCTTCGATTACCCGATCGAGCCCTTCCAATTCCCTCGAAAGAACCCGTTTCATGATGGGACAGCCGGTTGCTTCGCTGGAATTGGTCGATAAACATGGTCAGGACCACTTTTTTGGCCCTCGCCCAGTCATCGGATCCCAGATGCGAGTGGAGCAAATGGCATCACCGGCCTTGTTGGCCTCGTCGCGGGCTGTTAGTCAGGAACCGGTCACGGTGATTGGAAGCGGGCAGGGAGAAGACGTGATGATCAGACAGAGGACGAAAGAACAATGGCCTCGGGGATTCTGCAAGAGATCCGGGTCTTTCTGGCAGGAAATGCGCAGTCGAGAGGAGGGACTCTAGTGTAGGACCTCAATTCAATTAATTAAATTCAGAGCTGGCGATCGCCCAAACCCCCGCATTGCTGAACAGTAACTGGACTAGCGAACCCAAAAGGCCAGAGAAAAGGCCCCCGCAAATCCATTTGTTTTCTTTTTTTGATTTTCTAAAATAATTTCAAGCTGATGCAAGAGCTGGCGTCCGTCCGATACCAGAATACCACTGGCCATTACCGTATCTTGTCGCTCTGGATTCCTGCTCGCTGTCCCTCTCTTGCTCTCTCTGTCCTTTTTTTTTAATTCCATTTTATTTTCTTGCGTTCTTTTGATTATTATTATTTTATTTTATTTTATTTTATTTTCTTATTCTCAAAGTAACTCCTCTTTGACTTTCTCCTCTTCTCCCTCTCTCGCATCCCCTCTTTCTTCCCTCTCAATTGCCTCCAACCCAATTGCCCACCTTCACTGCCTACCGTTACTTTTGCCCCAATCCGCCCCTCGGCCTTCCTTGGTTCTCTGCCCTTGCCCGCTCTTTGTTCCAAGAACCCTTTCTCTCAACCCCAAAGATCAGCTCTCTCTCTCTCTCTCTCTCTTTTTTTTTTTTTTTTTTTGACTTTCTAAAAAAAAATTCCCTCTTCCTACTCTTTCACTCCTCGCTACTCTCACCATCGTTGAACAACTTTCTACACCGTCTTGATCTCAACAGTTATCACCGGGCTCTCAGGAGATTGATTGCCCGAGTGTCCACGTACTCATCATGGCTTCTTTCAAGGTACGGCGGTTTCTTTTCTATTTATTTATTTTTTAGACTTAATTCTTTTGGCCCCCGGGATTCCTAATAATAATTTATCTTCATCGTTGGCTAACCTGTGTGTAATCCATGATGATAGGAATTATCTCTGTCTCGCCCTCTCCCTCAATCCAATCCACGCCACCATTCCCACTCCATCTCGCTCGGTGCGGTCAATGCCAACCATCGGGTCACTCGTCGAAAGAGTGTCACCACCGCCGCTGCGGCCAACGCTGCGGCCGCCGCGGTCGCAGCGTCTATGAAGGACTCGTCGGGGGAATCGGTGGGATTGCCGGCGTCCCTGCACCGTCGTGGGAGTCGGAAGGGCTTGGAGTCTAGCTCGGTCGGAGCCCCCTCCGGCTTCGGCTCTTATCTCTCGCGGAGCATAAACAGCCCCAGTCAGGAACCCCCGGTCGCTCGCAAATCCTCTCCCAACCAGTCCAACGACGAATCGTCGGCCACTGCCGTGGATGAGAGCAATTCCGCCTCCAAGCCCGTCAACACTAAGAACCGTAACCGCCGGGCTAGCGAGGGGTCGCACTTAATCAAAGGCGAAGGAAAGCGCGTGATGGCGGAACTTCGCTGCGAACGTTGCGGGAAAGGGTATAAGCATGGCAGCTGCTTGTCCAAGCATATGTGTGTATCCTCCCCCCAACCCGCCATCCTGTCGTCTGGCTCGAGCCGGAGTAGATGCGCCATGTCGGCTCTGTGCAAGGTCGCCCTCGTGGTCATTCAGCTCCCCCTGGATCGTTGCAGCTTTTCTCCCCCTTTCTCTCCCTCCGTGTCTCGGTGGACCGTAGTCGGTTGACGTTTTATGGAACTTAGGTGGGAACATGACCCTGCGTGGGCTATTACCTCGAAGCTCTTGATCTCCAAGCACCAGCAAGTTCAATTGCTGGAGGCTGCGTCGGTCCTGGTCACCATGACGGAGGATCCTGCCGCGGAAACCCCCGAGGCCGATTCGGAGGTCTCGTCGGCGTCGCCAGATGCCTCGTCAGAGCTCCGAGATGGTCTCAGCTCGGCGGAGACGACTCCGCCACCCATGGACGAGGACGGCGAGGACGATTATGAGATGTCTCCGGAGCCCACGGACAAGCGATACAGTGTCGGCAACTCCATCGGTCACTTCTCCCACTCCTACCAGTCCGTCCCGTCGAGCTCGTTCACCGGCAGCGCTCCGTGGGCCTCGCCGGCGTTCTCGCACTTCCGCCATTCGAGCATCGATACCCGACCCTCTACGGCGGAGGCCAAGCTACACGACGACGACGAGGCAGACCTGGCCGCGGCCATCGGTCTCTGCAACTTCGGCACCCCTCGCACCGGACCCGTCAACCTCTCTCCCAGCGTCCCTCCCGTGCCCCCTTTGCCGACTCGCTTCCTGGACCAGAACGGCTCCGGTGGCAATCAGAGCCAGAGCCTAGGCCGGGAAGGGATCAAGCCGACGGATACGGACATCGCCAACTCCACACCGAACACCTTCTTCTCTCTCTCGTACAACCCATCCCTATCGTATAAAGTGTCGGATGAGCGAGACGTGAAGATGGGAGATACCGATCGTACCACCCGGCAAAATCGCAATGCGGACGTCGATTTCGGGAACCGCCCCGTCGCAGCCGATGACGATGACGACGGCGTCTTTGGTCGAATGGAGGAGTAATCTCTCTCATTCCTCTTGTTGTCTTGGTCATTCACTCTTCTTTTTTTTTGGTTTTTTGATTATCTAGCTGATATTTCCCCCCTTTGCGTTGTTCACCTCCCTCATCCTTTCCAACATATAACCCAGCGGATTACCCCCGCTGTACTACAGCGATAACTTTCATGACATGTATGAGCTTGTGCGAATTTTGCGATTGTTGCCTTTTGGTTGGCCCTGCTGCTTTGGAGTTGAACAGCCCCCGTTCGCGTGTATGACACATTCCAAGGGATTGTATTACCCAGGCGTCGCACTCGGTGTGACTGACCTGGGCTCCCTAATATGCATGATGGCCTTCTTGGATTGCCTGGATATCTCTTTTGTTCTCTTGTGTCTCGTTCTTTGGTCATCCTTTCTTTTGATTTTTTTTGTCCCTCTCCTCACTCCCTCTCTATCTTCGCGGTTCCTAACTCCTCACATTCTGTGTACCATTTCTCCGCATCACACCTGCATGCTCCTCTTCCGTATAAAGACTCCGGTCTTCTGCATGGGTCTGTTCGACCCCACCATTCTATTTCCTTCTGTTCCTGTACACAGATCCCGAAATGGGATATACTTTCGAATGAAGATATCACTATATCAAGCAGTTTCAGCGTATCTAGTAGATTGGGGTTAAGAAGGGGTTTATAGAGCTACACCATTTCAAATATGACTTAGGAAAAGACTGCGATGCTAATGCCTTCACGAAACATAATCCAAATTCGCAAGAGTTATTTATATGTTGAATAAATATTCTATGCGGGGCATAAAAACTACAAGAGTTTCAAGATTGAGTTTTCCAATGCTTACATGAGAAAAGAGGAGGGAAAAGATTTCTTGTCTTCCAAGCAATTTATTTATTTATCGGCATGATCAGGGCTTACTGGAATTTCCCAGAATTAAAAAACAGAAGGTAGAAGAGGACATGAGCATTTCCAGCAAGACAAAGTACAGTTCAAAATACAAAATTGGGTATCCTCTATTATATCATCCGAACGCCATGCTTGCGTTTCTCCGTCATCACCATCATCATCACCATAATTATAGTCTTTATCATTGATCATCATCATTCATCATTCGTGTGTGTGGCTTTTTGTTTGAAACAGGTACTTAGTACCTTAGCTCCTACTCGCAGAAGGAACCGTTAGTTGACTTTCTCAAGAGGAAGGAATGGAAAGGAGGGAGGGGAGGAGCTCGTTCACGAACCTTGATTGAATCGGAGCGAGACTGGTGGCCAGAGATTCAATGTAGTATTGATAGACGACGCGGAGGTGGAAAAAAGTAGATTGATCCATGTGTAGGAGGGCATGGATCATTCCGCGTCGAAGGGCCTTGTTGGTTGCAGGTACGATCCCTCAGGATGAGGGAGCGAAGAGGCAGAGCGAGAATGTTTTCTTAAACTCATTCTCGGGCTCCAGGAAGGAGTCATGTGGATGCTCCCGAGTCGTCGACTGCTTGTTTCGTGGGGTTGTCTGTCTTCCTGTCTGTCTGTGCAGTTGGTTGTGGGTGGAGTGGGTGGTATCCATGTTTAAGTCTGGATGTGGTTGTTGATAAGTAGGGATTTCGTCTTTCTCTTCGAGAAGGGCGTGAGGGAAAGGCCTCGGTGGGATGGCCGGGGCAGCGAGGATGTTTTCTCAGATTCATTCTCGAGCGTGTGGACTCGTCATCGACTGTTTGTTTTGTCGATGGGCCTGCCTGCCTGGTTGTTTGTTTGTGGAAGAGATCCATGTTGGGTCGGGATATGGTTGTCGACAGGCAGGAGCTTCATCCTTCTCCGCGAGAAGGGCACGAGGGAAAGACCCTTGCTGGGTGGACCGAGGCAGCGAGAATGTTTTCTCAGACTCATTCTCGAGGTCCAGATGTCTTGCGTGGACTTCGTCATCGACTGCTTGTTTTGCCGGTTTGCCTTCCTGCCTACTGGGCTGTTTGTTTGTGGGTAGTATCCATGTTGAGTCTGGATGCGGTTGTTGGCAGGCAGCGTCCTCAAGATGGGCATGAGGGGAGGGGGCCTTGGTGGGATAGCCCATGATAGTGAGAATGTTTTCTCAGACTCATTCTCAAGCTGGAGGTGGCTTTGCAATTTCTCCTTCAAGGGAAAGTGCCGGTTTGGTTTGTTTGGGCCTTGCATTCAAAGTAGGCCGCGCGGCTGCCGTTCAGAGATTTGGTTGTTTGGAAAAGAGGTGGTTCTTAACAAATCTTCAGAAGATTCGTTGATTATGCACCATGCACCCCCTTCTTTGGCTTTTTCTTGAGCAGCTGATTTGGAATGGTTGGCTACTCAAAAGACAAGGGGGCATGGCGCTGCTGGTCTTCAACTGACCGCAACAAATACAGGAAATGAAAGAAATCACCATAACAGAGAAAGACATGAGACCAGACACATGAGAAATAAGAAATAACAATATCTTTTTTTTTCGGGACTTTTCTTTTCACTTTTTTTTTTTTTTTTTTTTTTTTTTTTTCTTTTGCAAAAAGAAAAGGGAACCCCGAGAGAGAAAAAACCAAATCCAAGCCGAAGACAAAAGATAGAAAAGGAAAGACAGAAAGACAAGACAAGAGCAGATACAAAAGCGAAAACAGAAAAGCAAAGACAAGAATAACAACGGTAAAAGATAAAAACCAGGAAATCCTATGGGAACGTTCAGCTCGTTAGCTTCCAAAGCTCCCCTTAGATAAGGACTTCAAGAACCACTTACTTGATATGATTTCCATCCTCGCCACCATTGCCCTCTGCCCAGTCAACCTCCCGATCACCACCTCCCGCTCGCGGCCGTTCAAGAAGGCCCCTGGCTTGGATCATCAGGCACGGTTTGGATTTCCACGCCCAGGTCTTCGGTCTTCCGCTTAGCACTGCGCCTGCGCGCTTTCTGGCTAGGCCGGTTCTTCCGCTGACCCGGGGGTTCCTTATCCGCGCCCTCGCCGCCGTCTGCGGTGGCCGTCTCCTGCGAATCCACCTGCTGAACGTCGGGTCGCTGCCCGGTCAGGTGGAGAGAAGACGGACCAGCCTCAGGGGGCGAGTCCGTAGCTGTTCCAGAAGGCCCGTCCAAGAGGTCTTCGGGCTCGAATCGCGGCAGCTCATTCAGCGAAGCAAGAGACTGCTTTGCAAGGCGGCGGCGCGTTTTCTGGCTGGGCCCATTGTTCCGGCCACCTTGCGAGCCCTCGGCGTCCCCAGCCTCGTCCTCTGCGACGGCCGTCTCCTCCACCGGCTCCAGTTCGGGTCGCTGCCCGGTCCGGTGGGTGGAAGACGGTCCAGCCTCAGGAGGAGAGTCCGTGGCCGTTCCAGAGGACCCCTGGTTGCCAGCCTTCTCGGCCTCAGCCCGCTCCCGCTGCTTCTTAGCAAGACTCCGGCGCTTCTTCTGGCTGGGCCGATTCTTGCTTTTCGAGCCCTCCTCGGGGGCCTTCGGGGAATCCTTGACAGCCTTTTTGCCCTTGGCAACCTTCTTGCCCTTGGCGGGAGTGGTCGGAAGATCGTCGGCGCCCTCTGTGCCCTTTGCTGACTTCGCGGGGTTCCTGACAGAATCGTCGGCACCTTCCGCGGGAGTCGTGAGAGAAGCATTGGCACACTCTGTGCCCTCTGGCTCCGGGTCATGCTTGCTGCTCGCGAAAAACGTAGGGTCGTTAGGGAACAGTTCCCGAGACCACCACGAGGGGCGCGGGGGGTTGACCAAATAATCGATCTGACCGAATCGCTTGTCGGCTCCCTCGATGGTCTGCGGAGATTGTTCCCACACGTGAGCAGCTGAAGCGCCGAAGCACTTCACATGACGGTCCATGAAGTCCAGAGAAGCAAAGACAGAGACGATCGTAAGATCGGAGAGACGCTTCCGAATCCGACGATACTCGGAGCCCAAATAAGCGCACACCGCAAACAAGCCAACGTGCGAAGACCTCAGGTTCGGCAGAGTCCCACGCGCGTAACGCCGGGGCTCCGTGTCGTCCCATCCTGAGGGCTTGTCCGAAGGCTTGCAGGACGGGTGCACATCTTCCAGCCGGCAGTACAACGTCAGACCCGTCTCGATGGGGTGTCCGACGTCACATGTACCGGGGATGCTGCAGCCAGCCCAAGCGACATAGAGTTCCCTGGGAGAGGGAGAAAGATCCACCAAGTCGCTGATCGACTGGGCAACGAACGTCGTCGCGAAGGCATCTTTGATTCTATTCGCGAGGGCCTGCTGGGGACGAGTATCTGGCAGGGGTTTCATGGCACCCCAGAGGGCCAAAGTCACGAAAGAAGTCCAGAAGAACAACATCCTATTCATCTTGTCAGTAACTTAAGTCAAAGGCAACGGGGCAACGAGGATCCAGAAAAGAAAGAAACGGGAAGGAAACGAAAGATTAGTTTGAAAATGTAGATGTCTTACGTGTCTGGTTGCGTAAATGTTGTTGTGAAGGAGTTGTTGTGAAGGTTTTAGATGGATAAGGTAGATTGGCAGTAGCTGGGAAGCTTCTATGAATAGAGGATGATGAAGGAATTTGGATGAAGAAGTTTGGATGGAGAGGTTGATCGAGGGAGAAGAGAGGAAGAAGGAAGAGGATCGATGGAGGTTGCTTAAATACTCACGCTCTGGAGGGGAACAGCTGATCGAGAAGAGGTTGGATTCACGGTTCAGAAACTGGATTTGCCTGGTGGAGGATGGCAGTGAATAATATTGGGCTTCACGATCCCTGTGAAAGAGCCAATCAGAGCGGGCCATGCCCAATTTGGAGGAGATGAAGCTGGAAGTTGCCGTGAACCGTCATATCGCCTCTTCCCATTGGTGATCTGGTGAGGGAATTTCCTCATCCTCGTAGCCTTCCAGCATAAATATAGTGAAAGTTGCCGGTTCTCTGATATGCCCTCCTGCCATTGGCCGCTCCCCTTGGGTCATTCTGCCATGGGAGCCTCCAAGGTAGGGCTAGATCACAAGGCCCATCTCTGGCTGGTCTGATACCAGAAACATGCTGGAAGTTGCGAGCCGTCATCTTTGAGATTCGCCTCTTCCGAATGAAGACGAGGAACAAATGGAAGGGCCTGGCTTGTCTTCTTATTTACTTTGTTTATGTTCTGGCTATACTTTGCAGGCTTCTACTTGTATGTCTCGAGGTAGCCTGGCCTGCAAGCCAGATTCAACGCGCAAGGGTTTGCATCAGGGAAGCAGTTACTACTAGCCATCCTATATCTGGGTTCCTAGGTTGTTCGTATTAGCAATATACTTGTAGGTCCTCTGAAGCTCGTTGGCATTGCAGGACCGTAGGCACGAGAGACATGGTAGTTTATACATAGCAAAGTACGATGGCCAAGGGGACTAGCGGAATCTACCTGGAATGAGACTAGATTAATTTCCCCGCAGAAGCTGGAACTCAGCCACCTGCAGGGCACTCCGCTTGTGGCATCGAATGGCGGAAGAAGGGCGCAGAAAAGACGATAGATTAGGGCAGAAGGAAGTGAGGTTGAAGCCGATCTCGCCGCCTTCCGCGCTTAACCCGATCGGGCATCGGCGCCGCCTCTCCGAATTTTATCTTGACGGCCTCCGTTTTCTCCCCAACATCACTTCTTTTCCCCGGCATCCCGCTTGACTCTTGTCCACGGCTTGAAATTCTATTCCCTTTGCTGATACCGGCTATTCAAAATGGCGTCTACCTTTGCTATGGGTCTCGGTGTCGCTACGGCCGCCTTCTTGGTATGTTTTGGGACCTGAAGACCGCGTCACTGTTTTCCGCCGCAATCGCTGACCGGGTCGTTCTACTTGGTTTACAGGGCCGTGCCGGCTACGTCGCTTTGCAGCGCTCCAGAGGAGGTGTGAACAGCTTGGGAAAGGCTTTCTACAAGGGGTTCGTTCTGGCTCCGATGTTGTTTGGCAAGATGACGCAACAGTTTACTGATCTGTCGACAGAGGATTCGAAGCCCGCATGACCCGCCGCGAAGCTTCCTTGATTCTTGAGCTCCCGTATGTTTCCTCCCGATATACTCAGTGGTCCAACATGGGCATGTTTCTAATGAATTCGACAGCGAGCGCACCCTGAACAAAGACAAGGTCCGCAAGAAGCACCGCCAGCTCATGCTTCTCAACCACCCCGATCGTGGCGGTAGCCCGTACCTGGCCACCAAGATCAACGAAGCCAAGGAATTCCTCGACAAGCATACCTAGAGTGGCATCGAAATCGGAATCGGAATCGAGAACCGCGACTCTTGATCCCCTTGACCACAGGGGGATCTGCGGACTCGGACGGAAGACTGGAAATGATACTTGCGTATCATCCTGTGTATTAGAGCATAACTTTTGGGTGCATAGCGTGGCGTTGGTGGAATTTTTGAAGCCGAGACGCTTTTTCTTCTCGGCTTTACTCCGGGGAGACCTGTACATTGATATATCCTGACGAGATCGCCGCTCCTGATAATTTACAAGAACGTTTGCTGTACTGCTGAGAGGGTCCCTTCCACCGCGTAGTGCTCGGTGCCTGAGAATTCAGGACCCTGACTGGCTGATGTAAGCGGAGATAGAGATACGGCGTTCTGCGATCGACGGCTGGACGTCGACAGGGCGCCATCCCGACTGGGATTAGCATGCGGCATTCAGTCTTCTGTCGGTGACGGTGGGATTCGACCTCCAGGGACAGTCCAAGTGATCGACCACTACGACGACGCCCCATCCCTGTCCACCTCCAATCATACGAGAACGAATACGGCGGGCTTGAAGACCGCGGCCGGAAGAATGGGGATCCGATGAACAAAGCAGCGCGGTGATTACGGAGGCCAGACAGCCGTGACCGAGGACGAACCCACCTGAAACGTGTTTTATCTCGGAAATCGGAGTTTGCGAAATCCGTCGGGCGCTAGCGGTGGTGGTTAGAGTTGATGACTGCACTGGCTGCTCCGCCGGCGTAGTCTGTTTAGGGAAAAAGAAAGAAAAAAAGGCAGCACCGTTTACGAAATACGGCTGGCGGGCTCCGTTGATGACGGACGGATCTGCCCCCCGTCAAGCAGTCATTCGAGTCTAGAGTTTTACATCGCCAAGGGAGTAGGGCTACGATCGGATTGACTCCTTTTTTTTTTCTTATTCTGTTTTATTTTGGATTTATTGAATCCTTTTCATTCTATTTTATTTACCTATTAGTTACTATAGATTTATTTTCCGACGCATACTGCGGAACCACGTGCCTGACGGATGATTGAGTAAGCCAGACTTCCTCCTTTTGCTCCGATACTCCGGCGTCTTTCTTGACCCTGACCGTGACTTCTTCGCCTCCGACCAGAACGTCTCCACCACGCATGACCCGCCATTTGTCGACCTGCCTCTTTCGCTCCTTCCATGACATCCCCCGATCCTAAAAACCGGAACTTGCGCAACCAGCTACGAACGGTCCCTGCATCTCGCCGTTGACGTCTTTCGCCGGACCCCGCATCACGCTCGATTCAATACCCGCTTCGCCTGGACTCCACTCCGTCATTGGGAAGCTGCCCTAACTGTCCCATCCCCTGCGCTCGGTGCGTTCGTGGGCGACGATGGATGGCATCGGGGATGCGTCCGACGGCATGGGCTTCGACATGCCCATGCTGATGAATCAACAGCCTCCTCTGTTCGGCACCTACAACAACGACGGTTCCCCGATCACCTCCGCACTCCCCAACCCGACTTTCAACGATGACTCGTCCATGGGCTTGGGCGACGATAGTAATGATCCGAAACGAAGAAGAATCGCGAGGGTGAGTGGTGTGGCCGTTGCCGTTGCTGTGTGCCGGCGAAGTGGCGCGAACGTTCGGCGGACTAATCGTTCCCGTGCAGGCTTGCGATATGTGCCGGAAGAAGAAGATCAAGTGTGACGGCAAGATGCCCAAGTGCTCGCACTGTATCAACTACAAGACGGACTGTGTCTTTACCCAGGTGGAAAAGAAACGCAACCCCCCGAAAGGGTAAGCTCTCGCGGGACCTTTCGCCTCGTCTTCCCCGTCGCTGACCGCGGACTTTGTAGTGCGAAATACATCGAAGGCTTGGAAAATCGATTGGGGCGAATGGAATCACTATTGCGACTGTCTGGACTTTTGTCGGAGGACGATGGTGGGAAAACCGATCTGGGAACCTTGGAGAAACGGTTGGCCGATCGGTCATTTGCGGCCGGTCAGATGAGCGCCATGAAAAGCCCCAACAAATTCAATGCTTCGAGCTCGGCCGCTCAATCGCAGCAGACCACTGCCTCCCGCCACTCGACCCCTCGCATGGATTCCCAATCTAGTCCACACACGGCTGCGACGTCGCCGGATTCGACGAAGGAATCGGAAACTGAGGTCGAGGGCTTGTCAGACATGATGTGCTCTCTTGTGACCAATAACTGTGGAGAGACGCGGTATATCGGTATGCAGAGGGTCTTTCACATATCAGCTGCGAGATGTACTGACAGTGCATGACAGGATCATCCTCGGGATTTTCGATATTCTCTCCAAAGGGTATCCAGTGGGTCAATGAGAAGACTGGCGACACGTCATTCCAGGACATGATATCGTCGGCCTATGTCGACGACAACAAGTGGATGTATTGGAAGCCCGAGATCTTCAGTGACATCTTTGCACGGCGCGTCTTCAAACCTTTGCCCCCAAAGGAAGAGGCATTGTCGCTTTTCCGAGACTTTTTCGAGAATTTCAACTGCATGTTTCCGCTGTTCCATGAACCGACGTTCATGCATCTAGTGGAACGTCAGTATTCCCGTGATCCATACGAAGGCTCGGGCTGGTGGGCTAGCATCAACGTGGTCCTTGCTATCTCCCACAGGTTGCGGGTGATGAGCAATTTGGTTCCGCAGGAGGAGGACAAGAAAGCATGGCTCTATCTGAAAAATGCCATGGGAGTTCTGACGGAACTTACCATGCGCAATACCGATCTACTTAGTGTGCAAGCATTGCTCGGAATGGTAAGTGACGCTACTTGTTTGCAGGGCATCTAGGCTAGCATCTAACATGGTGCAGTCTCTTTTCCTTCAAGGAACCCCCAATCCCCAACCCTCCTTCTTTTTGGTCGCAGCCGCCATCCGACTGTCTCACAGCATTGGTCTTCACAAGAGAGGCTCAGGGTTTGGGTTGAACCCGGTTGAGGTTGAGCAGCGAAAAAGAGTATTCTGGATTGCTTATCTTCTTGACAAAGAGTAAGTGACAACCCGAAAAAGCCTGGCGAGTGAACGTGGTCTCTAATCTGGGGTACAGCATTTGCCTTCGGTCTGGTCGCCCTCCCGTTCAGGATGACGACGACATGAATGTCGAATTGCCGAGTGAAGACCCGCCGGACAACATTGGAAACGTGCCATTGTCCGATGGAAAGAGCAAATTTAACTTGTTCCGGTTGATGTGTCGGTTTGCGACCATCGAAAGCCAGGTTTATAAACGACTTTACTCTGCCAGGGCATCGAAACAATCGGACGGCGAGCTGCTGAATACCATCGGAGAACTGGATAAGGAGCTTGAAGAGTGGAAAGACAGCATTCCCCTCGACTTCCGCCCAGAACATGAAATCAAAGCCACGCACGCGCCTCTCATTATTCATGTTGTTGTTCTTCATTTTGCCTACTATAACTGCTTGACAACAATACACCGGATGTCTGTGCATCACGGGTATTGGACAAGCCGTCTCTCCAACTATGCCATTCAAGGCCTAAACGCCAGGCCTCTGAACCCAAGAGTTTTCTTGTCGGCTGTTCTCTGCGTGACAGCTGCCAGAGCTTCGATCAATTTGATCAAATATATTCCCCAGGGCGACTTTGCCTGTGTCTGGTAGGTTGCACCATTGCCACTGTCGCGGTCCTTCCACATACTAACAACATCCAGGTTGATTCTCTATTACCCCGTATCCGCACTGGTGACTCTGTTCGCCAACATTCTTCAAAATCCTAATGATGCCCGAGCTCGGTCTGATGTCAAACTCATGAATGTCGTAGTAAACTTCCTATCAACGCTGGTCTCCGACGAGTCGAATGGAAGCATCAAGCGTATGCTTGGTTTGTGTGGTGAATTTGAGAGAATTGCCCAGGTGGTTCTGGACAAGGCCGAGCGCGAGTCGCATTCCAAGAAGAAGCGCAAGACCACCGCGGACGACACTCGCAACTTACAGCAGAGTACCCCCGACGAAACCGCCGACCCCTCTCCATCCACGCCCAAACCGACGGGTGCACCTACAGCTACACCATTCTCGTCGTCCATGTTCTCTGGCGGTGTAGGTGACACGGGTCCCAACGTGTCAAGTGAGGCGAGGGCCTTTGCCTCCGGCCAGGTTTCCGGAACGCACGGGCTTTCGTCCAATCTACCAGACAGCCTCAACCCCATGACGGGGCTGGGTCAGGAGTTTCCGGACATGCTCAGTCCTCCCAACCTGGAGGGCGTGGGCTTCGGCGATCCGCCGCCCTTCACGACATCTGCCGACACGCCGATGACATCCTTCCAACAGCCCTTTGTTCCGCAGGACCTTTGGCAGATGCCAATGACCATCGAGTGGGACTGGGCAGATATGTCGACCAGCTTTCCCGTGTTTGACGCGGGTGGGCCGTCGCAGAACAATTCGTGATGATGACACGAAATATCGAAGCGTAACATCTTTCGATTAGGGACATTGAAAAACCAAATGAAGTCGGAACGGAGTCAAGGCCGGGCGTTTCATGCACATGCTGCGTGTCGCTTTATTGCTATCATATCGTTATTTTGGGGTACAAGGCGTTTGTATCAGGGATCGGGCATCGTCAAGCGCCACTCCACTTCCTTTAATCTCCCCTACTCATTCTCTGTTAATGTTTTGAGCGGTTTGTAAAAAGCACATTCTTCATGGGCGGGAGTCTTTGGGTGCAAGCGCACGGCGAACGTGCAGATTGTTAGGACTGTGCCCTGTGTATAAGAGCAAAACTGCCTGTAATTACCTCCTCCATCTCCACATAGCCAGCATGAAATACCTCCATCATTCCATTCTGTCCGGGGGAACCGGGGATTGCCAGCGTGGAATCGACTGCGTTCGCTCGGGTTCTCCCTTAAATCCGGGGATGAGTCAGCGCCGACGGAACGGCGAAAAATCCCAGGCCGAACGAAGGCGGGAACGCTCTTGCCGGTGACAGCTTCTCCAAGAGCTTTCAACTCTCCCTCCCTCTCCGCCACCTCCTCCTCCTCCCCCGCCGAAGGCATCTATGGCTTCCGAAGTTGGCCATTGCTACTGAATCTCCGTCCGTATTCCCTTCCCCCCTTCGACCTATCCTTCCGCCTTCGCCTCTGGGCTCCGCATCCTCGAACCATGGCGTCCCTACTCCGGCGGCCAGGCAACCTTGCTCAATACTCGAGGAGAGCCGCAGAGTACATCTACCGCGCAGGACCCCGGTCCACGTATCTCACCCAGTCGAGGCTCTCGTCTCTGATCGCGGCGCGCCAAGCCAGAACATACGCCACGGGACCGAAGCCCCCGAACGGTAACGATGGCCAGCAGCAACCGTCGAACCAATCACCCGGGCCCGAAAACAACGACCAAAAGCCCGGGGAGCAGAATTCGGGGAGTCCGCCGTCGAACCTGAGTCCGGAGGACCAGGAACTGGTGAATCATCTCATAGACCACATGAAGACCCGGGTCCCCAAATCGCAACATCAAATACTCGACGATATGCACAAATCTATGAACAAGGACGGTATCCCGGAAACAGTCCGCGGATTCATCGATCGCTGGATCAAAGGCGACCCACCCCTCACTCTGATGGACTACGTGAACTTGGTCTTTTATATGTCGAAATACCAGGCCAACCCCGATAATAAGGAAATGAGGCACCAACGGAAAACATCGCAGTCGGAAAAGCCGAATGAGCAGGAGCAGGAGCAGAAGGAACAACAGGAAAACAAGCATGATCAAGAGCAGCAGAAGAACGACAAGCAAGGAAAGGATCAGGGCAAGAGGCCTGGTTTTAATGTCACGGAGATCCGCTTCGATCCCGCCTCCTTCCTGGTCACCTCGCTCCTTACATACTATACCTATCGCAGCATCTTCCCCGGGGAAAACAACAAAGAAATCACATGGCAAGAATTCCGGGCAGATTACTTCGACAAGGGTCTTGTCCAGAAGCTGACGGTTGTGAATGAGAGTCGTGTCCGGGTCGAGATGAACCGTGATGCGCTGTCTCGTGTCTATCCGGATTCCCCCGCCGTTCAGCCGATGTTCAACTTCTACTTTAGCATTGGCTCTGTGGAAAGCTTTGAGCGTCGCCTGGACCAGGCTCAGGACGAATTGGGAATTCCTAGCGCCGAGCGGATCCCCGTCTCCTATGTCAACGAAGTTTCGTGGGGTGCCACCCTCATGTCCTTTGCCCCGACTCTCATCTTGATCGGTTCGGTCTTCTGGCTGACGAGACGTGCTGCGGGTGGCGGAGGTGGCCAGAGTGGAATTTTCGGCATCGGAAAGAGCCGAGCTAAAAAGTTCAACCACGAGACAGACATCAAGATCAAGTTCTCGGATGTGGCTGGAATGGACGAGGCCAAGGTGGAAATCATGGAATTCGTCAGCTTCCTTCAGCAACCGGAGAGGTTCCAGAAACTCGGAGCCAAGATCCCTCGCGGTGCTATCCTGTCGGGACCTCCTGGTACGGGTAAAACGTTGCTGGCCAAGGCAACTGCTGGTGAATCCGGTGTGCCCTTCTTTAGTGTCAGTGGTTCCGAGTTCGTCGAAATGTTCGTCGGTGTCGGCCCTTCCCGGGTGCGTGATCTGTTTGCCAACGCGCGGAAGAGCACGCCCTGTATCATCTTCATCGATGAAATCGACGCTATCGGTAAATCTCGTGCGAAGCAGAGTTTTGGTGGTGGAAACGACGAGCGCGAGAGCACTCTGAACCAGATTCTTACCGAGATGGACGGTTTCAACACCTCGGATCAAGTTGTCGTTCTCGCGGGTACCAACAGACCTGATGTTCTGGACAAGGCTCTCATGCGACCTGGACGATTCGACCGACACATCTCTATCGACCGGCCTACAATGGATGGCCGACAGCAGATCTTCCGCGTTCACCTGAAGAAGATCGTGACCGACGAAGACATTGAGTTCCTCACTGGCCGGCTTGCCGCCCTGACCCCCGGTTTTGCCGGTGCTGATATTGCAAACTGCGTCAACGAGGCGGCACTAGTTGGTGAGTCTTCCCTCTCCCTCTCTAATTTGCTTGGTGTTTTTCATCAAAGCATTGGCTAACGATGCATATCTGTAGCTGCTCGACACAACGCGGACCGCGTTACCATGAAGCACTTCGAGCAGGCGATCGAACGTGTCATTGGTGGTCTGGAGAAGAAGTCTCTCGTGCTTTCCCCCGAGGAGAAGCGTACCGTTGCTTATCACGAAGCTGGACACGCTGTCTGTGGCTGGTACTTCCGCTGGGCTGATCCTTTGCTCAAGGTCTCCATCATTCCTCGTGGTCAGGGTGCCCTGGGCTATGCCCAGTACTTGCCGGCCAACGGTGACACCTACCTAATGAATGTGAACCAGCTCATGGACCGCATGGCCATGACCCTGGGTGGTCGTATCAGTGAAGAGATGCATTTCGATACCGTCACCAGCGGAGCTAGCGATGATTTCAACAAGGTCACTCGTATGGCCACCGCAATGGTTACGAAGTTTGGCATGTCGCCCAAGCTGAAGTACATCTACTACGAGGAGGACCCTTCGCAGCAGATGCACAAGCCCTTCTCCGAAGATACCGCTCGGGACATCGACATCGAAGTCCGCAGAATCGTGAGCGAGGCCCAAGACCAATGTCGCACTCTTCTCACGGAGCGAAAGAAGGAAGTCGGTATCGTCGCAGAGGAGCTCCTTTCCAAGGAGGTTCTTGGCCGCGATGACATGATCCGCCTTCTGGGTCCCCGACCTTTCCCCGAATCCGGCGAGATCACCAAGTACTTCGACGGCATTAAGGACGGAGCCACCATCGCGCCCCCGGAGCCAGCACAATCCAGCGAAGAGACCCTGGGCAAAGATGGAAGAGACCAAACCCCTCGACCGACATAGACGAATTTGATTGATTGCATCTTTTTTCCATTCAACCTAGATCAGGAAATCTTCACGGCTTTGACGAGGGGACATATATCAATTTCTTTTTTTTATTCATTCCACCATGGGGCTTTGTACTTATTTTGTGTTCGATATGAGAAGCATCTCCGTTCTTCTTTTTCCATCCCTTTTTTTCCCTTCTCTTTTTTACCTCGACGTCATAACCCGATTCGCCTTATATCTCTCTCTACCTCGAAACCCTTGCCATCCACCCATCCGTTCATAAATATTAGGTTTCTGCGACATCTTTCTCTTCTTTTATCTGTCTCCCTCTTTCTCGTTTCCCGGTTTGTCCTTCTCCCATTCCGAACTGTCTATCTATCTATCGCTTGCCGAGGTTACTGCGCTCTGTTGAGAAGCATTAGGTGTATTTGTACTGTATAGTAGGTAGTCAATTGTTTATCTTATTTAATTGGTTGTATAAGTGACTAGCAGCACTCGAGAGCTAAAATGAGTGGGATTGTCCGGTTGGTTCCGTTAGCGACGATTTATATATATTTACAACCTGGATCATACTGGAATTGCAAGTTACTTTTTAAAAATGAGGGAAGCAAATAGATTCACTTATTTGATGAGTCTTCATGAAACGCCACGTCGATGTGAACTATCCCGAAGCACCAACCCAGAAACAGTAAGAAAATTCAATTTGAATAAAAATAAATCAAAAATATTTACTTTCAAAGTCAGAAAAAATCAAATGAATAAGAAACAAAAACAAAACATCGGTCGGATGTCAACTCGGACTCGATCGACTCTACTGAGCCTTCTTGCCCTCTTGCTCCGCGGAGCTCTGCTCAGTCTGCTCCTTCTCGGCCTTGGGGGCCTTCTTCTTCTTGCTGGAGGCCTTGTACTTGGGCTTCACGGACAGGCGGGGGATGAAGCGGCCGACGCGAGCCTGGTAGTCAGTGTACTCGGGGTACTTGCTGGCGCTGATGGACTCGGTGAGCTTGACGCTGCCCTGGAAGATGAGGCCCAGGCCAAGAATGCCGATGCCGGTCCACTGGACGAAGGACTCGGTGCGGTAGCAGTTCCACAGGTACAGAGTGAGCCAGATGGCCTGCTCGGCGGCGAAGTTGGGGTGGCGAGACAGCGACCACAGTCCGGTGACCGCGAACCCACGCTCCAGGTCCTCGGGGGTGAACTGATCCTTGTACTGGCCAGCGATGCGGGCGGCGTTCTGGTATTCGTGCTTGGCGCAGTGGAAGTGCCACTGCTGCTGGTCGGCGAAGAACTCAATGATGAGGAAGAAGAAGGCGACGCGCGAGAAGCCCAGGTCCGAGAGCTCGAAGGTCTTGAGGGCCGGGAGTTGCGAAAGCAGGAGGAAGTTGTAGGTCGGGGCCGTGAGGAGCAGCAGGAGCAGAGGCTGGACCAGACTGATGAAGGTGGCGTTGAAGAGGAAGAAGACAAAGCGGTTGGGCACTTTGGAGCGAACAACCTCCCACCGGTAATCCTCGGAGCCGATCTTGTATCCTCCCTTGCGCCAGTAGTTGTAAGTTAGGCGAACCTGCGCAGATGTCAGCTGTAAGTTGCAATGAAGACCATGTGGAGAGTGCGCCTTACGCTCCAGACCACCGAGAGAACGGCGATGGTATCCAGGCTCTGGGTACGGAGACCCGACAGACGCGCCCAGACGGCGAAGTGGACATTGAACAGGGCGGGCAAGAGCGACCAGAGGCGATCAACTTGCGAATAGTTTCGGGTGATCTCCGAGAGGACCAGGAAGTAGGCCGAGAAGACGAGAGTGAGACCCAAGGCCGAGACAAAAGGGTTGGTCGAGAGGTAAATATCCTTCAGGATGACCACATCCTTAGCTGTCGCTGCCAGCTGGAGCCTTTCAGGCAAAGCAGTCAACTGCGAAAGAAAGGGGAGCACGGTGTGAGAGAAGGAAGCGCAGTCCTTGACGGACTCGATGGTGGGGAGCGGCAACGCCATGATGGGCGAGTGAGGCAGAGGATGGCAGATTGCAGATAAAGGAGGAGGCGGAGGGGAAGGAGAGTCGAGGATGTTTTACTTTTCGATCGCATCAAAACAAAGACATTCCGCGCTTACCCGATTGGGCCGGAAGCTTGGGCCATCTGATGCCTTGGTGCCTTAGTGCCTTACTGTCGCTCTCTGCCTGAGGCCACCACCGGCACGTTCCGCTTAATTTCGCGTCGTCTTCTTCGTGTCGGCGCTGCTGCTGCTCTCCCTGCGCACCCTCAACAATGCCGGTCCCCAGGGTCCTGTGCGTGGCCGAGAAGCCTGCCATTGCCAAGGCGGTGGCCCAGCATCTCTCCGGAGGTGCAATGCAGACAGTAAGTGGCATGCCTTCAATGCGTCCGGGACAATGTATGCTGAAGTAGACGTAGCTCCATATCCGTGGGAACCAGTATGTCAAGAATTATGTCTTCGAATTCAATTTCGGCAACCCCTGGGGCACCTGTGCCGTGACCATGACCAGCGTCATTGGTCACTTGACCTCATTGGACTTCCAACGCCAATACAAGGGGTGGCTGTCCTGTCCACCGGGGGCTCTATTCGAAGCACCCCTGCATGAAGGCGTAGACTCTGTATGTAGCCTTCTCGGAGGGCCCGACTGTTGAGTCAAAGGGTCTACAGACTCGGCCGACGTGCGCTAACTTTATGATCTAGGATAAAACTGCGATTGCAAATAACATCCAAGAGCAGGCAAAATTCTGCCAGGCTCTTTTTATTTGGACGGATTGTGATCGGGAGGGGGAACACATTGGCAGTGAGGTTCGCAAGCAAGCAAAAGAGGGAAATCGTCGCATTGTGGTGAAACGAGCTAGGTTTAGCAATACCGAAAGAGCGTCCGTGAGCCCCAGTATCCTCGACTTCCACCATTCCTTTACTCATACAACCACAGTCACGTCCTGAGTGCCGCTCGGGCACTCATTGAACTAGACGACCTTCAAGCCAACGCGGTGGCTGCCCGGATTGAACTCGATCTTCGGATTGGTGCTGCGTTCACTCGCTTGCAGACTCTTCAATTGAAGCCTCTATCAGACACTCTAGCCGAGACGATCATCAGTTATGGTATGTTTCTCGGACAGCACCTCGTCTATAACGTTCTTCTCACATTTGACAGGATCCTGTCAATTCCCCACGCTGGGATTTGTCGTGGACCGATACTTGCGTGTGAAGAATTTCAAGCCGGAAAACTTCTGGGGCATCAAGGTGATGCATGTCCGGGACAAGATTAAAGTAAACTTTCTATGGAGGAGGGTGCACCTCTTCGACAGGGCGGCTGTGACGGTGATGCTGGAACGTTGCCTCATGGCCAAGAAAGCCAAAGTGATCAAAGTCAACCAGAAGCCCACTAGCAAATGGAGGCCTTTGCCATTGACAACGGTGGATCTGCAGATGATGGGAAGCAGATATCTCCGCATTGACAGTCAGACCATTATGAAGGTAGGGAAATTCGATTGGCTCTTTGTCTCTAATGCACACGCTCACTCGTTCTTCAGGTCGCCGAGGCTCTGTATACTAAGGGTTTTATCAGCTACCCGCGTACTGAAACGGATCAATTTGACAAGGGAATTGATCTGAAGAAGCTAGTCGAGAAGCAGTTGCCAGATAACAACTGGGGCCAATATGCGCGAGGGTATGTCAATCAAATTTCCACATCATTATCCATGTTCATAGCTTACCCCCTCAAGCCTTCTCGACGGAGGATTCAGGACTCCTAGATCCGGACGTCATAACGATCAGGCTCATCCTCCCATCCATCCCATCTGCTGGGTATCCCCAACTGCCCTATCGGCCAACGAGAAAAAAGTATACGAATTTGTGGTCCGCCGATTCCTCGCCTGTTGCTCGGAGGACGCCAAGGGCCAAACGTCAGAGGTTGAAATCCAGTATGGCGACGAGTTCTTCCACGCCAAAGGATTGATCGTGCTCGAGAGGAACTACCTGGACGTCTACGTCTACGACAAATGGGAGAGTAGTCAGCAACTGCCAGACTTCCGCATGGGAGAGCAGTTCGAACCGTCCGAGGCCAAGATCTTCGACGGCAAAACAACGCCTCCAAACTACCTGACCGAGCCCGAACTGATCGGTCTCATGGATGCCAACGGCATTGGAACCGACGCCACCATGGCCGAGCATATTGCCAAGGTCAAGGATCGACACTATGTGGCCGTCAACTCTCGAGGAACTGGCCGCAATGCAGTCAAGGAACTCATCCCGACCCGCCTGGGTATCGCCCTGGTGGAAGGTTATGACAACGTTGTCACCGGTCTGCCAGATAGTCCGTCGCTGAGCAAGCCGTTCCTCCGCAAAGAAATGGAGTTGCGGATGCGGGAGATCTGCGCAGGGGCGAAGTCCCGGCAGCAGGTGGTCCAGGAGAGCTTGGAGATGTATCGGGAAGTCTTCATACATACGCAGAGACGGATTAACTTGCTCAAGAGCGCGGTGCGGAAGTATTTAGTCGAAGGGGCAACTTCATAGCCTCTCCCTTTGCATTTTCTTTTTGGTCGGTGGCGTTGGAGTTGAGGTTTCTGGGCGTTGATGAGGACATGATATACCCATGATATATGCTTGAGGCTTACCTAGACTTGTATTTGCTACAGGAGCTCAATAAATGTGGATAAATGGAGTGAGAATCATAGGAGCAAGGTGCCTTGATCGCATGAGGCGAACTGCCTCTTCTGGAGCTTTTATAGATGCGAGCATTTGAATCCGCTACAAGTTCCTTACGGTGAGACAAAGGTTGAGACAAAGCAACTCCGTTCCCAATACTCAAACATGCATTCAATCGACAGTACAGGCAAACAAAAAAGAGACAATATAGTACAAATCCAAACAAACAAACAAAGGAAAATACATGATAACAATTTGACGGACCAGCCGTCAACCCCAGCACGTCTCCGTCCTCCTCTTTATCCCCTTCCACCCCTAGGAAGCCCACCGCGATGCCGCCATTCCCTTGGAGACTTTCTTCTCCCCCTTCCCTGCGGAGCCTGCCGGTTCGTCCGCCCACTTGGACTGTGACAGTCCGGAGGAGACCTTCTTGTCTCCTGCCTTGGGGGCGTCCTTCACCGGCGCCGGCTTTTTGTCCGCAGGGGGACTGGGAATGGGAGCATCGCTCCCAGCTTGGGCTGCGCCCTTCGGCTGCCCGACGACTCCGGAGGGGGCCTTCGGTACAGGCCCCTTCTCGATCGCCGGACGGACATCAGCAGCCCCCGTTGAGGGACCGACTCCCGGCGAAAGTTGGGGACTCGCAGGCCCCTCCTCGACCATATCAGCCCACGACGCTGATTTGGCCGCGTCCTTCTTAGGCGCCGCAGCACCGGGAGCCTCCTTGGTCTGTCCCTTCTCAACGGGGGACAAGACCTTGGAGTCTCCCTTGGAGACTGCGGCGCCAGGACTCGGAGGGGCCTGGTCCCTCTTCACCGGGGCCGATCCCTGTCCCCCCTTCGGCGACCGGGGAGCAGGAGGCCATTTCTGCTGCATGCCCAGCGAAGCGAACGCCTTCTTAAAGCCGACGTTCTCTTGCACGAGACCAGCCCGCGGGGGCGGTCTCTTGGGCGCAGGCGGCGGCGCAGGGGTCTCGGGGGTAGGCTCGGGAGCCCCGGTTGACTTGGTTGCCCCCTCAGACTCCTTGCCGCTGGCACTCTGCTCCTCTGGCACCGAGGGGGGCGGGATGATGTCCGTTCCAGCTAGCGGAGGAACGTTGGCAGCCGAAGGGGTCGGTCGGAGACCCTGAATAGCTTCAGCCAGGGAGTGAGCTTCCGTCTGTGGGGTGGGTTTGGCTGGGGAGGGGCTCTTTACATTTCTCTGCCCCCCTGTAGAAGTATTAGTATCGGATGGTTCGGGATCTTGTTCAGCCAGAGGAGTCTTACTGGTATCCTGAGCCCCAACGGACTGGGCTGGCGGCGCACCGGACTGTTTGGCCTCCCCCGTGGTCTGGCCCTTCGACGACGCCTCAGCAGCGGGCTCTTTCACACCCCCATCGACCTGTCCATCCACCTGAGAGGGGCCCGAAGGGGGAAACTTCGTAGCCTTGGACCATACAATACCTTGGCCAGTGGAAGTGGCCGGCTTAGTATTCGCCTTCCTCTCAGGCTGCTTGCCCTTATCCTGTTTCGGGGGCACAGCGGGATCGGACTTGGTCGGAGGGGCGGAGGTTGAGCTCTGAGGATGTCCCTTCGGTTTGGGGACATCCTCTACCTTGCTGCTCGAGGGGGTCGTCGTCGAAGATGCAGAGCTGGCAGGGGCTGCTCCCTTCGAACCCTGGAGGCTGAGGGAAGGCCCATCCGAAGACGCGGGGGCCTTTCCCTTCTTCTTGCCTTTACCAGGGGCCGGGGACGCCCACTGCGAGCTCTGAGTGCCTTGGAAGGGCCCCTTCGATTTGGGGGCCTCTCCCACACTGGGGGTTGCCGTCGTCGAGGGTGTAGGAGCGGGTGCCGGCGTCGCCTCCTTGACAACTTCTTGGGGGCCCTTCTGAGCCTCGGGCACCTTCTTTTCCACCTTGACGTTGGTGGAGGCCGAAGGAGTGCCGGTCTCAGGGGCCCCTTTCACGTTGTCTTGAGGGCGAGTCGTTGTCGATGGTGCCGAACTGTCCTTCCGAGGCTGGTGCTCAAGAGTCACACCTTGAGAGGGCCCTTCCAATGACTTGGGGGCCTCTCTCACTTGGCCTTGGGGACGAGTAGTTGACGCCGCGGAACCGGTCGTGACAAGAGCTGGGGGTGAAGATTTCACGCGCTCATTCACCTCTTCCTCAAGCTTCTGCTTGATGAAGGACGCGAGATCGCCGGAGGTCAGATTAGAGAGGGCAGATTGTACTTGCTCTGCCACCACCTCCTTGACCAACCGTTCGAACGCATCCTTCGAGAAGAAGTTCCTGAACGCGGCGCGAACCTGTTCGTAGAAGCTGTCTTTCAGTTCCTTGACCTTGACAGACACGCTTTCTTCGAACCCCTTCTTCGCCTTGGCCAAGTCCACCATGAAAGCAGACATCTGGCTGTCGGCTCGCTCTTGCACGTTGACTTTCCGGATCCGCTTGTCGAGGTCGTCGCGTACTCGCTTCAGTTCGTTCTCCAGGCCTTTGTCGGCGGTCTTCTGGATCTGTCTAATGCTGGCATCGAGCGCCTGCTTTTTGGATTTCAGATCATCGGCCTGGAGATTCATGGCGGCACCCTGCTCCTCGAATTGGCCCTTCAGATGCTTGACTTCATCTTCCATGGCCTCATTCGTAGTCCTCTTCAATTCAGCCAAGTAGCCCGCGAACTCGGAAATCAGATTTCTTCGGAACCCATCGAAGTCCAGGTCCTCCGTCTTCTCTTCGAGCAGCTCAGCTACTTGCCGGTTGATGTCCTTCAAGGCTTTGCCAGCAGCCGTTTCCACTTCAGCCAAGTTCTCCTCAATCTGTTCCAGTCGGACGTCCAATTCCTCGTCTGGATTCAGGGCGGTCAATTTCTCCTGGAACTGACCATGCGCCTGTTTCACATCCTCGGCGGTCTTCTCAGCAGCAGTTTGCAGATCGTCCATTTTCGTCTTGAACGTCTCCAGCTGGATGGTGATGAACTGCTGCTGTTCCCGGGTGGCTTCGTCCATTTTCTGCAAGGCGAGGTTCTTCTGTTCGATCACGGATTGGAGGTACTCTTGAAGACTGGCCTCGGGAGCTTCGCGGTGGTTCGTATGGCCTTTCTTGCTCATCCTATGCTGTTTCCACTGGAGGATGGCAACGAAGATGGAGACCGAGAGAACAGCGATGCAAGTCAACGACGGGAGGTCGATCGGGGATTGAAGCCATTTCGTAACATTCTGCCGGAAGCTCAGTTCAGGGTCGTAGGATAGACCGCTGAAGGAGATGGCAGTCGGGGTCGCGGTGGGGGTAGCGGTAACAGTAGTTGTAAAAGTCTCACCAGCACCAGTAATGGGAATATAGTTGCTCATGAGTGTCTCTTCCGCGTACGAGGGGAAGGAGGTCACAGGCGCGATAGTGGTGTACTGAGGCATGATTTTCAGGGCGAGCTGGTCGAACGTAGCTCTAACAGCATCCATGCGGAGGGGAATGTCGTACTCTTGCAGGCCACCCAAAGCCAGAGGGTTGAAGAGAGTGACCAAAGAGACCAAGAGGGTCGCGAATCCAACGAAGAGAATCTCCATTGCGTCGGATGATGATTTTTCAGGTAAGAGGTTGAGGGATAAGGGGTAGTAGATGTAGGAAGGAATAGGGTATGTTGTTCTATGATAGGGTTGATACGATTGGTTAAGTTAAGAAGGATAAGCATGAAAGAGTAAAGAGTAGATAGAAGAGAGCAAGTCAAACGAAGATAGAATAGAGTAGTCGACAGAGTCAAGACTTGCTCAAAGTGGATTGAATTCGGGGGAAGAAGGAGGATGCAGATGGGACGAGGTCGAAGGTGCTTTTATATCCACGAGGGAAATCCTCGACAAGCGCTTTGTCCTCTGCAAACAGAACCTCGACCGGAGCTTTCCCTTCAAGATTCCCCAGGATTCCCCATGGGACAAAGCCATTGGCTGAGACAATCGATTGTCCCGTCTCTTTGTCTGGAGGTTCCGCCAACGGTCTCCTATACTGAGGTCATGATCCGGAAGATGCCAGTAAAGGTGGAATGACTGGCTGTCGTTGCTTCTGGGCCATGATGGCCCCATGATAGTATTCACTGTGGAAGGCATCAACTTGGAAACTTTGGCACGAATGATGTGGGTGCATACGTACGCCTTCCACCGTTCCTCTTCTCGTCTTCCAAGGCCAGAGATGCCTTAGTCGTCAGGCCATCGAATGCCTTGTCCAATATTTGAGATGGTATACTCGAATATTCGATTGACGATTCCCTCTAGTATAGCCCTCGAGTATAGCATTTAAACTGACAGAGTATAGTCTGATATACCAAATTATATGAGGAATGAAGCCCTGATGACAGCGCAATTGATAGCCATATTTATGATCATGCTCCACACCAAAGCACATCCATTGCTACATACTGGGAACACGGAATACGATAGACCAGTCGTGGTACGGCCAAGTCAATCAAGCAGCTGCAGGCCCCTTGTCGATTCCATTTGCATACCGTCCAGAGCCTAAAAACTAAGAATAATCTAGTGGCCTCCTACAGTCGTTGGAAGACGCGGTGTATTACCAGTGAGCGTTGCAAGGAAGCTTCTCGGATTATGAAATGGACATAGGATTCAAGATAGAAGCTTTCATAGTTAGTTCATGCAATGTGCATATCTACAGAAGCTAGTATGCAAATCAGAATTCTCTGAGTACTGGAGTCTATCCCTGAGCCTCCTCCCATGCATTCAAATCGCTTGCTGTAATTTGTATCTCATGAAACACGCTTGCTAACTCAGTGTGCAGTCATGATCCTTGTAGTCAATGTAGATGCATAGCATAGTTCACTGCAGTCGATAGACCAGATATTCTCCCCTAAGAAAGACGCTTGCTAAGAGACGCGCCGTAGTAGATAGTAGCTCCCAGGCAGATGAGGTTAGTCAAGCTGGAGAGGCCATGGACACGACCAAACTTCTTGTTCAGAGCCGTCATCTCCTTGGAGTGAGGAGCGGGATCGTAGCTTCTCTTGCCGTCGCGGGTTTCTGTATCACGTTAGCATTTACTCAAAGGGCCCTGAGGTAGGCACAAGAAAAGCGATAGACATACCCTGGTGCTTCCTCTCCTTCATGACGTTGACGGTCAACGGACGAAGCACGAACATGTTGATCAGTCCGGTCACCGCGGCCGTGGCCATGGGAATCAAAGTGCTTCGGTTCTCAGCGGCAAGCAGTCCGGAGATACCGATGGGCTGGGCCTCCCGAGAGGCAGTCAGAGCCACCAGGACAGGCAGGGCGCTCTGGATGGAGAAGTAGATGGGGAAAGTAGCCGTCTGCAGGGATGCGAACTGAGGACGGGGAAGGGCTCTGAAGGCCACGATTCCCGAGACAAATGTCTAGGACATGTTAATAGGAGGCCCCAGGTTGGAGGAATAGCCAGGCCAGGAATGTAGGTTCGCATGACTACTTACCTGGTAGAACTGGACACCCAGCAGGGTACCGTAGCTGTAGATGAGATCAGCATGCTTGATAGAATTTGTATGGGACTTGAATGAACCAACCTCAGAACGTGGTAGGGGCGAATGTCAAGCATGATGGCTGCTGGATGTCGGTCTATCGGCAGAGTGCCTGGGGGAAGAGAGATGCACTTGAGTGAAGAGAGGAAGCTGAAGAAGATCCGATTATCTGACAATGCGGAGGTGGGCAGATCCGGATACTTTGCCACGCACCTCCTGCCATGAGACTCTTAATGCCACGTAGTTCTGCCGGGCGGTGGTAAATGCACGCACCGTGCACGCAATGATGTCATGTGCCTTCGCGTGCAGCACTAGTCCCAAACAGGAAATATCGCGCATCTGCCTTCGCGACTCCGATGGAGGCCTGATGCCGGCTCTCCCTATTTCTCACAACCGTCTCCCGGCCCCATTTGCTTCCACAGTTGCATCTACACATCATGTCGGAAAAGGAGGCCACCGTGTACATTGTGGATGTGGGGAGGTCCATGGGCGAGCGTCGTCATGGCCGCTCCGTCACCGACCTCGAATGGTCGATGCAGTATGTCTGGGAGCGCATCACAGGAACGGTGAGGTCTTGGTGGGACATATTATCGCTCGATTCTGTACTGATATGTATACTAGGTGGCTACCGGGCGCAAAACAGCCACAGTTGGCGTGATCGGTCTCAGGACAGATGGTGAGACTCCCGGCTTGGTTTCCGTCTCTCATACTAACGTGGGTAGGAACGGACAACGAGCTCGGAGATGAAGCGTACTTTTCGAACATTTCGGTGTTTTCAGAGATCAAACAGTATTTCTACCGTGTCTTGGGAATGGATTCGAACTGACGGGGCCTGCAGGTTTCTCATGCCTGATCTACGGCAGTTGGGTGAAGACATCAAGACCAGTAATACAGACAGGGGAGATGGTAGTGTTCTGACCTTTCCCGTGTCTCTCCTGATTATCTCCTAACAGCTTACAGCTATTTCCGCAATTGTCTTGGCCGTTCAAATGATCATCACCTACTGCAAAAAACTGAAATACAAGCGCAAGATCGTCCTGGTGACGAACGGCCAGGGGCGGATGAGCAGCGAGAACCTCGATGAAATCATGAAAAAGATCAAGGAGGATAATATTGAGCTCGTTGTTCTGTTCGTCTGCCGTTTCCTCGTCGGGTATATCAAACCAAGCCGCTAATCTTTGACAGGGGAGCCGACTTCGATGATCCTGAGTACGGAGTGAAAGAAGAGGACAAAGACCCTCGAAAGGTAACTTCTTGTCTGTATCAGACGAACTACAGCACAAAGCTAACTGGCTTCTCTAGGCTGAAAATGAGACTCTCCTGCGGAGTTTGGTCGAAGATTGCGATGGAGTCTACGGGACCTTAGAACAAGCGGTCTCGGAGCTGGAGATTCCCAGAGTGAAACAAGTCCGGGTGACTGCATCCTTCAAAGGGTTTCTTCAACTAGGGAACTCCGAGGAATATGACACGGCAGTTCGCATCCCTGTGGAACGTTACTTCAGAACCCACGTGGCCAAGCCACCGTCGGCCAGTCAGTTTGTTCTCGGCTCAGATGGGACCGAACAGGAGAAGCCCGAATCATCTGCTACTTTGGACGCCCCGAAAGACAGCCAGTCCGCGGATCCCAACAATCTCACACCCGTGCGACTTCTAAGAACGTATCAAATCGACGACGAGAGCGCACCTGGTGGGAAGATTGACGTGGAGCGGGATCAATTAGCCAAGGGCTACGAGTATGGTCGAACAGCAGTCCACATCGACGAGACCGACGAGAACATCACGACTCTCGAAACCTTTGCTGGATTGGAATTGATCGGCTTCATTCAAACTGATAAAGTGCGCTCATCCGTCTAATCCACTCGGCTCCGGGCTAACGTTGAATCGCAGTATGATCGCTACATGCACATGTCCACGACAAACATCATCATCGCCCAGCGTGCCAACGACAAGGCAGCCCTCGCCCTTTCATCCTTCATCCATGCCCTTTTTGAGTTGGACTGCTATGCCGTCGCTCGCTTCGTGACGAAGGAAAACAAGCCGCCGAATGTTGTCCTGCTTGCGCCCTCCATCGAACCGGACTACGAATGCCTTATGGAGGCCCAATTGCCATTTGCCGAAGATGTTCGCACATACCGCTTCCCCCCGTTGGATAGAGTCATCACGGTCTCTGGAAAAGTGATAACCCAGCATCGGAATCTTCCCAGCGATGACCTACAAGACGCCATGGACAAATACGTGAACAGTATGGAAATGGTCGATACGGATGATGATGGGTAAGACATCACCCCAACGTTGATTCGCGTCTCCATTTGATCTCCCACTAACTAAAGGAACAGGAATCCTGTCGAAACCGTCCCAATTGAAGACTCATTCTCACCACTGCTCCATCGAACCGCAGCCGCGATTCGTTCTCGAGCCATCCATCCCAACGAACCAATTCCTCCCCCCTCCAACGTCCTCCTCAAATTCTCACAACCTGCAGAGGACCTCGTCGAAAAGTCCCGGAAATACCTCGACAAGCTCATCGCAGAAGCAGACGTCAAGAAAGGTTCGTTTATCCTTTGATACCCAGCCATACCATCCCATCACTAACCCAACTCCAGTACCACCCAAAACCAAGGGTCGCAAACGGACCCGGGAAACAGAAAAACCTCTTTCAGGACTCGACGTCGACTTCCTCCTCCAGCAAGAGAAACGGGCCAAGATCTCGCCTAAAAATGCCATCCCGGAGTTCAAACAGACCCTGGTCGAGCCCGAGAACATCGAAATTGTCCAGGACGCTGTCAAGCAGATGGGTGCCATCATCGAGGATCACATCCGTCACAGTCTCGGTGACGCGAACTACGATCGAGTCAACGAGGAACTGGGGGTCATGCGAGAAGAGCTGATCATGTACGATGAGCCGACGCTGTACAACGATTTCTTGGTCCAGTTGAAAGAGAAGCTGTTGAAGGAGGAGCTGGGTGGTGATCGGCGGGAACTGTGGTGGCTCATTCGAAGAAGCAAGCTGGGTTTGATCGACCAGGAACAGTCCGAGCAGTCGAAGGTGACGGTGGAAGAAGCTAAAGAGGTGAGTTCTAACCGATCAGATAACCGATCAGAAAAAGTCGATCAATGCTAACGGGCCATCTAGTTCATGTCTGCCAAGTGAATTCTTTCAAGATAGCCGGTTCTAGCAGAGATCATTAATGACTAAATACCAATATGAATAATATTACCGTGGCGTAAAATAGGCCGTCTATGCTAATTTGGTCGTCTCGCTGGATAGATATAAAGAAACTATAAAACAGTAACCATGCACATATAACAACAAAAGAGAAAAGAAGCACCATCTCCAGCCTAGGAGATCTTTCCAATCCTCTTCTTCCCAATTTCCACCTTGCGCTGTAACCTATTCCACACGTCAGTAATCGCAAGACAAACATAGCCAGCACACCAACATACCTATCTGCATCCTCGTCCGCCAACTTCAGCAGCTCATTCTGGTACTCCAGCTCGGCATTGATCGAAACCCCCAGCTCCTTCTGCCGATTCACAATCTTCCTCAACTCCTCGATACTCAGATCCTGGTCCTCCATCGTCTGCTTCTGCAACTGCAGCACCCCCTGATTATCCAACTCCCTCGTCCTCTCCGTCTCCTTGCCCAGCACCCGGCCCGACCGCGCCGGCTTCTTCCCTGCACTGCCGCCCACCAGCGCCTCCTTATCCTGAATCGACGCCACCGCATGATCCACCCGACTCTTCGCCGCCATGGCATTCAACAGATCCTCCAGGCCATCGCGCTCCTTGCGCGCATTCACCAGGAGATCCTTCCGCCTGCGGACCTCCCCATCACCGAGCCCTCCCTCCGCGGAACTCCCGAGATTCTTCAACCCCTCTTCCAGCGCCACGATCAGCGAGCCCGCACGCACCAGCGAGCTCTTCGCCCGCGCCGAACTCTCATGCTGCTTCTGCGGCGTCGTCTCCTGGTCCCGTCGCGTCAGGTGCAGTCGCGCGTCGTGCAGATGCCCCTTCATGTCGCGGTAGCAGTCCAGCCAGAGCGTGGGGTCCGTGATCGCCGCTCCGCCGGCGGCGCCGGGCTCTGTGATCGCGGCATGGAGCCGCGCGGATGTCATGGATTTGCCTCCGCCCGGGCCGTTGTTATTGTTCCCGCCGGTGGTGGCGGCGGTGGGGAGGTTCAGGAAGGCGCGCCAGGCGGGGGAGGTGCGCCATCGCGAGTCGTCGGAGTCGTTGATGGCGCGGAGGTAGGTTTCGAGTGCGATGCGGCGGTCTTCGCGCAGGGAGGCGTTCTTGACGGTGTTGGAGAACCAGGATTTAGCGGGGAGGGGGGCCGGAGGGGCGGCGTTGGTTTGGTTGGTTAGGGTGGTGTGGAAGGTGGTGAAGTCGGAGTAGCGCTTGGAGACGGTGAAGGAGCGGAGAGGGAGGCGGAGGGTGATGTTGTAGAGGGTGTAAGGGGGGGAGGTGGGCGAGATGCTGGTGTTGGGGATGGATATTTCGAGAGTCGGAGCCATGGAGAGGGGATGTGAGAGATGGAAGAGGAAGGATGATGAATTGGGGGGTTTGTTATGTTAGAGATGATCAGATGCCGGGGTGACAGCAGGGCGAAACGTGACCGCCTCAACTGATGCTGATAAGATAAGCCAGAAGTATAGTTACAAGGCTACCATCTCTATGGGAGATGAATAATGGATTTAATATAAGTATTTAATATGTAAATATAAGAAAGAACAAGAAAAACATCTAAGATCTTAGGATCCTTTTTTTGCCATATTACTACTACGAAGAATACTCCTGTCTACGCTAACCATTACTCTAAATAAGTTTGTATTTGTCACAACTATGTCCATGCTTTATATGGCCTCGCCTCCAAATATCGGCCAGCAATGCTTCTGAGACTAAAGCAATTGCGTGAAGAACGCTGTTTTTCACGACAAGAGCATTCAGAGGCATCAGCCTATCGATAATGCAATTTGCAAGATATACCGTGCGGTGCACAAGGTACAAAAGTCGACTAAGTCAAGCCCCGCCTGCAGCAGACACCATGTTGGCACGGTTATTCTATAAAAAGTTAGTTTTGCCTTCGCAGATTTCTGAAAAAAAAAAAAAAAAGAAAAAGAAAAACTCACTGCCATAAAGACTGCGCAAAGCAGGCTGACTCCAGCCCCAAAACTCACACAAGCAAACCTTAAGATATTAGTTTATATGTACCACAAGAAAGGACGAGCGAAGAACCCCGCTTACAGATAGCGCCAAGCGTGCACAATTATATCCAACGCTCGTTCTCGAACAGCCTCTGGAAGTTTGTTTAGTAGTGCACTGCTGGTTCCCGAGACAACTTGAGAAACCTGCTCCCGGGGTAGGTTGGGAAGCAACTTGAAAAGACCATTTTGGGCGACATTAACGAAAATTGCGCCGGTGATGGATAGTCCAAGGGTCATTCCAAGGAGTTGAGCTGGTTTATTGTAAGAGATTTTCCGAAACAAGTACTGAAGTGGACGAACCTAGCAGCATCAGAGTAAGACCATCGGCAGCTTCGGAGGGGGCTATGACGGCCTGGATCACAGCAAAGGCTGCCTGGGTGTATGAACCGGCGCCTAATCCAATCACAATTTCAAGTCCGTAGAGAATGGCCGGTCTTGTGTGGACTTGGATAATAGTAGCTATGTTTTGATTAGCTTTGACAGAGACATAAAGAACAGTTATCACCTTACCTATCAGAATTGCTGGAACCAGGGCTGCTATGCTTCCGAGTAAATACCATGGCTTATAATAACCAAAGCGAGACATTAAGGCGCCATTTGACTGAATGGCCACAATCAATATAAAGATAAAGGGAAGCAACCTGACGGCAGATTGGATTGCATCATCGCCCCGAGTGAACTGGAAGTAGATGGGTATGTAGTACACAGTTGGATATGTCACCATTCCTACTGCAGCACAAGCAAAGAATAGTAGGGTCGGTTCCTTCTGCCTAAAAAGATGCATTGGCAGTAACCGACCCTGCAGGGAGGTAGCAATAGTAAAACCTTGCTGGATGCCAAATAAGATCCAAAGCGTCCCTGACACTATGAACAAAGCAATGATCTGGCCACTATTCCAGGCATATAGAGTGCCGCCAAAATTAATTGCCATCACTAGGGTTGCAAATGCAGCAACGTTCAGTAAGCTACCAACCCAATCAAAACTGGAAAGCTTTTGTCGATAGGATACTTCAGGTGCTGGATCTTTGGACGGAATCACGAAAAGATAGGTCGGTATTAGAATGGCGCCGAACAGTAGATTAATATAGAATGCCCAGCGCCAGGTATACTTTTCAAATCCACCCCCAACGACGGGGCCAAGGACGGTTCCTAAACCCCAAACCAGGCCTCTGTGTCTTTGTCAACACGTCTGTCGTCAAGTTCACGTAGAGGGCTCTCACTCACGTCAAACTCAAGTATTGCGGACGCTCACGGCTCGTGGTATTCGTTGATAGAAGTTCTAGAATGCCGAAGTACATTCCATTTCCTCCTGCGCCTGCGAAAACGCGTCCAACGATCTCAGCGTTTATGGAAGGAGCGGCGCCACAGAGTGCAGAAGCAGCCATGAAGATCACAGTAGACGTGATATACAGCCATTTCGAGTTAAATAGGGTGTATAGCTTGCCGTAAATCAGAACCATTGCCACTCCACCGATCATAAACCTATTTTCCCGGGGTATTGTTAGAGGTGGTCGTCAATAAAGCCTTTCGTATTGAAACTCACCCAACTGATAACCACGGCAAATTCTCGACCGCATCAAAATGATTAACGATAGCCTTCACGTTGGTCAGAGTTTCCTTCTTGCAGCAATTGAGAACTAACAAACCGGTGCAATATTAGCCACGATGGTATTATCCAGAGCATAGACGAAGCTGCCTGTCAACGTGCTAGCAACCAAAAGAAACCACTACAGCTGTCAGTAACATCTCAATGTCAATCTCAATCTAAACACACTTACTTGAATTCCACGGATATGCCGTTCTTCTTCACCCTCCGGCAGATTCCCATCTAGGGGCTCTTGTTCTAGAGACTTTTGCTCAGTAGGCCTCTGCATGATGATTCAGTCTCGGATTTCCAAGTTGTAACTAGCGAAATTATGAGGCACTTGATAGAATAGAGGTTCTTGAGAGAGACACATATACAAGAAATGGATCTGTGAGCACGAGGTCAGGGGCGTGATAATCACTTGCTGAATCTGTCGGCAGACCGGTGTCCTCTTCCTTCCTGGAATCCAGCAAGGCTTACCACGGAGTTCTGTACTCCGTAATCGAGGTTACATCTAAGAAAAATGGTACATACTGCGTAGTATATACAGGGGTCATTGAAGTAAATCGGAAGATCACTGGTTAAGAATAACACTCTATCGGAAAGGCTGAAAGCGGCCCCACTTCCCGCTGCGAACCTCTGCTTTCCTGGAATCGAACAGGTCTTACCCCGGAGTTTGTACTTCGCAATTGAGGTTACATTTAAAACGTTATCATGTAACATATGCAGGGGTAACACAAACAAAGGCTGAAAGCGATCCCACTTCCCCGCTGACTCTACATTCTCTAAGCCTCCACAGTCCCCTCTTAGCACCCAGATCTAAGAGGAGATCAAAACCAAACCGGCAGTTGAAAACGGTAATGGAGGGACAAGCTCATAAAGTAAAGCTTGGTCAAGTGGGGAAATTGCAATGGCAAAAATTAATACTACAACATAGGAATGAAGTTGTATCCTATTCCCTTGCATAACGGCCAGCTTTTTTCGAAAGTTATTGGCCAGTAGATGTCGTTTGCGGCCCTGTAGTCCCTACCGGTATCTTATTCGCGACAACTCACAAGGCTAGACAATTTCTTGTTTGCCATTTGTTTGCTCATATCAACCGCCTCCCATCATGGACAGCCAGTGCAAAAGTCTCGCGGAAGATTTTCATCAATTCAAAGCTAATCAAGGAAGCTTTTTACAGATCAGTTCATGAAAAAGCACGGTGAACCTTTTGATCATGGACTTTTGTTACAACTATTCATATAAGTAGAAACCAACTGATTGTTGAAGAGAAGCAGCAAAGCCCGTAGCGCAATTAGCACGCCAGTTCCGAGGTTTAACGAGTCATGGCCTCAATTCTAATTGGAGAAATATACCTCATAGCCAGAGCCTAGAACCAGATGAGCATCAGGCTAAACCAATTGTATACTTGGCCCAGAAACAGGTTCGCTCTGGCCGGCATTCTCCGAATTCCCCGACTCACTGGCGTGGAAATGGCATATCCAATATGTTCTGAACTCGACCGTACTTTGTTGTTTATACGGTACTAAACACCAGATTTCTGTGGTAGCCAGAATGATTCCATAGGAAGCCGTAATTCCAATACGGACTGATGGCTCTCTAGACTATTGCGAATGCCTGCATAGTAAAATCGGAAAGGAAAATTCGGAATATGCAGGCCAGAGGTAGTAAGCCGAGGACCGCAAGTTTCTAATAAATGGCGGCTTCCAACGAGTTCAAAATCTATCATCTCCCTGCAGTCTCAATCCCCAAGACCCCCAGACCTTTTCATTTCATTGTCATTCCATTGCCATTTTATAGACCAGTTTGCAATAATGCAGTTGTTTCGGCACACAAGACCCAAGGGCCCTACAGCCGTACCTACCTCATCCCAGAAGAGCTGCCACTTGGGGGCAAAACCTCGAATCCTCATAATAGGCGCAGGATACCGTGGCTATTCTTATGCTGAGCCAATTCACAGTTCTGGCGAAGGCATTATTGCCGCAGTAGCTGAGCCATCTGAATTCAAGAGGCGAGCATTCGGCGAAAGGTTTATCTGGGGGACAGGTAAGCCGCTTGAAGGCCAGGCTTTCACTAGCTGGGAGGATTTCATCAGCTATGAAGTCAATCGAAGAGAGCTGGAACGCACGACAGGGACAGTGACGGACCCAGGGATTGATGCAGTATTTGTATGCCTATTGGATGAACTTCATGCGACAGTTGTCCAGGCCGTGGCGCCACTGGGGCTACATATTCTGTGTGAGAAGCCCCTAGCAACGCGGCTGACTGACCTTCTTTGTATTTATGGGACACTCTTGAAATCATGGGAGACGTTGCAGACTGAAGCAATCTTTGCTGCTGGCTTGGTTTTGCGGCATAGCCTCCCTCAGGTTATGTTACGGAAGCTTGTTCGTGAGGATCGAGCAGTTGGTGATGTTATCAGTGTTGAACATACTGAAGCAGTTGGCTGGAAGCACTTCGAACATTGTTACGTGCGGTATGTGCCGCGCAAATTAGACTGCAAATTATCGCGACAGTTGCTGATCATATCCAGAGGTCCTTGGCGCAGAGAATCCACCAGCGCACCTTCGCTCCTCACAAAGTCATGCCACGACATCGATTTTCTTTTCTGGCTTCTCTGTTCGCCGGCTTCTACATCCAGCCCCGAACCGCCTCATCTCCCTTCCAAGGTGACTTCTTCAGGGCGCCTGCACTTCTTCAGGCAAGCCAATAAGCCCTCCGGTGCCGGTCCAGCCACCAACTGCTTAAGCTGTCCTGTGGAGACAACTTGTCAATACAGTGCCAAATCGCTCTATTTGCATCAACACCTTAGGGCAGGCAACCGTGACCGTCCTGTCAATGCAATAGTTCCTGATATCGAGGATGTGTTTCGGAAGCAGGGACTCCCTTCTGCGGCGAAGCGCTTATTGGAAGTTCTAGGTGAGGACTATGATGATGAAACACCAGCATCTCAGGTGAGCCGGAGAAACTGGTATGGGCGCTGTGTCTGGGAATCCGACAACGATGTGTGTGATGATCAAATGGTCACTATAGAGTGGGAGGATGAACTTCTGCCATTCCCTCAAAAACAGAAGAGTGGGTCCAAAAGATCTTCTTTGTTATTGAAGCAGCAGTGTTACACAGGCAACCTAGGCACTGAGCCCCAGTACCGCCCTGCGAAAATCGCCCAGTTCCATATGGTCGCTCTCACAGACGCTATCAGCAGGCGTCGTGGACGTATATCAGGCACCACGGGGGAGATTGTTTACGATGCAGCCACTATCCGTGTGAGCGACTTTTGCTCTGGCTCCGAAGTGGTGTATAATATTCCCTCTGCCAAAGGTGGTCACGATGGGGGCGATGACGGTCTTGCGTTGTCATTTGTAAGAGCGGTGGCCAAGGTGAAGCGCGGCGATATGGGCGTTTCGGAAGCCCAGAGGACTTTCTTGAACTGTACCGTGGAAGAACTTCTGAGGAGCCATCTTGCAGTCTTTTGGGTGGAGGAGGCGAGGATAGGAGGAACGGCCTTGAAGTGGGAGGAGTGGTGGGCCAGAGAGGTGGAGACTAAGCTTAAGGGAATGGGACTGGGGAACTTTTGAACTTTAAGGCTCCCCAAACAATGACGCAAGAGATCTCCAGGCAGAAAGAGGATTGTCAGGCACCGATATCTGGGTCTTCATATGAACTGTCAGTCCTGGATGGGTCTCCAAGGAGTGGTTTTTGAACTGCCAGTTGTCGCTTTGCTGTCTTTTGCGCCATATTCTGGAAGCTTAAATACGCCAGGCAACTTCATGATTATTATTTCAAATGGGTATCATTATATCAGCTAGTCAAGCCTCGTGAGCTCCAAGGCAGACAGACAAGAGGCTTCCTATTATGTGACAACTATGCAACCAAATCTTCCTCCGGTGGCCCCGTCCATAGCTCCCGTGCCTCCAGCAGATCTCGCTGTCCGTAGTATTCGCCTATCACGGTGATGATCATGTCCAGCATGGCGCGAGTCTGCATGGATGCTTCGACGGCAAGATCTTCGGCGCTTGGTTCTGGTTCTGGGGCCTCGGGTTCATTCGTCTGCGGTTCGTTCTCGTCGCTTTGAATCTTCGCTTGAAGCCGGGCTTTCGCCTGTTCTAGTTTGTCCGTAGATGGCTCTTTCTCCGCATCGAGCATGTCTTGATCAGGAGCCTCCGCAGGATCGCTAGCAGCGTTGGGCTGGTTCTCAGGTCCTTCTGCGTGACCTTGATCGTCCGCTTGCTCATCCTCGTCGGACTCTTTGTCGGATGCGTCTCCACCCTCAGCAAGGGATTGATTGTTCTTCTCGTCCTCCTCCTTCATCTTCCGCAAAATCTTCACGGCGCGCTTTCCCAGTTCGCGAATCTCGCCCACTTCCTCGGTCCCCAGCTGTCCGACATCTCGACATTTGCTCAGCAAACCCCAGGCCCATGCCCCGATCCGCCGGATGCGCTCCGCATCGCCGCTTCGTACGTTTTCCGACATCAGACGCGCCATGATCCCCAGCACCCCTAGGACACTGTCCATATCCATGCACGCCAATTGCACCGTCTGCGGGTCTACTGCAAGCAGCAGTCGTCGCCATTCCTTGCACGCGGTCTTCGAGTGTCGCGGCAGACTGATAGGGTGAGAATCATCCAACGCGGCGATGGCGGTCGACGGGGGCGAGCATTTTAATATTGACCGAAGGAGTAGGAACCGATGGTGAAGGAGGTTGTAATAGGTGGCCTGCGCATCCGAGTAGGTCGTCTGGGCAATATCTGAGCGACCTGTCGCGCCCGTCGTGATCGCTGCGGATGCGGCATAGACGCCATCAGCGTAAACACCTTCGACGACAGTTTCTTTTTTCTCCACTACTTCCGCGTTCTCCTTAGGTTCTTCGGTTTCGTCGTTCGTTACCGTTGGTTCGACCGTCGATTCTTCAGCCTGAGGGGCGGTAAAGAGAAAAGGCAAGGAGTTGGCTTCGGATCTACGCTCGCAACGCCGAGGCACCGACCATCAGCTTCAGATCCAATATATATGATCTCGTTTCATCGCGGGCTAAAAAGGGATCAAAACGAAGGGACGCGCAGGCATTTAGCAAGCGGGAAAAAGAAATGCCGGACTGGCAAGCGCCACGGGCAAAGACAGAGGAAAACAAACTTACCGAACCATGCGAAGATACTCCATGCCATCTTCTGCGGGACCGTAGAATAGTTCATCATCTCCGGCGGTATCGAGGCCTGGAAAAGCGCTCTTCTGCCCGTATACTGGGTGGTTGCGCGGGCGCTCGTACGGAGTCACGGCGGGTGGCATGTCGCCCTCGCCCTCGTCGGCATAAGAGGAGCGGGAACGCTTTGCATACGGCGACGAGCCAGATACCGAACCGGTCGGTTTTCGCTTGTCGGGCATGCTGGACATGGGGGGAGACAAGAAAGAGGAAGAGAACGCGTTGGTTTGCGGCGGATGATTTTCACTCGGGAGCTTGGGCCACCCGCTTTATCTACTGGCTTGGCATCAATGGAAAGGCGAACTAGAAAATTGTGATATATTGCAGTAGTGCTCTTCGTGAATATATTTTACTTTCTCCTTCTGGCACAGGCTCCGCCCTGCCCCCTTCTCTCTTTCAATTCTACAAATCTAAGGGCGCAAACGCTGAGGGTCACGAGGGAACAGCGACGTCAACCGCACGTTCGGCAATCCCAGGAAGAACATGACAATGCGGTTCAGTCCCAGACCACCACCGGCGTGGGGAGGGCACCCTTGGCGGAAAGCATTCAGGTAGTCCTCGAAGCCCTCCTGGTGGGGGTTGAGACCCTTGGCGATCATGGAGGCCTCCAGCTCCTTGATGTCGTGGATACGCTGGGCACCCGACATGATCTCCTCGCCACGCATGAAGAAGTCATACGAGTTGGAGAACTTGGGGTCCTTGGGGCACGCCTTGGTGTAGAAGGGTCGCACGGCCATGGGGAATTTGTCCAGAACGTAGAAGTCGGTGTCGTACTTCTCGCGGATGATCTGGCCCAGCTGCTTCTCCATCGCCGTGGTGAAATCGTTCTCGAACCGCTCCTGCTCGGAAACATCGACACCAGCCTCCTTCAGCAGAGCAACTCCGTCCATGTAGTTCAGACGCAACGCCTTGCCGTCCTTGGGAAGCTTGAAGTCACCAGCCTTGGGGTACGACTTCTGGATAGTGGCGATCTGGTCCTTGTATCGCTCCTTGAGCTGGGTGAGGATGAACACGAGAAGGTCCTCGGCGAATTCGAGCACCTCGTGGTAGTGGCCGTTGAAAGTCTTCTCGAAATCGAGACCGGCGAACTGGAGAATTGTCAGTATACATACAAACCGAACAAAAAGCCTTCCAGGAGAATGGGACCCCGTACCTCAGTCAAATGCCTGTGGGTGTTGCTGTCCTCAGCACGGAAGACGGGGGCGATTTCGAAGACGTTCTCCATGTCACCGGCAATACACATCTGCTTGTAGAGCTGAGGGCTCTGCGCCAGATAGGCGTTTCGCTTGAAGTACTTGACCTCGAACACGCCGCTGCCACCCTCGGTGGCGGCACCCACCAGCTTGGGCGTGAAGATCCACCTCGAACCACTCTTAAGCATGTACTCCGAGAACAGCTGCGCGACTCCGCTGGAGATCCAGGTGATCGCCTGGCTGGTCTCCGTTTGTAGGTCAATGACACGGTTGTCAAGACGGGTCTTGAGCGTCACGATGGGAGCTCCATCGGCATCAACCAGGTTACCCTCCTCGGTGGTCTCCGGGGGCGGACGCTCGGCATCCTTGACCTGCATGGGCAGCTGTTGTTGCGCTTCGGCGATCGTGTAGACTTTGCGGATGTGGATTTCAAGGTTGCTGAGGGAGGCGGAGTTGATCGGAATCTCGGGCTTCTTGACGATACCGGTGACCTGGACGATGGAGTTGACGTTCAAACCGCCGGTGTACTTCACCATCTGGCGGGAGATGGGCTCTGCGGCGGCAATGACAGCCTGTACCTTCAGACCCTGCTGTCTCAGCATCAAGAATGCCAGCTTGGCACTCTGCACACGGGCATTATCCACACGGGCCACGACGGTGATCTCCTTCTCGTAGTGGTCGTCGGTGATCTCGGTGAAGCGCGTCGAGGGCAGCACGTCTTCCGACTCGGGGATCTTGCCGTACAAATCCTTCGCAGTGTCGTTGGCATCGGCGGCGGCGGCCTGAGCCTTCTCCTGGGCAGCACGAGCAGCAGCCTTCTCAGCCTTGGCCTTGTCCTTCGCGGCCTTCTTCAGCGCACTCTTGCTCATCTTGCCGTCACCACCCTCCTCGGCGGGGGCAGCGGCATCCTGAGTCTGCTCAGGCTTAGGGCGAGTGGGCAATTCGGAGTCCGCCATGGCTGTAGGGCTTAGAAAGTGGGGACAAAGTCGATCGAGAGGGGGGAAGTATAAAAGCGACAACAAGCACCGGATGACGAAGAAGAGCTCCAACTTTCGAGTCACCGATTGATTCCCCGCCGGACGCTGCCCAGCCCTAAGCCCTAAGAGGGGTGGCCGTCACCTGACTAGCGCTGGTGGATGCCTAGGGCCGCAACCGTCTTAGAATGGATTAGCGGCAAACGCTCATTGGTTCTCTCCGGAGTATAACTTTTAACTATACAATTCTAGTGAACCAATATGGAGAGAAAATTTGTGGTTTTTAAGGCATAACTTAATTATATTGCCACATTCCATGTTTGTTTCAGAGTCTTTCAATCCCCCTCCATTACAGAACTAGTAGATGCATTCCAGCTCTCTTCCAGAGCTGGTTGTCCCCATTCTTTCATCCATTCTGAGTGCAAGACCTGCTGTGCCGTGGCTCTTTCCTTTGGCCGGAACACCAACATTGACCTAAGCATTTCCTCGAGTGCTCTCCTCTTTTCCTCTGTCACAGTCTCCAGGCCCGCCTCGGCCCGAGGTTCCTGTATGCAGTAGCCAAATCTTTGGTCCCAGGTCCTACGCACACCATCGGGGCCCCTGGACGTCTCTGGATCCACGTCAAGTTCTCCTTCTTCGTTGAACCACTCTAGCCTTCTGTCCCACTTCCCCCACCATTCAGGGGGTAATATGCCAATGACTTCGACCTGCTCTGCGGTGACACGGTCTGCAGTTGGGCGAAAAGCGTGAAACAAAGGTCGCTGACCAACGATTTCCCAGATAGTACAGGCCAAGGTCCAGATGTCCGAGGCAAAGGAGAGCGGCTCGTCAGAGAATCTGGCTTCAGGTGGCTGGAGGAGAGAGTGTGTCTTCGAAGAGAACCTGGGCGTTTCATGCGGATTAAAAGATTCCCCAAAGTCGCTCAGAATGATCTTCTCCTCTCCAAAAGCAATCTCATCGCTGCGGACGCCAAACCAGCCGGGAAGGTATACATGCGCAGGCACACCATCCGACAATGGCTTGCCATCCAGCCGAACCACGGCTTCTGGCTCCGGCTCTCCGAATCGCTCGTACAGCTCTGGTGTGGAGAACCGATCGACCGATCTGGGAAACTGGACTAAAATGTTACCTAGATGAAGATCTTTGAAATAAGGTCAGCTAGGTAATTCCGCTTCGTTCATTTATCAGAGCGTCATGCCGCCATGTACAATGTCTCCACTGTGGAGGAAAGCCACCCCACGTATGAGCTGAGCGATAATCGACTGCGCAACCTTGGGCTGAAAAAGACCGAAAATCGAAGCCTCTTTGGCATCAAACAGGCTCATCTGTGCGGGTGCGGTGACGATACATCTATGCTTCCCATTGGGACCGGCCAACCAGAATTCGTCAAGAAGGGGTGGGATGATTTCTCTTCCTGGGGCAGATGGCGAATTCCCAAGAGAACCCAGAAGGCTCACCTCGGGAGTGCTAGGACTGGCATGGCTTTCACTGCCACATATCTGGCCCCTCGTAGGTCGCGGGCTAGCCATATGGTCGAGTATCCTCCATGACCAAGTTTGTCAACCAGTCGATATCGGCCGTCATCTAAGTGGTCCCCAATCTTCAACGGATGATATCCTCCGGGGCAGTATCTGTCAAGGTCCTCGACGTCTTCAATAAACTTGTACTGAATCGACGTTCGAGATTCGCTAGATTGGTTGGTAACCCGGCTCATTTCACCGGTTTTCCGAGGGTTGAATGTTGGTCTCGATGATATCTTTCGAACATTATATTGGGGTAGGACAGAGCTGCATACCTGCTCATGGGACCGCCAAATGAGAATGCGAGTACGTGCGAACATCTGCACGGGCAGTAATCTAACACAAGGATCGCCGACGTCGCGTCTGACGCCTCTCTATCGAACGCGTTGCTGATGTAATCCTACTTATAGGCTTTCACTCTATGTGCTTTTTCTTTTTCTTTCTTTTCAAACACCCAAGTCCTTTACTTACCACTTCTAGTTCTACCTGATCTTTGACGGCTTGACATATTCAAAACTACTCGCTAAAAAACATTGCAAGCCAGAATGGTGACCAGCATCGCCGAACATCCCGAGAAACTAAGTGATCAAGAACCTCTGTCGAATCTATTGGTGGGACCCGGCCATACTATCTCCGACGCAACCCATCAAAAGTACTTTCTGGGGCCTCTAAAGCCATGGACCTCCTTTGATGCGGATGTACGAGCTCGCAGTGACACGACACACTGGAGTAGTCATGTTCTGTTATTTAGACACCGGTATCAAACCCCGGCCGCCAGCCTGAAGATCGAACACGTACGGTGCGGTGATGAAACGGGGGTTCAGGGCCGATTTGTGGCCAACGTGGGCCAGGTACTATCTGCCGCTTGTGCTGCTTCTAATACTGACCTGCGATTTGGGGACTTTAAAGCCACAGCCCTCTCACTCTCACGAGCTATCACTAACATAGAGTGTTAGGCCAGCTTGAGGTCTACATAATGCCAAGTTCGGACTCCTATCCACTTACAATTGGACTATTTGGTCAAGAAAGAGTTGAGAAATGGGCAATGACAGCTATCTACCCGAGAAGTAGGCTTACGCTGCGAGAATATTTCTAATTTTTACGCGATCCTAATATCGGTGCACCTAGATTTAACACGCCTTAGGTAGGTGACCAGAGCTAGAACGCTAGAGTATAACTAATATTGATCAAAGGTACACAAACATTATCAAATATCAGATGTCTCCACCCCTCAGAATATTAATCGAGCTATAAATCTTGAATATCCTCCAGCAATATCGAGTCTTCAGCTTGTTAAAACGGAATATAACGGCATCAAGTACTGGGCATTACCTGACCTACCAGGGCTGTTCCTCAGGGAAATGACGGAGTCAGACAGGAGGACATGTTTGTAGAGTAAGACATGAATCAGTCGAGGAAGTGGGATTGGTTTGAGCGCAGGAAATAGTCTGTATGTAGCATCTCCTTCCAATCTAAACCTGCCTTGTGCAGTCCCTTGAGGTTACCCTCTAGACCAAACGCTCTTGCCTTCATCCTGCCAGCCAGAGCCACAAGGTGCCCGGGGAAGGTGTTTGATGGATAAAGGCTCGATGGACCAGAGAATCCCAGAGGAAATGAACCACAATCCATCCAATTCGCATATCTATCCCACTAGATCGAGCCATCATCTCATCACTTTCTTCTATCTTCTATCTTTCATCTTCCATTTTCCATCTTCTAGTCCGTATCACTTTCCTACCGAGACATGGTCAAAATTAAAGAAAAATTCAAGGAGGGCTACCTCTTGGCCAAGCGCAAGTATCGTGAGATTCCTAATATACCTGAGTGGGTCAGCTACCATCGACCGAAAATCAGGGATGAAAGGGTATACGACCCTCCCGAAGCGCAGGAGTACGCGGGGAAGAAAGCGCTGGTCGTTGGAGCGTACGGAGACCTGGGAGAAGAAATTGCATACCGACTGCTTCTGCACGGGTGTGAATGGATCTTCCTCGCCAGTGACCGCGAGGACGAGCTGGACAATATGTCCAAGCGTTTCCAACACGACGCCCGCCTGCGCTCAGTTAACCCAGACTACCAAGTCTGTTGGCTCCCACTCGATCTCCGCCATTCAGATGGGGTGATAAATTTTATTCATCGATTTCTCGCACGATCGAACAGACTCCATATCATCATCTTCAATGCGGCAACCTTTCACCCGGATTATCAGGCGATTCTCGTGGCCAACAACATGTACACCGAGCGGACGATCCAGGGTATCTCTCTCTCTTCTTCCACCGTGACTGCCTGCTAACCCCCTCATGACACAGTCAACTGCTACTCGCTGTGCTTGATATTCGCAGCCCTTCAAAGAGTGCTTTTCGACTCGGCAAAGGAGGCAAACCAGCCCGCTCATGTGGTTTTTGTCACCTGTTCCTGGATGGCCAACGATTATGGCCAGACCCTCCCGGGCACTCCATCTGCTCTGCGCAACTGGCTTGCCAATAAGAGGAATTTTTCAGGGGATGGTCATCTCCATCTCAGCAAGCTGCTCTTGACCTTTTATGCCTACTATTGGTCCCAAATAGGGGATCTAAATACACACCGCATCATTGTCAACACCGTGTGGCCAGGCCCCCTCAGACACACCAACTTCTATCGACATTTCAATGCCAGCGTCAAACGCCTTATCGACGAGGGACGCGCGTGCTTTGGCCGGAGCACCGTCAGGGCGGCCCAGGTCGTGCTGGCTGCTGCACGCAGTCATGCGAACACCCATGGGTGTTGCCTAGCGGGATATTATAAATATGAGTATGTAAATCCCCCCGGAGGGCTGGAAAGCCTTGGCTGATGAATTCCCAAGAGGAAAGAATCTCGTAATGCAACATGCCCGCTTGGGTTGCGAAAGACTGGTGTATCGACTTATCCGCGACGTGATAGGGACTGAGTGGCCAGGTATCGAACAGGCACTTCCAGAAGACCCAAACGCTCTCGAGCCTATTGTGAGTCACCCATGGGACCCTCTGAGGTGAGATACGCCGATGGAGCCTCTTGCGCTTCCCATCCAAATATATACAAGACATGATCGAGAAAGCACACGTGTATCAGTAGAGGATCAAGCAATGAATTGATTTGGTATCTCAGCGTGTATCGTCTCCCGCAACAAAGAAGAAGTGCAAGATCCATGCTCCTCATACCATACAAAACACACGCAACAGCCCGAATCGACGCTTACCATTGAGACGTCTTCAGCCCATACTCAACAGCCTTCTGCACATTGTCCACAATAGTCTTGGGGGTCCACGTCGGCTCCCCTCCGCTGTAGACTCCAGTTCGCACGAGTAACGAGTGCCACTGGCTACCATGTGCGCTCCTGTATGTATTGGCCCCCTGGATATCGGATTCCGGGTTATCGCCCACCATGTAGACATTCCGCAGCGGCTGCTGGATGTTCGCGCCGAATGCCCGCGAGCGGTTCCGTAGCAGCTGGTTCTCCGCGAACTCATACGTCCCCTGGTGCGGTTTCCCGATAATCGTCTTCTTCAGCTCGGCGCCTTTGCTAGGCCCGCCCGTGATGGCAGCCCAGGTGCCATCCAGCGCCTCGCGGAATCCGCCCTGGCCGAGACGCGGGAGGTGGTATGCCGCAGCCCACACCAGATCCGGGTTGGAGTAGTAGAGATGAGGCTGGCCGTCCTGCAGATATCCTCGATTCGGGAGATCCGAGCGGCCATTCATCTCGGATACCGTGCCTAGAACACCCTGGGACGAGAGCAGGACGTCCAGGATGACCTGGGCGTCGAGGGCCCAGTCGCGCGGGTCATTAAAGACGAAGACGGCATCGATCTTGAGGCCCTTGGTGGGGTCCTTGGGGTCGCGGGGGCTGAATGGTGGGAGAGGCCGCGTGAATCCCTCGTAGTAGTTGCGGAATACCTTGGAAAACGGCCAGATGGTCGGGTTGGCCATGAAGATGTCGCCGGGGGTGACCACGTTCTTGAACCCGTATCTAGATGCGATGGGTCAGTGCGAATTACACACGTAGCCGAGACATTAAAAGGCTGGGAGGGGGGTTCATACTTTTCTGCAACTTGGCGACAGCCATCGCCCTCGCCTCCGACGACCAACACGCATTTGTTCTCCAGGGCGCTCTGTTCATCCGGTCCCCGCACGAGCTCCGCAAAGGGCGAATGGCTCTGGATAATCACCGACGGGTCCAATGGCACTTGCAGTTTCTCGCTGATCTCCGCGACTCGCTCCGTTTCGTGTTTCCCGCCTCCGTTGGTCAGGAGAATGAAGGGGATTCCTTGGTCCTTGAGGAGGGCCAGCGACTCGGCCGCTCCGGGAATGGGTTTGGAGGATCGCAGCAGCACGCCGTCAATGCTGGGGTGAGGACAATCAGTCATTCATCGTTTGCAATTCGAGTCGGTTGTACCCAGTTCAGTTCCCTTATGTACTCACTCGAAGGCAAACGCGAAGTCGGGGACTCGTGGCGAGGAGCTGGCTGTCTGGAAGGATCGGCGACCCGAGCCGGTCTCTAGAAAGGAGCGGGTGCATGCGCGGTGGACGAGGCCGACGGACCTCCAAAGGCCTTGGGGTCGCATGGTTATTTACAGGGGAAAGAAATTGGCAGGATTGGGTGGGGGGGAGAGGAAGAAAGGCAAACGTGGAGAGTGAGAAGAGTAGGACAAGACAGGAAGACGGAGAGCTTAAGTTTCCCCCGGAGATATAAATAATCGGGCCACATGATATCATTTGGTTATCAGTCCAACTCCACCGTCGTTCGTCCTTTATCCACCTTCACCTCCCCTTCGGCTTCCCAGTCCCCACAAATCTCTGATCGTCTTATCATGGCATTCGACCGCTCAATCGCCCCCAAGAATGCATGCCTCGCCACCAATATACCTCCCTACTGAGATCATCCTCCAGATCGTCGGGTTCATCGCGGCCGACGAGTCCTGCCGACAGGAGGCCCTGCATTCCTGTTGCTTGGTATCGCGACAATGGTACTCGGCGGCGATCGCACCGCTGTATGAAAAACCTCATGTCGGCACCGGGGTGGCCTTTGGGCGATTCACAGACACCATCAGTCCACCGATCGGGGCGCGCAAGAGCAAGCTGAACCTGGGCAGTCTGGTCCACCGGCTGGATCTGAGCGGTCTCGTGCATCACAGCTCGAACAGCCTCACTGCGAGACTGCTGGGTCGCGTCAAGGAGAATCTGGAAATCTTCATTGCGCCGAAGGTGTCATTCTCGTGCGTCCTCCTCTCCCCCCGGTCCCTCCCTCTCAACCCCAGTCTTTGCTAACCCCAATCGCCTCCAGAATAAACAGTCTCCCCGCATTATCCAAATGCGTCAACCTCCGATCCCTCGACCTGTCACTAGTCGGCGACCCCATCCCCTTCACGAACCTCAAACAAGCCCTCAGCCGACTCCGCAAACTCAGCACCCTGCGGCTCCCCCGCTCCACCATCCTCACGCCCCCCGAATCCTCCTCCGCCTCCCAAGCCATCGAGTGGCCCCCGCAGCTCACGCGCCTCCAGCTCAGCGGCCGCTTCAACCCGCTCACCATCCCAACCTTCGCCTGGCCGCTCTCCCTCACCAGCCTCAGCCTCAAGAACTGCTCCGACCTCTCCGTCAGCAACCTCGGCAGCCTGATGAGCAGCCCCTACCTCAACCACAGCCTCCAGCGGCTCAGCATCTCCGGCGCAAACCGCGGCCTGCAGCCCGAGTCCGTCAACGCCATCCTGGCCTTCCTGCCGCGTCTCACCACCCTCAGCATCCCCGGCGACATGGTCGAGGACACCTTCTTCGAGATCCTGTGCCACATGGCGCCCGCCGTGGCGCTCGAGGTGCTCGAGTTCTCGTACCCGAGCCTCGATCCGAACCTGGTGTTTTCGACCGAGGCCCTCATCCGGGCCCTGGGTAGTGGGCTGGCGAATCTGAGGGCTGTCGGGTTCGCGGATCTCTTCTGTACCGAGCAGCGCGTGGAGGAGGACGAGGATGTCGAGGAGATCCTGCAGAAACGGGCGGCGGAGAGATCCGGGGAGGGGGGCTACGAAGAGAGGGAGGATCTTCTTGTGGGTGTATATTATATATGATGTGATGTGATGTGATGCGACGCGATGCTTATTGTCTACGCGGTTATGATTAATGAAGTCATGTTTCGGTGGGAAGGTAGATTGATTTTCCTTTCTTCCCTTTCTCTACCCTCCCTGATCTACTGTCCACTCGCAGCTTACCTAGTATTTCTAAATCCACCTCTTCGTCGAAGTAAATCCCTCAAATTAAGAAAATAAACTAACTCAGTCTTTACCTTAAGATAAGATGTCAGGTGCACACCCAGAGTAAGAGGACTAGGGCCTACTCAGAGACTACAATGTGCCCCTCAAAGAGGCAACCAACCAAACCGGAGACAAGAGTCTAAATAACATCGCTTTTGACAACTACATGAACCACTCTACCTAATCCCACCCAGGCAACGGAAAGAGTTCCACCGGCCTCCTGGGACAGCAGCATCAACCAAGCTGGATAGATCGAGAAAAGGGGGAGGTAATAAACAGAATAACAAAGGGGGGTGGGTGGAGGAAAGAAAGGTGCAATCATGAGAATAAGGAGCAAGAGGATAGAACAGAAGACAAGAAAAAGAAAATCAAGGCAAAAATGTTTTAGGAAAGAAGAGAAGAGAGAAAAAAAAGGAATAAATAATGAGTTTGGACGCCTACACAAAATATTCATCGCATCTAGCTCGACACCTGCATTATAAACGGGAAAGAGGAAAAGAAAAAGGGAGATGATAAAGGGGAAACAGGAATAAAGCGGTTGGAAAGAAAAAAAATGAAGCAAGAAAAAAAACAAGTCCGATTTCTCATAATGCAGGACTCATCGTGATAAAATGCGCCTCCAAGAACACAGTCCTCCCTTTCTCATTACAATTTACAACTTACAGCCACCACCAGAAGTGGTCGCCGCTCTATCAAGTCAGGGACGCGATCACGGCGGGCGCAACGCCTTCCTCCTCGGACCGGACGGTGATCTTCGTTGTCACGCCGGTCTTGCTGGAGAATGCCATCTTGATCAGGGCGGCCACTCGGCCGCCGGACACGGTCTTGCCGAACAGCTTGAGGGTATGGGTGCTGTTGCTCAGGGCCACATCGGTGCCTTCAAGGGGCTGCAGGGAGAGCGTAGAGATGAGTTGTTCCGTGGCATCTATGGCTGGGTTAGCATCGAATGGAGCTGGCAAGGCAATGTTGCGATCGAAGAGTTCGTGACATACCTGAAATGCCCTTCATGTTGCTGAGCTGCAAGGTCTCGCTCTCTTCCTCCCCGTTGGCACCGGTCTGCTCCCAGACATGGTCGAAGCTGCCGGCGAATGTAGGAATGACATAGTCGCTGCCCGTAAGTTCCAGGTCTTCCACCTGGTATTCGTCCTCGTATCCACCCTCCTCGGGCTCGCCAGTCGTCGGGTCGATTTCCTTGCTGGTGAATTTCAGGACGTTCGTAAAGGAGGTGACAGCAACGCTGTTCTCTCCAGCAAGCTTCTTGAACGTAACATACACGATGCCGGGTTCGTTGGTGGGAAGCTTGGGCGCAGGGACAATGAATTCCTCCTCCAGGACATCCTCCTCGGACGGCGCGGCGACAATGGTTACGTCTTCCAGCACAGTATCCGGAAGGGTGTTCTTGATATCGTACTGGATGACAATGTGTTCCTTGAAGACATGCTTGACAGCCGTAACAACGTATTCCGTCTCGCTCTCAGTGAGTTCGACGGGGACGGAGGACTTGAGGAGCGTTCCGTACTCCTTGAGCTCGGGGATCTGCATGAGCTGCTCGGCGTACTTCTGAGTAGCAGCGGCGGTGGCGGCCTCGGCCACACCGTTGGACTTGCCCTTGGGGGGTCCGGTCGACGGAGCCTTGAGCGTGGGCGTTGCGGTCCTGAGCTTCGTGATGCGCTCCTCGTTCAGGGCCTGTTCCTGCGTGACAACTGGGACTGTGGCCACGTCGAACGCGGCAGCGAATGTTTGCTTGTCGTTCGACGTCACGTACATGACGAGCTGGTGTTCAAAGGTCGAAAGCGAATACATCGAATCTAGTCGGGTTAGCAAATCACGCTGGCTGTTGCGTGGTGGAACATGGGTATCATACCGTTCTTGATGAACGCCGACGCGGCCTCATCCTCCTCGGACATCAACCGCAGGTTGAGTGCGGCACGATCACGAACCTCGTCATCGGTGTCATCCAGGCAGCGAGTGAGAAGAACAGAGACACTCGACTTGACTTCGGGATCCTTCTGTCCCACGCCGAATTTAGCCAAAGCCGTAACAGCGGCAGCCCGAACAATGGCGTTTTCCAAAACCACTCGGTTATAGATATAGCGGATGTACTTGGTAGGATGCGAGGTCTTCGGGCCTTCGACACCGAGAAGGTGCAAGATTCGGACGGACAGCTTCGTGAACTCGCAATCCTCGATGAACTCACAGAGATGAGCAAGAGCTAATGTTGGTCAGATCATAATCACACGCGGTATACAAAATTCGAGGGAGAGAAAAATCTTACCGTCTTCCTTGCTGTCGGGAACGAATTTGATCAGATCAAACATGCTCTCAACAACGCTGCGCTTGAACTCGTAGCCACCCTCGTCCCGCAGGATACCACTCAGGAATGCCAGCATGCCAGCCTGCTTGCTGGGGAACTTCAAGCAGAGCGTCCGGATAGCCTCCACAATGGTGATCTTGAACTCATCGGTGATGTCGGCCATGAAGCCAGAGATCTGCTTCATCAGGCGGTCGACGCTGGCCTCGTTGCCCGTCTTGAGCAGGGTGGTGATCGCAAAGGTGGCAATGGAACGGTTGGAATTCGAGATCAACGACTCGATGTCGGGGTTGCAGACATTCACCACGTGCGGCTTGAAGCTGGCAAAGTTGTGGAGGATACGGATGGCCGCAAACTTGGTGATGGACCGGGGAGAGGACAAGAACAGCTGCAGGACGTGGACCGCCTGGGAGGCCTCGGCATCGTTAACGTCGCGCATGTCACAGATAGCCTTTGCCGCTTCGAAGTTGACCATCTCGTGCTTGTGTCGGAGCCAGCCATCAAGCATCTGCATCATGGGCTTCCTCAGGCCCGGGTCTTCCTCGGCCAGTTTGGCCGCTAACCGCACCAGCAGGACCAGCGCAGCGGGACTCTTCACAACACCGGCAGCGCCATACTGCTGGACCATCTTCACCAAGGCCATCCGGTCGTGCGAGCGCATCTGGTACAGGAGACCGATGGCATGGTATTGGGTCATGAAATTGGACTGGGAGATGGCGTGGGCCTGGGAGCTGCCGCCGAATCCAAGGAAACCGGTCGACTGCTTCCCAGACGAGGCGGCTTCCTGCGTCTCACTCTGCCATCTGCGGACAACATCGCGGGCGATCGGGAGGAGGTGGTAGGAGGAGACCAGGGCGGCGGAGGAAACAGACGGGGTCTTGTCGACAATGGCGGTCTTGATCAATCGCTCAATTCCTTGTACCGTAGTACCCTTTTCCAGAGAAAGTCACCATGGTTAGTCCTTCGGCTCAACACAATGTATACAAGGCCAGCGGAAGCGCTTACATCGATAATGCGGCACAGGGCACGGATGGCATTCGCGCGGTAGACAACATCACTACCGACCGCGGTGTCCTTCATGATGATACTAGTCGACATGATCACATCCTCTGCGGTGTTTGCCAGCTCCTTCAGGATAAGGTAGACCATCTGTCTCAGCGAGGGGTCCTTGTTCTGGAACAATTTCGAAATGCCGAAGAAAAGGGTGGTGGCCTCGTTCGTAGGGAATTGCTCCCCGGTGAACACGAGCACCGCAATCTTGGTCAGGAGGGTACGGCATTGTCGAGGAGAGATCGGCGAAGTATTGAACAATCGTGCTATATGGATAGAAAGACAGACGCAGAAAAGTCAGCAACCATTCCGGGGGGATTCTGAGCGCCGTGGGGGGGATATTCTGGGGTGCCGGTCCCCTTACCATCTTGGAACACGGAGGTGCGATCCAGCTTGATCATAGTCTGGTCGGCATCCTCATCTTTCTTCATATAACTCATGGTGACGGGCCGCTGGAATTGCAGCAGGCAGAGACACTCTCTCTATCTCAGCGTCAGAACCTGGAAAAGCGAGACCCCGGACAGGTGACGTCGGAGTCAATGGGCGAATAAGGGCGGGTCAAGTATTATGGTTTAGTCGAAGTAGGCAAGACGATTGTGCAGGCGGTGTGTGTGTATGGCAAGCAACCGAATTACCGCGGCCTCATTATCCTCAGGGGAAAGAGTGGGAGGGAGATAGAAGAGAGGGTGACGGGGAGGCGGGAGCGGGAGAAGAGGGAGGGGGAATATGACACTGTAGCCCCGAAGACGCAGAATGAATGGATGTTTTGCCAGTCGGAGGAGCTGCTCTCCAACTGGAATCTCCAGGTGGCCTCAGGTTAGTCTAGTCCGTCTTGGGCGCTGGCCCGCACCGCCACGCCCGCACGTGAGCCGTGGCTGGTGCGCAGGCAAACGCTGCAAACACGCGGGCATCTCGGCGGGACGTAATGGCCTTCGTTATTGTGGTTGACTGCCGGACTTCCTAGTCAACCCCTGCCTATTTATTGTCCTGTTCTGGTCCCTCATTGTACAATTGCATCTGGAACAACCTATCCACCATGCAGGTCGAGGTCAACCCCAACGAGGACACCGAGTGGTCCGTCTCCCCCCATCCCACCTCCGGCCCTCATACATCCAACATACTCACATCCTTCCCCGCCACCGCAGGAACGACATTCTGCGCAAGCACGGTGTCATCCCAGAGAAGCCGCAAGACCCCGAACCCCTCATCCAGGAAGCCCTCGTCGAGGCCGAGAAGAAAGCATACGAAAGCCGCCTCGAAGACAAAGACATCGACGAACTAGACGAGCTCGAGGACGAGGAAGACGAGGAATTCCTCGAACAATATCGGTACGAGGACGAGCATACCACCCACCAAATTAACCGCATCCTCTTCAATTGCTAACTCCCACGCAGTCAGAAACGTCTCGCAGAGCTCTCGACCCTCCAACAAACCAGCGTCCACAACCAAGTATACCCCATCCAGAAGGTCGACTACGCGCGCGAAGTGACCGATGCGTCGGCGAAATACTTCGTCCTGGTGCACTTGACCTCGTCGTCGGACGGAAATGTGGAGTCGCGGGTCCTGACGGAGCTGTGGCGCCAACTGGCCGCCAAGTACGGCGATGTCAAGTTCTGTCAGATCCGTGGGAACATGTGCATTGAAGGCTATCCGGATAAGAACACGCCGACGATTCTGGTGTACAAGGACGGTGAGATTCGGAGGCAGATCATCACGCTGAGGGAATTTAATGGTCCTAGAACCAAACTGGAAGGTAACCTCCTATCCCCATTCCTGATCGCTCGTTCTGTAGGGCTTCGCAGTTACGGACCATGCTCATCATGTCTTATGTAGATCTCGAGAGAATGCTTCTAGACCTCGGCGCCATCAAGGAGAGCGACATTCGCCTGAAGAAACGGTCGGATTCGTCAGATGAGGAACGGCCATCCAAGATTAAATCCCAGGCTAAGCGTGATGATGACGATGACGACGACTGGGACTAAAGAGTTATGAACTAAAATAATTGTCAATTTATGAAATGTCACGACTGCATGATCCTGGAGATCGGTGACTTGTTAAAATAGACTTCTACTTGCTATACTTGATGTGTGCTATTTGATCGTATTTTAGAAACGTTGGACAGGGGGAATATTCCACAGTATCTGCGCTGCTAGATATTGGCCATGGAACAAAGTAAACCGATGATGTGTACCAATATGCTACGGCAATACCAACCTGTTCAATGCGCAACCAAGGACTACGCTTGAGAGTATTGAAAGCATCTGTTCAAAGTGTGTACTAGAGCTATAATCATATATAAACAAAGAAAGCATGACGACCACATCGAAAGAATATTTCAGAATGAACCAGCACACGAATATAGCGATGTGTCGAGTACACGCCCCTATATCTCCATTGACTCCAGGGCCAGTCCAAGAGACCCGTTATCGTATACCCAATAGCTCAAAGATCAAAAGCCGAAGAGCTCCAAATATCAATGCCCAAAATTCAAACCCTCAATCCTAATATATCCACGGATAAAGCGCCTCGCAATCATAAACAATCGCGTATAGAGAAGAAAAAAGATAAATGTCATATCGTAAAACTACGACATACCCTGGTGGATATCTCATAGCAGTCCGTCGTTGTCGTCCGCAGCGCTCTCTTCGATCGCCGTGCGCACATGGCTCTCTCGGAATGCAGGTCCCTGTCCGTCGCATTGGGCTCGACCCTTGAGTTTCTCGGCGACCTGCGCGATATCGACAAGGCCATGCTTGAACAGCTCGTGATTTTGAATGAATTCCCAGGTCGTGCTGACATCGAGCAGCTTCTCACCTGTTTCGGCACAGACCAGAACCCGGTGGCGACGGATAGGTTCGCCGTTGGGGACAAGGTTGGAGTAAAAATCGGTAGGCGAGTACCTCAGGGGTCCCGTCGTCGTGGGCCCAGAGTCTGGCGGATTGTTTGATCGACCCAGCGAGCTGGATGTCGCTCGGAGGATCTCATTTTCGGTCGTGAATTTGGCCAGTTCCCGTCTCAGACGCTCGTTGTCGGCCAGTAGGGAGTTGGACTCCTCTTCCAAACTGTTAACTTTGTCCTCCAGGTCTCGCACATGTCGTTCCTTTCGCTCCCGGAATGCGCGCTGGCTACATGGAGTCGGGAAGTCAGAAAATGGCCCCACTCAAGCTTAAACACAATCTGTTCGACCTCTCGAATGATGGACGATCAGAGAAGGGGTGGTAGGGAGAGAAACGTACGCAGCGCGGTTTTGCGCCTTCCGCTTCGTTTGCGCCGGCGTTGTGCCCTCTTTTTCTTCGCTACTGCTCCTCCCTAGGGTCGGGTCTCCGGGATGATCATCACCATCGACGGAGGTTGGTTCTGTATGATTGAGGAGTTCATTGCTGGAGACCGAATGCTTGGAAAAGGACTCGGGCGGGGAATGTGGCGGCGGGACAAAGGACTGGCCGGTGGGGTTTTGGAAGCGAAACGAGGGGTCGAAGGATTGGTAGTTTTGCTGCTCCACGTCCGCGTTATTGAGCGACGCTATAGTAGATCCTGCGGAAGGGCATACCAGAGAGGTGAAGGTGTCCTGAAGATTCTCCGGACGGGGCGCAGATTGATGCTGCTCGGGCGTAGGCAGCCCGGCGGGGAGGCCGTAGAGGGGGAAAGGCTGGGGTTGAGGACCGGAGTAGTATGAATAATCCATCTGTCGCTTGTATCTGGCAAACCAAACAGAAGATCTGACGGGGTAGAGGGAGAAGAAAGTCGGAGTCTGACAGGCGGGACGATAAAAAGCACGGAGGGATGGCGGGATTTAATTAAGGTCGGATCTACTAAGACGGGCGGAGGGGCCGATGGTTGGTCCATCGCGAAGGTTGTTAGTCAGAGCCCACGCCGCTTTTGCGGGCAGATCCGCCAATTGCCAACGTGAGGGTCTAGACGTCTGTGCCGACGCAGCCTCCTCCACTTGCCCGGGCCTGCAGCTCTACGCTTTCCATCGTCCCTCAGCACAAGTGACCCCGGTTCTATTGTCCCCAATTCGCTTGTTTTCACATGGAGAGATGAGAGTCAATTCACAAGAGCATGCATGCAGTGCAGGAATCGAGGAAAACAAGGAAACAAAACAAGACACAACTTTAATTGACGCAATACCACCCCGGAAGCGACCCTAGCCATATTCCGTCGCCAAATACCCACTCGAGACGTGTCTCCTCGTTGCCCAGTCCACCGCATGTTGTTCCATGTGCCCCGTATCATCCGTCCCTCATACGGCATGCCCTTGCAAGACAACAAACCATAGTCTTAACCGTCCGAAACTATCATCTCCAGCCCATCACAATCATCCCGTCATACTCGTCTTCCCCGATGATGCGTCCATAAAAAAGAATGCCAGTCTGAGAACGTCGACAAAAACAAACAAAAGAATGCAGAAAGCAAATGCATGACATATAAAAGCAGTGGGTGTGAAACATCAGTCAAATCAAAACAAGGGGAGGGAAGGTAAAAGGTTTTTAAAATAAGATTGCCGATGTGACAGTCGAGGATCTTCTGGGACCGTGGTCGACAGTAAGATAACAACTCGATCGATGGTTTCATTCTGCATCTCCTTCCGTCTAGCCTTCCCGGTCGATGTAGGCAAAAAAAAATGTATCCCTTCGAAGCATAATCCGAAGAACCATTAGAACGCGGGAGGTCGAGACGTAAGATAGCCAGTTGGTGCGTTTTGAGGCTGCTACCAAGAGACCCTTCCATAAAAAGAAATAAAAGCGATCGTTGAAGATCCGGGGGGAAGGGCCGAATAATCGAGAATCTTCCCCTGATGGAGAGAGCCAGATTAATCGCAAGGCGTGCAGGATGAACGTGGACAACAAAACACAGCAGATCGAAACGGCCGAGACCGGAAAACGATCGAATACGGGGCAACGGGCTAACGGAGAATGCAAGAAAAGAAAATAAGGAAATAAAAGAAAGAGTGGAGACCCAAGGCGAGATAAAGTCCGAAAGGCTGTGCTGCAGGTAGCAGAAGGTTCACCAGTATCACGATGTTCCTGGGGTTTCTCAGAGGAAGGGATGTCAACACGCAGGAAGCTCAACTTGAAATCAAGGAAAAGACAAAAGCCAAGCTCCACTGCCATGCTGCATGATTAGTACCACTGAGCACCGTACCCATCGTCCCGCTTCGCGCGGCTACCGGCAGGGCCATAAGCACCTGAAGCAACCTTGGAAGCAGAACGCAGCCTAACGCCGAAGACTATGAGATTAGTCAGATTCTAGACCCAAATTTGACCCTCTACGTGCGGGGGGTATCACGGTAAAGTACCAAACGCAGAGGAAAGGGGTTCCCTACACGGAACCTAGGTTTCAGATACTCACATCCTATCACTCCCTCCCACGGCACGGTTGGTGTCCGGAGTGTTGTCAAGGGTGCCGCGATCGATGACCTTGCGACGCTGGCTCGAGATACCACCGGGCTTGGCGGCGGCACCGGGAGTGCCCATCGGGGCACCGGCAACGCCCTGGCGGCGCTGTTGTTCCTCGGCCTCCTTGTCTTTCTTGTTGCTGGCGTCCACGATCATGGCGGCGTTCTTCTGATACTTGTAGACGGTCCAGTCGAACACGTAGTCGTACTGGAAGGATTCGCGGACAAACAGGTCACGGAAGATCTTGCGGAGGTACGAGTAGTCGGGCTTGTCATCGAAACGCAGAGAACGGGTGTAGTTCAGGTAGATGGAGAATTCGTTGGGGAATCCACGGCAGAGAACCTCGGTCGGCGTGGTCATCTTCTTCTCCATGATGCGGTCGTACTTCTGTTTCTTAGTAGCCGCCTTCAGTCCCTGCCAGGGGAGGGTGCCGCGGCAGAAGTAGAGCATAACGTAGCCAAGGGACTCCATATCATCACGGCGGGACTGCTCAACACCCAAGTGAGTGTTGATACTGGCATAACGGGCCGTACCAGTAAGGTTCTTGTTCTCACGGTAGGGAATGTGGAAGTGAGTCTTGGGGTCCCGGTACTTCTTGGCCAGACCGAAATCAATCACGTTGACTTGATTTCCACGCTTACCGATACCCATGAGGAAGTTATCCGGCTTGATATCACGGTGAATGAAGGACTTAGCATGAATATACTCGATGCGAGAGATGAGCTGGTCGGCCAGAAGCAGGACGGTTTTCAGTGAGAACTTGCGATTGCAGAAGTTGAAGAGATCTTCCAAACTGGGACCCAGGAGATCGATCACCATGGCATTGTAATCACATTCGGTACCGAACCAGCGAACGAATGGGATTCCAACACCGCCAGCAAGAGACTTGTAGACGCGAGCCTCATACTCGAGTTGGGGATGCTTGGCCTTGACACTCTCCAGCTTGATGGCGATTTCCTCGCCAGAGATGATGTTGGTGCCTGGACACCGTTAGATATTGCATCCACCGAGATCGTCCCACGGGGAGTCTTCACATACCAAGGTAGATATCACCGAAACTACCACTTCCAATCTTGCGGCCAATCCGGTACTTGTTACCCACACGCAAATCCTGGAAGAAATTAGTCAGTCGTGTCGGAGCGTGTGGTGGCCGTGGGAAAAGAACGCACCATGGTCGTCATCTCGATCGAGGGGGCACAGCTAACGTGCTGTGATTCGACGGTTATTCAAACTGTTTCACGCACGTTTATCAGTGGCGGATTCAATCAGAGAAAAAGAAAGAAAGGCAACGGAATAAAGCCCTCGTATTTATAGTTACGAAGCAGCTGACCACGCGGATCCGGGGTGAGGTTGGAGGGTGAGGTAATAGCCACACAGATCACCGTGCAGGCTCAGCCTTCGGCGCGTAGTCGGGCTTACTTGGCACAGTGAAGAGCCTGGTGAGGCTGGGGGAGGGAAGGTTACAGCAGGGAGCCTCAACCGAGTAACCAGAGTAACACGCAAATCCAGCCAGGCAGTCACGATAGTAGTGATACGGGACCCAGCAACGGGAAACAAGGGGGGAGGATGGAGACAGATGAGGACAGCAGCGAAACGAACCTTGTCAAGGAGGGGTGAAAATGGTGAGATAGCGGTGATGTCGACTGTTGGGGGACTCCGACCGACCGTAAGGGCCCGACCGGCAAGGCAAAAGGCGGAGAGAAAAACGAGGGAAGCGACCGACCTAGAAACGGACGACGGTCAGAGAAAACACGACGGGCGGAAATAACAAGCAGAACGTACAGAGACGAGGGAGAGGTCGAATCAAGGGAAATCAAGGGCAGAGCCTTGATTATCTGGAGGGTGAGATATGGAGAGAGAAGAGAGAAGGAGAAGGGGAAGAAAGAGAAGGATCGAAAAGAGAGAGAAAGGAAGAGGGCGAGAGGGGGGAGGCGGCGGGTAAAGAAACGGGAAAGGCCAGTGATCGGGTTCGCTGCGGTTGGCGGTCAAGAGGTATTGGTTGATCGACCTGGTATTTTATCAGGTATATGAGGTATCACTATGGCTTTGGATTGGGGATTTATTTCCTCGAAGGTAAGGTACTCCGTATTCAAGATAATATCTATCTAGTGATTTACAGGATTATTCGGTAAGAAAATATTTTTATTTGCTTTTTTTTTGTGGCAATCGGAAGCAAAGGGGGCAAAAGGGGAGGGTGTAATAAAAAAAAAAAAAAAAAAAAAAAAAAAACATGAAAGGCTGGAAGTCGGTGTGAAGATAGAAAGGAGAAGTGCGAGCTGGTCAGTGAAAGGGCGCGCCAGTGATTGATGGATTCCCTTTGAGAGGTTGGAATGAATGGATTCCCACATCATCTTATCGTCGGTTCACGATGGCAATGACCACCTCGTCCAGGCCGGGTCCATCGTCCATCGCAGTTTCAATCAATGTCTTGGGCCGTGTGGAATGGCATGAATGAATATGGGGGTGGTAATATAGGCACAATGAAACCCAATGTATGGATGAGTTATTATTAGTAGTCGATTCTGAACATCTTAACATCCGGACTGGCGGACTAACCCCAAGTCAGTAAAGGCCGTGGGACTGGGGCGATGGGAATCCATTGGTTTCCGTCCACATATGATTCTTGTTGTTGACAGGTATCGATCCATGTAAGTAAGGTACTCTTGGTCTTCAGACTGACATCCCGAAGGAGCTGGAGACCTCGGGATCTGCATCCAGAACCTTACTCGGGGGGCAAGCGATGCATCTACACAGGACTCGTAACAGAGGGATCGGAGGATGCAACGTTGGGCAACAAACCACCTGAGGGTCAATCTCATGGTCACGATCACGGTCACGGTCAGTCCGGGTCGGGATGATGTCCACATGGACGGCAGTACGTGGATGGAATCCGGACAGAGGATCATGGAATCCAGGTGGATGATGCCATGGGGCACATGCACTGATGCCTTCCAGATGCCCCATGGAACATTTCTGGTAGAGGCAATCGCTGCCTGAGGTCATCACGACCAGCGCGGTATCGGCGCCGTAAAATACAGGCCGAGACGCAGCCCTTTTTGGGCAGAAATCGCGTTTTTATCAAACCGCCGGCGCCTGAGAAAAGCCCCGTTCATCTCTCTCCATGACTGCTTTCGATCCGGGAAGAACAATAAACTCATTCTGTCATACGGTCCTTTCCCCGTCGAGTCTCAATCCTCACGAATTGGTCCCCTGTTGATTCGTCCCCGGTTCTCGCCCCATTCCGACTCGGGAAGTAGATCCTGGTCCCGTCGCTATAGTAAATGCCTCAATTTTGCCCCCCTCACTCTATCCACGCCTCGGATTGCTCGATGGGATTTCACCGCTGGGGTCATCATAGGTAATCCCGGCGGCTTCTTGTCATAATTTCCCCTCTCTCTCTCTCTCCTCCTTCCTCTTCTTTTCTTTTCAGACTGTCATCTTTCTCGTTTACGTATGAATGGTCCGAACGGTCACGATGCATGTTATGTGCATGCGTTGCTGTCGCATCCACCTAGCTAGTGGTCTCCAGTAGCGACACGACTACTGAGAACTATCGAGTCGGCAAGGGCACAACAAACAATTCACTTGACTTTACGCTGCTGCATAAATGACCGATGGCCCGAGAGCGCACCCCCTTGCCTCCATCTGCATTCGGGTCCCTGTTTACGAGGATCGAAGATCAAAACACCAACATAACGGCCATCGTCTCCCACAGTAACCCAGACTGGGTTGTGAAGGTTGCAAGACAATTAGACCCGCGATTATCTCATGCATGTGACAAATGACTAGATCTAGACAGAGGCTTCATGAAATAAATTGTAGAGTAATAGTACAGTTCGGATGAAGGAAAGTCAATAAAATGGAAAATGGAATATGAAGGGGTATAAAAGAAGACAAGAAGGTGAAGAGAAGAAAAGAGGGGAAGAAAAGAAAAGAAGGCAAGAAATAAACACAGCGCATATATGACAACCAGGGTCTCGTGGTAACGCAATTCGAGGCGGTCAGGGGAGATGGTTGAACAGCAGTTCCAACAAACCCCGTTCCAAGAGCCAAGAAAAAGTCATGGGAAGGAAATCAAATACCAAACAGGGGGCAAAATCAAAAAATTTGAGACAGAAGAACGCCGTGGTCGTCCAGCAGTAGATTCGATCACCGTCAACGGGCACCGAATGATGTTGCTAGGTATATTCAGGCCTTCATGGCACGTCTTCCAATAATATCTAGACAAGTCATACCGCTCGAGCTGTTCATATCATGTTGGCCGTTGCGTGTGCCTCGCCAGCATTCCGAGGCTTGCTCTTTTCTGGGGAACTTGCTCTCGCTTCTTCTTCATCCAATCGTCGCCTCCATTCGGCCAAGCTATCACTGAGCCCAGTCTCTTTGGTGGGCGTCCGATCGAAATCGGACTGAGTACTGAGACGATAGTTCCGGTTTGTACTCTCCCAGTGGCTCCGCAGAGTCTCCAGCTCGTTGGCTAGGGAGTCCAGGGCCACAGATCCACGGTTGTCCGGGAAAGGCTCTTCTTGCGACACGGCGCTGTTTGCGCGGGACCGATTCCCTGCACCGCTGATGGTGTTGCTCGAGGCATTGCTGTGGGAGCGCGAGATGCCATTGATGCCTTGACCGGGCTGCGACTGTCGGCGGTAATGCCCAACCGAGGCCTCAACCTGGTCCAGAAGCATGGTGACCTTTTGTTCGGCATCTGAGGCGCGAGTTTCAAGCTGAGAGTTCTCGTGCTTGAGTTGCTCCAATTCCGCACGGCTCTTCTCCGCAGCGGCGACGAGCTCTTGCCGCATGCTCTCAAACTCACCGCGAGACTTGGTCTTGTCGGCTTCAGCGGCCGAAAGATCTGCTCTCAGCCTGCTGATTTGGTCCTCGAGAATCGTAATGGAAGATGTTGTCTCCTCGTGTAGGTCATCGATGGTCTGATGGAGATGCGAGCGCTCGGCTTCCCAGTCGGCAGGCGCTTCGGAACCGCCGCTTGCGAGCTCCTTTTGGGCGGCTTCCAATTCCGACTGCATTTTGGCATTCTGGGATTTGTACCGGCTGAGCTCGTCTTTCATGCGTTTCAACATCTTCTCGGTACCTTTAACATAATGGACGGCGGATTGATAGTCGTTCTCCAGCTGCTCCAGTTTCTCCCTGAAGGCACGGTCGGCTTCCTGCTCACGAGATTCGAACGACGATTTCAGGTCCTCGTGCGCCTTAATGCTGGTCGAGAGTTGCTGCTCTAGCTCACGTAACCGACCTTGTTCGGGGGTTCCGAACCGAGATCCAGGGGAGTCGAGCCGAGGAGAGCGTCTGTTGTCGGGATAACCAACGCCGCGCTCACCCAAAAGGTCCTTGAGAGCAGCGTGTTGGATAGCCAATGCTCCTGACTCGCGCTGGTGGTTCTCCAGCTGAGCCTTGAGGTCCCTGTTCTCGGCGGCATAGGACTGGCTTTCTTTCATCGCTGTCTGGAGCTGTCTACGGAGCTGCAAGCCCTCTCTGCTTGCCTGTTCCTGGTATGCTTCTAGCCCGGCGATTCTCTCCTCCGCGCGGCGAAGTTTGTCTGCCGCGTCGTCTGCAGCAGTGTGGCTGGCCTTTGCTAGATTATTAGCCCTTTCGATCTGGGCCTCGAGAGCAGACACGCGCTGATCAGCGAGCGAGCGCATGGATGTGTCAGAGTCAAAGGAGGAGGCACGATCCAGACCGGACAAGAAAGCATTCTTATGAGTCTCGGCCTCTCTCGCACTAGTTTCAGCCAACTCCTCGGCCTCTCGCAAACGACGGTTAACATTCTCCAGATCAGACGTCCGTTCTTCGTGCTCCGACCTCAGCTGCAACAGCTTTTTCTCCAGTCCTCCCCGGCGCTCACGTTCCTCCTCCAATTGTCTTTCAAGAAGGGACGATTTGTCGGTAGAGGCATGTACTGCTTCCCGCAAGGTTCCGAGATTATTGCCGAGGTCACCGAGGCGAGTAGAAGATTCCTCAAGATTCTTCAACAATTCCTCCTTGTCCAGGGTCAATTGCTTCAAAGCGGAGTCGGCATCCGCTCGCAACAATGACTCTTCCCTGACAGCAGCCTCCGCTTGGTGGAGCTGAGCGCGCAAACTTTCCATCTCAATGGCGTTGTTCTGCATTTCGAGTTCGGCGAGTCTTCGCCGCGTGGCCTCGCACGTTTCTTCCGCCAATTCCCTGCCACGTTTCTCCTGGTCAAGTTCATTCGTAATGACCTCGAGCTTAGATTTGGCCTCGTTGTGAGAGGCGATGGCCAGTGCGAGTCTTCTGCTGATCTCGGTGCTTCGGTCGGAGATAGTCTCATCGTGGTCTTGGGAGCGTCTATCCGGCTGGGGAGTACCGCGCTGACTGCCGCCATGAGCAGCGAGCTTGGCACGGGAATAAGCGGCCTCGTTAACGGCAACATCTCTTTGATGTTCAACTTCGGCGACGCGTTTGGACGCGATCGCTGCTTGCCGGTCCACGGTTGCTTGCATCTTGGCCAATTCAGCCCGCATGGCGAGGAATGCCTCGATCAAGGGCCGATCCTCGTCAGCAAACGTATCCACCGCCTGCTCATCCAAGTTGGTACCGTTGGCTAGGTTTGGTGCATAACCGGCCTTCTTGGCCAGCGCCAGCTCAGATGCGTACCACGCATTGCGGTTTTTCACCAGTTCGAGCTCCTTAATCAAGGCCTCTTGGTGCGCAGTCAACCGGGGCGATCGCGGCTCGTCTCCAAGAGTCCTCGAGTTTCGATGACCCCGGGATTCCACCGACCCGTCAATGCTAGGGTGTCGTCCCAGAACCGACTCGTCGGCACTATCCATAGAACTTCGCTGCCGTTGCTGGCGTAGAGAGCGTTGCCTAGTCGGCGCACTCATCAGAGGAGCAGCCTCGCCAGCCTCCATCGCCTTGGCAGACATCCTCGATTGGGGCTGAGGTTGCTGAGTGGGAGTACGCGAGCCCGCGGGGTAAGCACCTGACTCAGAGACCGACCGGGGGTCTTTGGGAGACTCTCGTGGCGACTCCCTAGGCGGCTCGGCGGTCACTGCCCGAACAGTATCCACGGGCGGGCCTCCATATGCACGATCGAGTTTCGTCGGGGTTTTGCTGCGAGGGTTCACGGCATGCGGAGGAGCGGGGCCTCGAGGGCCGGGCGTCGGGGCCTGACCCGGCGGCGGAGGGCCGGACGGAGCCTGTGCGATGGATGCCCGGGGCAGCCTTGAGCCTGGTCCGGGACTAGGGCCAAGCTCCGATCGACCGGTCGGGCTTATCATGCTTTCGCGCGACGGTCCCGGCCGTCGTTGCTGCATGTCTAGGCTTTGGTTCTGAGCTTCGCGAGAGGTGCGGCCGGTTGGCGCACCAGTCCTATCGGTACTCCCTTTCCTCACCCCTGTCACCCCTGGGGGCGGGCCTCTCTCTCCTCCGTTTTGAGAGTCGGTGGGATAACGGATTTTCGACGTGTCGAGGATGTAGGCCATGCTGAGCTCCACGGGATCTCTGGGGGCTGAACTCGGCTCTCCAGCCATCACGATCACTTGCTTTCCGAAAGCCGTCATGCTGTGGCCCGACCGCGGAGACGGCGCGGGTCCCATGTTCTGGAACGAATACCATCTCCGGGTGGTGATGCGAAAGGCGGCCAGATCCCCGAGGTCAACGCCCTCGTCCGTGCGACCACCGAATATATACATGACGTCGTTCACTAGAGCCGCCGCGTGGCCCTCACGAGGAGTTGGAATGAACCCGACGCAATCTAACTGAGACCATTGGTTGGCACGCGGGTCGTAGGTCCAGACATCGTTAAACCACTGCAGCCCGTTCGTTCCTCCGAATCTATACTCATCAGCAAATGGGTTTCATCGACAGTGTCACTCGTGCACTTACAAATACAGTCGATCGTTGAAGCTGACGATGGAATGGTTGGTTCTGGCCGGAGGAATCTGACCGGGGGGTGGTCCGCCCTGGTGGCTGTTCCGAATCAAAAACTCCCACTTGTTGTTTGGGTTTGAAAGTTGATTCAGATCAAACGCAACCAGGTCGTTAAAAAAGTAACCCTCCACCTGACCACCGAAGACGTAGAGTCTAGAACCGAGGATATTCAACGTATGGCCATACCGTCCGGAAGGCCGGGGGCCGGGGGGTATTGAGCGGGACCACTGGCGGGAGGCTGGACGCAATAAATTGTTAGGAGCTTCAACCACAGGTAGAGCAAGACGCTCGAGGTACTTACAAGTATTCAGGAGGTAGAGAGTGTCGTCCAACGTGTCATTCTCGTCAACCTTCGTATCTCCGCCAAACACGATGAATGCGTTGCCCACCAACAAACTTGCGTGGCCGACTCTCGGGCCCGGGCCCTCTGACACCGTTGCAATTGGGAAACAGGAAAGATTCCCGCCACTGCTTTCGATCATCCAGAGGTCCCCCTTCACCGTAGACCCATCTATTAAACCACCCATCATGTAAACATCGCCCTCCTTCGAAGCGACCGCGTTGATCGCTGCTCCATATCGCGGAAAGGGGTTTGCCTGGGGCGTAGAGAAATTCAAGCGACGTTGCGACCAAGGGTAGAGCGAGGTGCCGGGGCTAGTGTTGGGGGAATTGCTAGTCGGGCCCTGCAGCGAGCGCTGTAATTGCAAACATCAGTGACCGTTCTTCGGCGAGGCCAGTCGCGACCAATGCGGGAGGACTGGTAAGATGGGCAAGGGGGAAAACCAACCTGCGATTCCGACTCGGCTCTCTGTCGCATCCGGTGGGTTTCCGGGCTGCTTGTGCTGTTCACCGAATTCAAGGAATTGTTGTAGCTACTACTGGGAGTCGGCGTCTGAGGATTCCCTCCCTCCCGTTCCTTCGGCGCCGGGGGCGCCGCAGCCGGTGGTGCACTTGGTGGTGCAGCTGGCGGTGCATTTGGCGGCGCTCCCTCAGAACTCTGAACATTTCTCGTTGCCGGAGGAGGCACCGCGGTATTTTGCTGCTGCTGATTCTTCTTCGATTTAAAGAGGAAGGCCATCGTGACAATTGGATCGTAAACGGTCGTTCAAAGCGCAAAACTTTCAATTAAGCGTATCAAGGATTCAGAGAAGAAGAAAAAAAAAAGTCAAATCAAACAGCGCAAATCCGTGTCGAATATGGGAATTATAAAAGCCTCCTTCACCGAAGGGCCACGATCGTTTCACACGAAAGGGTGGTGAAGAGAGAAGAAAGAGAAAATGTACAGGCGCCAGGCTGTAGAAAGGTGTCAAATGAGCGAGCGGAGGCGGAAATCCGCAGGGAAATGCTGGAAATTCGAGGACGAAGCCGTTCGGAGGAGAGGAAAACAACGGTCTCCCATGCACGAAAACCGTGGCCCGGAGTAGGGAGAGCGACCAACGGGGGGGGCTCTTCTACTTCCACAGGAACCTCACAAAACCTCGACTGCCAGCCCGAGGGAGCATGAGCGAGTTAATAAAGCAGGGTGATCACTGAGATGACCGAAATTAAGAGGAAGGATAGAACAATTACGAGTAAAAACGGAAAACAGAAAAGCAATGCAAAAGCGCAAAACAGCCCCCAAGCACGACCAGGAAAAAAAAGGGAAGGGGGACGCAGGCACACAGTCGGAGAATAAGAGAGGGAAGGAGGAAGCGGAAGCAGCAGCAGCAGAGGTATGGGGCTTGTGCATGAAAACTGGAGAGGGAAGGGAAGAAAGAGGGCGAGAGGGTAAGGCGAGGCTCCGGCGTTTCAAAGGGTTCCTGGCCAGCATGAATTAGATAATTCGTCTGGTTGTTATGTGATTTGACCCGACTTTCTCAAGAGACGGTGGTTGATTGACCGGAGCTAAAGTCGTTAGGGGGAAAAGGAAGCGACACCGCCTGTTGAACGCCTCTTTTGATTGATTCACTTGCGTCAAGGGGTGTGTTTACTCTGGAGTACCTTTTGGAGGCAGTAGTAGGAAGGGTACGAAGGAAAAGCAAAGGGCCCACGAGCCACGAGGGTTTGGGGTGTTTTTATTTGGATCTTTCTGAGTACTTCCTCGCCAGGTTCATACCTCAATAGAGTAGTACTACTACTCGCGTACTCCGTACTGCGTCCTCTGTAAAGATGCATACTCCGGAGTAGATGCGCACCCACCCGGTCCTTAAGATAATTTCAATCGTACCCAAAATAGCCCATCGCCTCCATCGTGCTGCCGACGACATCATCGGGCAGGAGAAAATCCCCTAGCCCTACCCAAACCGAACCTATCCACGGACAATTTCTATCGACCTCCCGACTATTAATGTTGGCCCCGGTTCGCCCTGACAGATGGCACTAGCCGGGCCTCCCTAGTAGATTAAGTAGGCAACAAGTGCCATCTTTAAATACTCGATAGTCTATCAAAACGTCTAGAATCCAGGGTCTCTCGATTCGGCGGTCCCCCGAATTCTCTGCCGTGCTTGAGGCTGTGCCGACTGTCGTTCCAGTATTCTGGATCATGAGCGCGTCTTTCGCCGGCTCCATTCCTTGCAGTCCGGTCACCGCGTCCCATGGGTTTTGGCTGCAGGAACCGACCACCGGTCCATGTTCTGCTTCCCTTCGACCTCTCGGTCGCAACAGGCGGAACGGCCATGCACAAGTCAGGATGCTCCTTGCCGCTGATCAACGGCGTACGGCGTCCCATGAGACCGCGGGAATTCCGCTGGATGACCGGTTGGGGTGGATGATGTGGTGACCAGATAACTGAGCATGGTTAGCGTTCCAGAGCTAGCGAAGTCTCTCGAGCCGGTCTAGTCAGGGACGGGTTCCAGCACCAGAGCGGATCCAGGGGGGGGAAGCGAAAACTTTTTTTTCTGGTATCCAATTTCCATCCGCGAAAGGGGGAAACAGTGGTTGATCTGGTCAAAGCCGTCAAAGCAAGCCATGTCGGCAGGCGGGACTGCCGGGCCTATCAGGGAGTCCAGGCCGCTCGAACACTTCGACTGGGGCAGCTCGATGGTTCGGCAGGGATGAAGTCACAGATGGTTTTTGGTTCTTCACTCCACTTTCCCCTTTTCTTCTTTTCTCTCTCTCTATCTCGGTGTTCTCTTTTCTTTTTTTGGTGCGGTTTCTACTACGGGCTATACCTACCTCGTCGGAGCTTCTTCCAACCACGATGGGGAAGCCACCGCTTCGTATTGACGAAGTATTATTGGTGATCGCTTTGTATTGCGTCCCTTTAGTGCTCGTACCTGCCAGCCACCGGGGTCTTATTTTAGCCCGTCCCAGCTTCTCGCAAAGCTAGAGGTTGGTTCAACCGCGAATAGGCATCTGCACTGCACTGCTGCTTTTTCTCGTGCACCGGTGGTATGCAACATCAAGGCACACCGCATTCTGTCGGATGCGATTTAACCTCGGTCCCGTAGGTAATGCTGACCACTATTCGCAATGTAAATCCTCAGTTCACGTAGTACGGAATCCATTTGCTGCAATTCTATCAATTCCCAGCAAAATAGACCGCTAGACCTCTCGTGTCTTGGATGAATTACTGGTATTCCATTTATCAGCCACCCCGCAAATGTGAAATGCAAAATTTTGAGATCGCATGCATAGACTTGGGTCAATCCAGATTTAGTGTTGCCGTTTATTTAGAATTTCGGGTAACCTGGCACCCGTATGAGATCCCATACATCTGGAGACATATTTGAGTAAAACAATTGCCGTGCTCCAAAATTAAATAACCACCAACACCCTAAACTTGGGATAAGGTACAACAGCTCGGTGTAATGGAATCTTCTACAAAGACCTTTTCTAATTTCACAAAATTATTTCTTTTGAATGTAGGTCATTGGTCCGCAGTAAGTATAGCTAGTTGCTCAGTACTATACGAGTCATGTGCACCATCAACCCGCATCAATGCTGGTAGGTAGCTTAAGCGAACAGCAACTTGAAATTACTCCGGATCTTACTATCTAGCAACAGGATGGCATCAAGTATGAGACTCAAAGACGGCGTTTCTTACCGAGGTCAAGTCAGATCTCGCAAAGTTAGCTCGGAGAGAGTGTCTGCGTTGTCGTGAGATAGCGCTCTTTGCGAACAGAGTATACTATGCTCCATTGATATTCTCCCTCGCTTTCTACACTTCCTTAAAACGACAGAAGACAAGCATCGGTTCAACACCAAGATACTGCAAGCATAAGCATTCGGCAGCAGTTCGCGTTGTGATCGACCTGTGTCCTGCCATGAGATCTCATGGTTTTCGGAGAAACCATATCACTATCCTAGAATAAAGAATTAAAAAATAGTTATATGTGCATGGAAAGTACTCCTATGCCCGAGCCTGAAACCTACGCTGAGTTTAACAATCGTCTTTTTTTGGATGTGAAAGACTGTTGGCGAAGGGTGTAAGACTCTATCCCAGATAACTATTCTGAACACATTCACCCCTCCTTGGAAGGTCCAGCGGTCAGGTCATCTATATTCGGAAGCATGATCTTCTACCAAGGACCAGGTGTTATTAATGCTGTTGGAACCTGCCAATAACAAGCTGACACGGCAGATCTGGTGAACCCTGTTCCATGTAATAGCGGTAGCATGGACAAACGTGTTTGCCTCTATACCTGCATTGCAAGATGAACTTTCAGAATGTGGCACCACAATAAGGACCATGCAAGAACAAGGGCCCCTTCTCTATTCAGCTAAATATAGAGGTTCTGGCTGCCGTATTGATTCGGATTTCTGGAAACACCAAAAGTTGATGCTATTACCTACCTGGGTGTTTAGCAAAGGTTCACCAGCACCAAGCAGTCTGTGCATGTGCATTGTTTGTTTGGAGGCCATATACGCATCCGTGTCTCTGGCTGTAGGAGTCTCGAGTCTGGAGAGTGAATTGATGTAATGGCGAACGGTGTGGAGAATGGAGAATGCGGGACCCGGAGCTACGGATAATCCGGTGTTCCATGCCAAGACATCACCGGCCAAAGCTCCTGGACAACGCTTTTACTACCGGACGACTTCGACAATTCCCGCGTTTGAGACTGCGGGGTTGATTCTGAGAGTTGGATCTTTCATTTTACAAAAGAAATCTTGATTCTCTTCCTTGTTCTCCCACCCGCTGCACAGACAGGCATTTATCGAAGCCCCGGTGCCCCGGAGATCACGGACGGCAGAGCCTCATGATTGGGTATGCTGGCCAGGCTTGTTCTCACTGCACGCACTCTGTGATATGATTCTTGATTAGGTGAGGACATACATGTCTATATGCATCTGCCCCACAACAGGAGACCTTCTCTATAGTCTATCGTGACTACTGTCTTCCGGCTTGAATGACAAACGATCTAATCCATTTGCCTTCTAGACATCTGCCCATTCTTTTCTCATGACGACCCGCTCTTTCTTTCTTGCATGAACATGACGGCCTCTGTACAATGAAGGACCCCAGAGCTACCATCGACCAGACCTCTACAATGAAACCACAAGCCTCCAGTGCTCAGGCTGAGCCCCAGTCTGAACCTAGAAGGAACCCGACCAAGTCCGTTCGCGTCGCTTTCGGCCCGGACCTGGAAACCCATATCCCTCCGCGCGATAGATCCCCCGCTCCTACAGCGTCCCACCACCGATCCTTCACGACCGTCGAACATAAACCGCCCCCGTTGACATCTCCTCCCGGCAGACCAACTAGCTCGTCAGGCGAAAACTCGGCCATACTCGACGCCGGTCCCCGATTGACTTCCGATCGGGCCTCAGATTCCGCTCGCCCATCGTCTACGTTGAAAAGAGCGAAGAGCGACTATGGGCCTAGAGTGGGATTCGACAGATCCGCCTTTGGGGATGAGGAGGAGGACTTTGCCATGAGACATGGATGGCAAGAGGAGTTTACGTCCAGCGAGTATCTTAAAATACTCCACTCGGTAAGTGAAGTCGCAGTCTGGCTTTTTGCCTCTGTGCATTCGTTGCTGATGCGAATGGAAACCTACAGAATTTCTACATGTATTTCACCGAAAAGCGTCACGAGACAAATGGCATCCCAAGAGACCCTGTCGGCAGCTGGCCAAGTCAAGACTGGCGTATGAAGGA